ATATATATATATATATATATATATATATATATATATATAAAAGAGATCCAGAACAACAAAAAATAACTGTCAGAGTAATTTAAAAGGGATGAAGCACGGGTGGGACGACTATCAAAGAGCTGTGCTTGTTTTGGGAAAACAATGAATTAGACAAATTTACAGCCTTCGTGCAACTGGTTATAGATACTAATGAGGTAGCTCAGGAAGAAACAGAAACTGTTTACAAAAACTGTTCAAATCTGTGCGATTTCTCTGAAAGTTTGAAGAATTTCTGAAGTTTTTTGAAACATCAAACAAGTTCAGATGAAGCGGACTGACAGCCTAAACCAGCGATCGATGTATCAAGTGCCTTTCAAGCAAAAAGGTCAAAAAAGCCTGGTCCTAACAAGAGCTGGTGTATGTTGACTATAAACTGTACCAGAGACCTCATATTGTTTATTAATAGGAATATACCAAGGAGTAAATACCTTCCCCCCAAAGACAATTAAAACCTTAATTTAATTTACAACTCAGATGGAGAATAAATGTGTAAAATACAGTCGAGTTATTATTTTAGATAGAAACCAAATTAAATTTGTATATATTCTTCTTGTTGCTATTTAACGGATTCTAAATTTAGTTGTGAACTTTAATGGTGCTCCTTATTTTATCTCTATTACTCCTACAATATTTTGTATTTGCTGAATTATCTAACATGAAGCACCAGATTCTTCCAAATGTAGATTAAAACAAACATTTCTTTTCTTTTTAAACACAATTGTTTTAACTACTTTCATAACTTGTGTGAAATGTTACATTTTGGTGTCATTTTTACAAATGAATTATCTATGATTTATAAACTTTCAAGCACTGCTGATTTTTTTTAAATACCAATTTTACACCTAAATTAATTTCATGCATTAAAATAAAATTAAAGCTTGTCATGCTTTTTGCTTTAATGTGAATTGACAATCAAAACGTAAGAATTGAAATATGACATGTTTCATAAACGCAGTCAAAATGATGAGTTTTATATTTACCTAGTTTAAAAGCACTACATGTTACATTACTTTGACATATTTTTGTTACTTTATAAATTTTATGACATAGCTTGTTTTATAAAAAAAAAATCTTATAAAGGAAGCAGATGGTTGCTGACAAAAAGCTGATTTTCTCTAAGTGTTCAAATAATGTTGTTTAATTAAAATACATGCTTTAGAATTAAAACGCTTAAAGAAAAATATGTTTCTATTTATTGCTTGGATTCTTTTGTCTGAAATGTGTTTTAATAAAGAGTTTTGATCAAATTACAGATTTTCTGCAAGTGTGTTTCTTGCTTGTTTTCTAATGAAACACCACAAAGGATGCTTGCATGTCGATTGATGTATGACAGTTTTGCACCGTGATCTCGGCGGTCAGAATGAACTGAGATGTCTTGTTGTGAACGAGAAACAGCAGAAACATTTAGTAACTAACTCCTTTTGTGTTTTTCTACTTTCGATCTTTAGTAAAATTGTTTTAGTCTCATACAGTTACTCCTGAATTTGACGGACACTAATTTACAAAAACGGTAAGTTATAAATCTTTTTTTATCTCCTTTGGTGATATTTTGAGCATATTTGGGTATATTGCAATTCCTTTTAAATTATTTTTTTCTGAATAAATCAGAAACTGATCAACAGGTTTTGTTCACTTCAGTGTTAAATGGGGACCTCTTGTGGACAATTGGCAAACCATCCATCCAATATCGTAGAATAGAAACAGCTTTTATTGTCCCACGGATGGGAAATTCGAGTGTAGCAGCAGCAACAGATAAAAAGATTCACACAAAAGTTCCTAAATGTTAAAAACAATATATAATGAAATATGATAAACGATATCAGTAATAATGTTCAGTATGTATTGGAATATTGGGAATGGCAGACTATTTAAAGTACAGTATTATAGGCAGAGTGTGTGTTTTAGCAGAGGTCAGCATGTGTTTAATCCTTATTGAGTTTGTGGGAGCAGTGATGGTTGTAGAGTCTAACAGCTGCTGGGAGGAAGGACCTGCGGTAACGCTCCTTTGTGCATTTAGGATGCAGTAATCTGTCACTGAACGAGCTCTCCAGTTCAGCAGCTGCTTCATGCATGGGGTGGGAGACGTTGTCCAGCAATGATGTTATTTGAGGTACAGGTTACTGGTGTCTAACTACAGCAGACACTGTTCAAGAGGCAGGGGACACCCAGGACAGGTCTCAAGTCCATCACAGGGCCACATAGAGACAAACAAGACAAACAACCATTCACTCTCTCACACCTAGGACAACTTAGTTACCAGTTAACCTAACATGCATAGCTTTGGCCTGTGAGAGAAAACCAGAGAACCTGGAGAAAACCCATGTGTGCATGGAGATAAGTAAATTTCACACAGAAGGACCGGGAGTCAAACCTGTGACCTTCTTGCTAAGAGGCAACAACTCTAATCACTGCTCCTCTGTGCCAATAATTATAAACACAACACTTTGTACCTGGGTGACTGAGCATGAACTTTGATACACACTTTTTTTTTTGGCTCCCATTTTTCATGAGCTGAACTCAAAGATCGTAGAGTATTTTTCTATGTAAACAAAATGCCTTTTTCTCTTAAATATTGATCACAAATTTGTGTCAATCTGTGTTAGTGAGCATTTCTCCTTTGCCGAGATAATCCACCCCCCCACCCCCCCTCACAGGTGTGGCATATCAAGATACTGCATACACAGCATGACTATTGCACAGGTGTGTCTTAGGCTGCCCACAATATAAGACCACTGTAAAATGAGCAGTTTTCTCACACAGCACAATGCCACAGATGTTGCATGTTTTGAGGGAGTGTGCAATAGGCATGCTGCAACATGAGGTGATGATCATGCATGGATGGCACAATGATGGGCTTCAGGATGTTGTCACTGTATCTCTGTGCATTTGAAATACTACCAATAAAATGCATCTGCATTCATTGCCCATAAGATACACCAGCGCACACCACCAGCCACTCAATTCACAACAATGACATCAGCAAACCACTCATCTACACAACACTATACATCTGCCATCTGCCCTGTACAGTGAAAACAGCAATTAGTCTATGAAGAGAACACCATTGCAATAAAACTGCACATTTTAGAGTGGCCTTTTATTGTGGGCAGCCTAAGGCACACCTGTGCAGCAATCATGCTGTCTAATCAACATCTTGATATGCCACATGGATTATCGCAGCAAAGGAGAAATGCTCACTAACAGTTTTACACAAATTTGTGATCAATAGTTGAGTGTAAAAGGTCTATTGTGTACATAGAAAAAGTCCAAGATCTTTGAGTTCAGCTCATGAAAAATGGGAGTAAAAAAAAAAAGTGTTGCCTTTATATTTTTGGTCAGTGTTGCAAACTTGCCAGTTACAAGATGATATCCTCAGGATTAGAAACTACTGTAAATAAACAGATTTCGCTTGAATAAATTTCTTAACTGTATATTATGATGGTACTATCAGAAAGGGCAGCGCTCATAGGGAGCTGCAGCCCCGGTACACTTCCGTTTATCCTTCAGACGGCTGTACGGAACGAACTTTTGCTGTACTTAACTGTACAATGACAATAAAGCTGATTCTGAAAGTGACATACTTTGACCTAGAGGTTTGGCTAGGTTGGTTTTGTAAGCTTTCCTTGACTCTTTTTCTATACAACTCTTGTTGGAATTGCATTTCCTCTTGCGTCCACATCCTGGGAGGTTTTCTACAAACCTACGAATCGTGTTCTTTGCTTTCTCTGCTCCATGGTCAGTGTGGTGAACACAATGATACCAACCTACTCAGTTTGTAGCCCCTTTAAATGGGCTGAATGGCTGAAGAAAAGCTTAAAGGCACCCGTGACACTAAGGCCACATTGTTTAAAATGTGACTATAATGCAAGATTAGGCTTTTTAAAAAGGTATCAACAAATTGGTTCCTATGTTTTCAGCACACATATCTTTTTTAATATTAGCAAGTCATTTATTTTCTAAACTACGGTGTAGTCTTTATGAGTAATTGCAGTAGCATTGTTAGCTTTCTCTGTTTTTTAAAACAATTAGTTAGCATGGCACAACTTCATAAATTTATACAAACACTTTTATTGACGTTTTTTAAGGACAATGTCTGGATTCCAATAAGTAGTGCCCTGCCTGCTTTTCTTGATTCTTTGTTTGCACAGTATGCAAACGCAGTGGGTCAAAACTGTCAGCTGATAGCAGGAGCAAATATTGCACAATAGGTCAATAAAACGTATGCATGTTAAAAAAAATGCAGTTTCTGGTTAAATTGAGTCCTTGCAGAGCACAGAATTTTTTTTTTGTGCAAACGATTTTCCTGTTGTGTAAGTTAGTCTTTTAATTACAATGGCTTCAATTTATCTTGACATTGCCTGTTAGGAGAATATATTATTTATTAATCTGCTTCCTAAAAAATTAATATTAGTTTACTATGTATTAATAATATTATAATCCTTTATTACTTTAAGGTAGGCCTAACTGTGAATGCTTTGGTATCATAGTTTATGAATCAGGCATCAGTAGCAGCTGACCAGACACGCTCATCAGCCCCCGTAAGAAATCTTGAGAAAGTTTGTTCTTCTGAGAAACTGTTCCTCCCAGTAATCGCCATGGGTTTGGTTCTGAAAACAGCATGGCAAGGAGAAGCAGAGGGTTTCTCCAAAGCTTTGTAATACATTTGATGAAATCTACACCCTGATCATTGGTGAATTTGCTTTCTTCTACGATATTACCATCAGACTGATTAGAGCTTGTGCTCAAAAATACAGTAATCTGAGATGGTGACTGAGATCTTTATGTGGGTCTAAAATTTTACTTTCTTCAAGAAACAAGAACAAAAGAGGGTATGAAGGTGTAGACTTTCAGAAAAAAAAATCTTGCAAAGTAGTTTGTGTGTTTTAAACGTGCAACCCTTGAAAATACACGTCTTTCCTTTTGATCATTATAAATCTCGTGTTTTGTGCGTCTTTTCAAATGTCTTTTCTTTTTCACTCTTGATATTGCAAAGAAGGATATGAAGTGTGACAGCCAGGTGGTACCATTTCCCTTGTATGTAACTGCAAAGTAGGCTGAATCAGTGAGAGCGCCTGGGGAGAGTAGGACTTCGCATACTTGCCTGGAGAAGGGGAGACTCCAGTGGTGGTGACCTTCTGTCACATAGCTGAGGCCCGATAATCTCACATCAAAGTCTGAGCGCTGTAGAGATCTGACTGTGGCAGGCCCCTCACTCTCTGAGTCTGTAAAAGAAATCAAAAGACCTTTGGCTTTCTTTTCATATGAAACGATTGAATTAAAGCTGATATACAGGATCATTTGAGACAAAAAGGAAAGCCTTTACAACTACTGACTGAATTTAAGTTATAAATACTTGGATTCACAAACTTTTAACCTGTACAGTACATCAAAAGTTTGAAAACGATCATTTAAGTCATTTGGAATAAGCAATTTTATTTGTTACACATAATAAAAAAGTAGGATTTTGAACGTTAATGCCATTTACCTTTTTGCTTTCAACCATGACGTAAAATCAATAGAATTTTTTTCTACAAAACTGAAGTGAGTTTATAAAGATAAAAAGGCAAACCAACTACTTAAAGGAGCAAAATTCTGACCAAAAGTACCAACACACCAGCTAAAATAGCAAAAGTCTATAGCCGAATGTTAAGAATAAAAGTTTTACATAGCCTAAAACAAAATACGTAATTTTGTGCTCATGAGTTTGAAAATAATCAAGGTCAAGGTCAAGGTCAAGGTGTCTGTATTGTCATTCACATCGCATGTGGTACATGAAGTGGAACAAAACTATGTACACCGGGTCCCAGTTACATCCAACAAAAATACAAATTGTAAAGAAAAACATTAGTAAGATCTAAGATATAAACTAAGAAATATGCTAAGCTAAGAATATACTAATAGTACAAAACAATGTGCCAAACAACAGCATCATGAACATGATGAGTCTGTGTGAGTAGATGAGGACGAATGAACACAGCAGCATGAAATAAATCAGCAGCATGAGATCAGCATCATGGATAGTCAGCAGCACATATCAACAATCAAGTGGCATACAGTGATTTTATTCTAATTGATTTGTTTTCATAGTAATTTTCACATTGATAATCCTGACTAGGGATTCATGAGTCTAAGAATCTCAGGGTAGAAGCTGTTCCTCAGCTTAGTGGTTCTGCATTTAATGCTCCTCAACCTTATGCCTGAGGGGAGCGGGGCAAAAAGTGTGTGTGCTGGGTGAGTGGGGTCCTTCATGATGCAGGTGGCCCTCTTCCTGCATCTGGAGGTGTAGCTGTAAGAAGAGGGCCACTTGCATGAAGGACCCCACTCAATAATAATAATAATATTAATGTATAATAATAATTATTATTATTTAATAATAACAAATTTTAGCCCAGTAATATTATTATTATTTTTTCAAATCAAATATATGTTCCAGCTCTGATTAATTAATTAGCATTATGGGCATTTTATAATTAAAACAGAGCTTTTACCATTGGGACATGCTCGCTGTCACTCGAGAAAACTAACAAAAATACTTCAATTGTATTTGCGGCTCACTTGTTGTCCCGCCTCCTCAACGCTCTTATTGGTTTGTTTTAAGAGGGCTTGAATTTTCCGTTCTCTGATTGGCTCAGAGAGCTTTCAGTTTTGATCGCCTGCCAGCAGCGTCTGGAAGGGGAGGGGACCCGTCTGCCTTCCGCTTCTCGGCTGGATTGACACACAATGAGGAGCAGAGGCAGGGGAGACGCTCCGCAAACACCGCTGTAAATATATACAACAATCACAGAGGCCACAGAAGCATGGAGAACCAGGTACAGTGAGGTTTCGGCGTCCTTTTTATTGAAGTACGAGCTTCTCACTGTGAAAATGACAGCAGGCGGGTTGCTGGCTGGGAACGAGTGAACCTTTCTTTCTGTTAGTAAGGGGAAAAAAAAAAGCTCCTGTTTGAACTCGGTAGTTTTTTGGCTCTGGAGCTATGCTAGCTGGGCACTCATACATCGGTATTTACACCGTTCAGCACCGCTGCATCGCTGTAGCCACATCCAAAGACACAAAGAAATCCTCACTTTGAGTTAAATCTACTTCAAAAATCCATGCACGCTGTTAAACATCGCGACGGTCAGTTTAAATCGAGGTTTTGTTGCAGCTAAGCTAAGCTAATCATGTATGAGGACAGTGTCGACTGTGGGCTAAAGGCTAAAGGAGCCGCTAAGGGGGGGAAAGATTAGTCTCTTCGGGGCTGGTGAGGCTGGGTGTTGTCTCCTCTCTGCCCGCGGCCTCGAACCTGAACCCGGGGAGCTGACAAAACCAGAGTGGGTAGTATATTCACAATTTGATCTAATTTCACACATTCATGATTGTGGATGGAGGAAAAATCCATGCATTGAGGAAAATCTGTCAGAATCTGTGTCAAGTAAATCCAGTGATTTTTGTAATCCACAATTTAAAGGTACTCATTGCAAACTGTTAAATAAACATATAAATTGCTATTCTGTATCTAATAATGCAGTGAGAAGGTTTATGTCAGTAGTTTATTTATATATATATATCAAGTCAAGGTTCTTTATTGTCATTCTCATCACATGTGGTACATGTGATGGAACGAAATTGTGTACACAGGGTCCCCAGTTACATGCAACAAAAGTATAAATTGTAAAAGAGAAACGATAATAAGATCTAAGATATGAACTAAGAAATACGCCAAGCACTAATATTACAAAATCAATGCGTCGAACAACAGCAGCACGAACATGAGTCTGTGAGCAGATGAGCATGAATTGAACACAGCAGCATGAAATAAATCAGCAGCATGGATAGTCATCAGCACTTATCAACAGTCAAAGTGGCATTACAGTGATTTTATTCACAGTGATAATCCTGATTAGAGATTCATAAGTCTTAACAGCTTCAGGGAAGGTTTTCCTCACTGTGTGTGTGTATATATATATATATATATATATATATATAATGTGGGTATGTGCTCAATGTACACAAATGTAGAATTTGCAAAAAATTAAGTGGAAGTCTTAATCTTGTGAATGACCAACATTAGGCTAAATAATCATAGCCATTTATATTGTACAAAAAAGTTATAATGTTCAGAAAAAACGTGACATACACCCTGTTTTTAAATCTATTGTAGAGTGATTGTTTTAAAGAAAAACGTACCTGCAGGCTTTACTTGTCAAGTCTGAGCGTAAATGCGTACCATTGCAACAAAATTGTTAGTCTTCTCGTTCTCGATTCGAACAGCTCTTAAAATGGTCATTGATGTTGTTGATGGCCAATTTCTAATCACTTTGGCTCTTTGCACAATCAATACACATGGCGTTCACAAATTTTGCACTTAATTGTTTAACCAGCGGACATATTAACCACTGATATAATGAAAAGTTGTGCTGATTTTGTTTCTTACTTTATGAGTTTTTTAAATTATTCTCCTTGACATTGTATTGAGTTTCTTTAATATACTTGTATGTATAATTGTGCACATTTGTCATAATAAAAAGGGACATAATTTACTTTGCAGAAAACGGAAGCACATCTATCTGCTCTTTCTCTTCAAAGTAGATACAGATTCAGACTTCTTTGATGCCTGGGGATACCCAAGGCTGTTTTTCCAAATGGTTACCCGACACACACGCACGTAAAGTGGCCCAGCCACTTTTATAAGCTGGTCTCTATTCAGTATGGACCTCTTTGAAGTTTTAACCCCATATGTGAAAGTGCATCCAGACGGAGCCATCAACTCAGACTTAAAAGTGCATTCTAGTGTATTAACTTATACTAATAATTAGATATACCTTTACTAATTATTAACTTTGGGGAGCTAACCCAATTCAAGGTGGCCTCCATAGCCTTAGAAAAACACAAATAATGGCTATAGTTAAGTGGATTTTACATATATTGAACTCAAATTTAGTGCGGTAGTAGCTGACAGTCATTTCCAACACATACCTGATGTGCTACTTATTGTTCAAAAGCTTTGCCCAAAGCGTGAAAATTACCTGTTGGTATCAACCTTGTCTGTTAGCAAAATACTGGTATCTCATGAACCATTGAATGGATTTTGGTAAAATTCTCAGGATGTTTATTATTGTACATCTGTGGCTGATTTAATTTTGGGCTCAACCCAGTTCATGATGGACACCAGAGCTTATCAACTTTAGCCAACACAAAAGTAGCTAAAACTCGGTCATTGTTAAAGATATTCACCTAAAATCCGGTGTGGTAAAAGGTGAGTGTCTTTCACAACATATGTTCATGGTTTGAGTTTTATTCATCCATCCATTATCTTTACCCGCTTCTTCCTTTTCGGATCGTGGGGGTCGCTGGTGCCCATGTCCAGCCATCACTGTGCGAGAGGCGGGGTACACCCTGGACAGGTCGCAAGTCCATCACAGGGCCACACAGAGACAAACGAGACAAACAACCATTCACTCTCTCACTCACACCTAGGGACAATTTAGAGTTACCAATCAGCCTAACATGCATGTTTTTGATCTGTGGGAGGAAACTGGAATATCTGGAGAAAACCCATGCGCAGAGAGAACAAGCAAACTCCACCCAGAAATGTCCCCGGACCGGGATTTGAGCCAGGGTAACCTGCTCGCTGAGAGGCAGCAGCTCTACCAACTGAGGCACCGTGCGGCCATGGTTTGAGTTTTAACTCTTCTGAATATGAACAATACAGTGTGCAGCTTGTCAAATCTGTGCAGAAAGGTGTCAGAAATATTTGTAATTTAAAACCACCGTTGGCACAAGATTAACAAAAACCTGGTTAGAACGGTTTAAATTTCAAGATCCCAATGAGCAGTTTTGAATTTAGAGACACTTTTGCAAGCACAGACTCATTTTGTTTCTGGAAGAAGTTCGTATGTAAATTACTATCATGGTGGGGTTGTTACTGTTTGAATCCTACGGTTTATGGTTCTGTTTATTGCTTCTTTTCTAATTAAGTCCAGCCTCACTTGTGCATTTAAGCATTATTATGTCAAGACACATTGCAGGGTTATTGGATGCATTTTACCTTAGGTTTGAAAAGGGTTTGTCAGATGCAGGAAGTCATTTAATAAAGCAGTTTGTAAAGCTTTTATTTGAATTGTCTTACAACTGAATTGTATATTGTTCAACTTAAACTGCTTACTATGTAGATTCTAAGTAGGTTAGTGAATTTTAGTAATACAGGGAGCTTTTCTGGGGGTGTTGGTGTCTTGGGCTCAGTTTTGCTGCATGACTACATCAGCTGGGATGACAGGTTGAGTGGTCATGCAGCGTTTTTTTGTATAATCGCCACACTCTTTTTACACACCCTGTTTCCAGTACTCACTTGTTTTCTTTGGGTGTCGTAGAAAGGGTATTTGTAAGTTGCCGGTGACACCCAGGGATTTTCCATTTTCGTTTCTGTTCGAGTGATGCTGTTGACGGCTAATGTGGGGTACCTTGACAACTTTGGTCATAAGTTGTTGTCAGTGTGTGGCCTTCCCTGCTTTTATTTCAACCGTTTATTAGCTGGAAGAGATTAAAGCGGTGTTATTTACGTGGCAGCTGAGAGTTCATTGTTTTCATGGGAGCCAGCATGTCTGCCAAAATTTGTATGTCCCCTCAACTCCTGCGCTGTTTGAGAGAGAGCAAAGCTGTGTCCACATCAAAACAGTTTTAGATATAACGTGCAAGCATGTTTACACTTTTTTCCTCAATCTTATTAGTAGTTATGCAGAATCATTAGATGATTTTTAGGCATTTTTCAAACGTTACTTTCTATTTCCTTCAGTTTTTGTTTTTCATGTCAGTGTTACTCTGAGTTTGTGTTGTGGTAAAGATGTGAAACTTGTTTGTCATATGTTGCTGTTGCTAAAGCTCACAATTGTTTTAACGTTGTCACAGTTTGAATCATATCGAAAAATCTTCTGTGCTTGTCTGTATTTACTCAATCTGAAACGATTGACCCGGTTTGAAATGTGTTTTGTGAGAAAAAATAACCCAAAAAGCCACATTCATTTTGTTTCCTGAATTGGTTGTCCACCTCTTTCCTGTTTAGTAACTTAAAAATATTTTTTTTGCAATCTGTTAAATAAAACAAAACAAGCTTGAATCAGGTGATTGACTCACTGGTTATAATCTGTGTAGGTAAACAAATATGGCAGACTCTGACAACATAAAATAAGGGAGGAGATATTAAGGTGGAAATCCATCCATTTATTATCTTTACCCGCTTCTTCCATTTTGGGTCACGGGGGTCGCCGGTGCCCATGTCCAGCAATCACTGTCTGAGGGGCGGGGTACACCCTGGACAGGTCGCAAGTCCATCACAGGAAATATATATAAAAAAATTCTGCTAAACTCAAAAGGAAAGGAAAAAAGGGAAGTGAAACATCTGTCCAGAATAAATGTCAAGGATCAAGCAGGACAGTGGAGCGCCATAAAGACAAAATTCAGCATTCAAACACGTGCAACTTTTGCAAAGCTTGTAAATTGAATCAAAAGCTCAAAACATTTATAAGTCTTAATTTATTTTTCAGCTTCTTATAAATTCCCTCCTAGAAGATGCACATCATTGGTGTTAAAATAAAAAGTGAAAATGTAGAAATGTCAGAAAACAGCTAATTTTAACCTGAATCATTTGACGAGCGTCATTTTGTAGTAGCCAATCAAATTCATCTCACTGGTGGTTGGAGTTTTTAGAGAAGCAGGTGAAGTACTGCTCGTTGTCAAGTCTATTTTATTTTAAATTGTTTTATAAACCTATCTGCATACTTATACTTTAATTTGAATGTGAATATGTAATAATACATCAAATAGGCCAAACTTCTCCATCCCATAATGGCTCTTCCATGGATGTGGCCAGTTAAAAAAAAACAAAATCTATTTTCACTTTTGCTGTTTCTGTAAGTAAACTAATGCACATAGAAGTTAGAAATTATTTACAAATTTTTAACTTAAGGGCGTATTAACCATTGATATGAGAAAAACTTATGCGAGTTTGGTTTTTTACTTTTAATAATTTTTTTCATTTTCTTGCTGCTCATTGGAAAAAACTAAACTGATGAGGTTGGTATTTTAAAAATTTCACTCTTAAATCCTAGTTTATTCATTTCCAGTCAGTGTATCGGAAAGCAATCTATGAAATAGACTTCAAATTAAGTATTTGGATAATTTAGAACTTTTTACAGCATTCATATCAGTAAATCAGCTTGGTGTTTCATTAGTAATTGTTATTTTTTGACCAATAAAACATTTGATTTGAGCACCACAAATGGTCTACACTAATCATCTTTAGCTCACTGTGACAGATAGATATCTTTGTTGTCTCCAGAGCATAAATATTATCTATTTACTGTCACTTGTATCAAAGAAATTCACGTTTTCACAGTTTAGAACGTGAGAATTTATTGTAGTGGCTTGCAGACCATTAAAATAGCAGCTAATTAATTTTCTAATTGAGATCTAATTTAGAGTCTTTATGTTGCCACTTGGCTCATAATATTCTATTATTGGCAGATGTTTCATCTACATGTTCAGGTAATTATTTTTTATTGTCTTAATCTGCCTCAGATTTTATGGATTGTTTGATAATTGAAGTATTAAGTGGGGGAATAAAAACCTGCAGACTCTCGAAGCATAAAATGTTGAATTTGCTTATTTTGTCTGACTTAAACTTAAATACATTCAATTGACAAACACGCTGAAAAAAAATGCAACAACTCACTTAGTTTGTACAGATTTAGATACCTAATTAACTCTTAAAAAGAATGAAGTGATATTTTAAAATTAATTTTAAGACCTTTACAGCATTTTGTGGCATTCTGAATTCATTCTTTGAATTTTTTTTGTTTAATTTCTTGCATTAAAGGCATTCCTCTTTGGCTGTTTGTCATCTTGATTTTTATGTTTTGTTCACCTGATTTTCACGTACCCCTGAAAGGGAGGGCGTGCTAATGATCAGAGTGACTCCCCGGCTGCTCGCTGTCGGTGGGGTCTCGGGTTTAGGGGTATTACTGTCACAGAATGAGCCAGGCAGAATGCCAGGCAGAGAGGTGTGTTTGTGTGTGTGAGAACCAGAGAGTGCCAAACAAGGTCATCTCAGTCCTGTCCCGTCTAATCCCCCCCACTCGGTCTCCGCTCACGAGCTGCTCAGTGCCAGGGCCAAATCCCCACATTCTTCAACCCTTCCCTGGACATAAAGTGCCTTTCTGTCCCCCCACCCCCAACCTCTTGTTCCCCTTCTGTAGTCGGCCTCCACAGCCTCTTCACTTCCATAATCACAGTGTCATTTGCGCGGTCTGCTCCTCTCATTGTTCATGGCTGGCAGAAGTAGCCCAATAATGTAGTCCTTTTCTGGACAAATCTTTTGAGGTCAGTCGACTCGGGCATCAAATTACTCTCATTTTACTGGGAGCGTCCAAACACCAGAGCAGCTTTGCATCTGTTTAGGCCCTCTCCTCTTCAGTTCCATGTCCTCACACTTGAACAGAATATTAATGCTTTAAGATGGAATTGATATATTATAAATTGTCCTCATAGGCTAATTACAGTCCTGATGTTATTTAAGTTTATTTCTTTCCTATTTTTCCTGTGCCATGTTTCAGCTTTACCAGGAGGATGTAGTTGTTTTCATTCTCTCAATCCTTATAATTTATAATTTGTAAGCTGATTAATATAAACCAAGGTTTCATCTTAAGACTTTTCGTTCGTTTAAAAGATGGGTTTTCCTCCTGATTATAATTTATAAAAAACACTTTAAACAGTTTTAGGCTTTTTTTTTTCCCAAGAACTAAAAAATAATTTATCAAAACAGATTTAACCTACTGGGTTTTTTTGTTAAATAAAGTTTGAATGTGCTCAATAACACAAAAATAATCTGTAACATTTCATGATGTTTGATAAATCTGCCATATTTTTCATAGAACATTTCTTTTAAAGTAGTCTCTTAAGTTTTTTATTTTTATTTTGTATAAACTCAGTTTCTTTATCAGATTAATTCATTTGATTCTTGAGTAGGTAACACTATTTCTGCTTTTTGTGCATGTTTTCCTATGTTTATGTCCTGATTGGAACAATACACAGCATTTACTGTAACCATATTTGTCTGTTCCTTTTCAGTGCACAGTGCAGGTGAAACTAGAGTTGGGCCACCGGGCTCAGCTGAAGAAGAAAATAACATCAGAAGGCTTCACACATGACTGGATGGTGTTTGTCCGAGGGCCTGAGACCGGTGACATCCAGCACTTTGTAGATAAAGTTGTCTTCCGCCTGCATGAGAGCTTCCCCAAACCCAAGAGAGGTAGGGCAGAGTCAAGACAATTATGAACAGTGCAAGAAGACTTTTAATCTGAAACTTCTCTTTCGGATAAATACTGATTAAACTTTATTTTCCTTGTGGCTATTGTTTCACCGTAGATCTCACTGTTTTGAACAATAAGTTTGAATGAGTGTCACTAGAATAAACCATAAGTATTTTTTTTTAAATAAAACTAGGCATATTGACTTTGTTTCCCAAATATTGAAGGTTTTAGCTGAATTTTAGTATAAGCCATCAGATCAAACTAAATATAGATTGATGGGGGGGAAAAAAGAGTGTAGTTGATTACAATTTAGATCAAATAGCTGTCATTACTTTGCTCAACAGTGAGAAATAATGGGTGAGACGTGGGTTACAGGCATGTATTTATAAAAATGATTACATCACTGAAGGCATGAAAGTACGGAGCCCTGGAAGGGACGTGGGGGATTTTTTTTCTTTTGCGTTCCCTCGCAATACTGTACTGTATGTAGCGTTACCTCACAGACAACAGCAACAATGGAACAGACACCCGTATTTGAGGTTCATGGAGTTTGAGACTTAACACTATATAAATAAACTGAATTTTGAAATCAGCCTTAAATATAAGGACATCCAGTGTGTGCTGCAGTGGTAGAATTAGTTTTACGTTGGATATTTCACGTTCATGCTCTGTGGATTCAGCGGTGGCTTCCTCGTTCGAGCCGACGCAGGCAGTCTGTTTTCACTCAGCTGCTCTGTCTGTCACTCCAAGGAGCGATGGTTCGCTTAGGGACCGTCAACAAATTACTGTATTTTCAGAGTATTTGTCAAAGCAGCACCATGTATCATAACTAAAGTTTTCCACGTATATTTCTGCATAGTAATAAATCATGAATTCTCACCATTTAAAATCCAAAAGAACAAGGTGGCACTTGCATTTCAAAACTACTGTAACTTTCTTTTAAAGCATCAAAGTTCATGCTCAATCATCCAGGTACAAAATACTATAATGGTCAGTCAGGTCATCTGGACAATTTCTTTTCTGTGGAAAGACGTTTCGCCCTCCATTAGGAGGTCTTCATCAGTCACCAGCAAAACCAGCAAACTGGTTGGTCCACTAAAGGAGTGTACTGCTTAGTGGGGAAAACGGTTTACTTAAGACTCCTCAGACTGATGAAGCCCTACGGAAATGTGTGCTTACTGTGTTTTTAGTTAACGTTTTTCTTAGTTCATATCAGATCTTACTACTGTTTTCCTTTTACACACATTTTAATACTTTTGTTGGATGTAACTGGGACCCTGTGTACACAATTTCGTTCCACCACATGCACCACATGTGGTGCGAATGACAAATAAAGAATCTTGAATCTTTGAATCCTTGAATGAACTTTGATGCTTTAAAAGAAAGTTACAGTACTTTTGAAATGCAAGTGCCACCTTGTTCTTTTGGATTTTAAATGGTGAGAAAATTCATGATTTATTACCATGCAGAGATATACTGAGAAAACTTATGATACATGGTGCTGCTTTGACATACTCTGGAAATACATCTAAAATAGTATAACAGTGTTCAGACCAAGCTCATTAGCCCTGTAATTTGTTGACGGTCCCTAAGAGAACCATCTCTCCTCGGAGGAGGGACAGACTGAGAGCAGCTGAAGGACATCACTCACTCTCTGCGTTGGCTTGAACGAGGAAGTCCTGAATCCACGGAGGATGAACATGAAATATCCAACGTAAAACTAATTTTACCACTGCAGCACACACTGGATATCCTTATATTTAAGGCTGATTTCCAAACAAAACTCCATTAAATCATGTCATCTGGACCATTTTCTTCAAGGGAGGAACGTTTGTTGTCTGTGAGGTATAACAATACATACAGTACAGTACTGCGAGGGAACGCAAAAGTATTGAGAGGAAATGCAAAAGTTAAAAAAAAATCCCCCACGTCCCCTCTGGGGCTCCGTATGAAAGTAATTGAAAATGTATATTAACCTTAAGATGTGGTCAGTATACTGTAGATGTTTATGAGAGTGCTCATGTGCGAAGAACGCCACAAATCAAGCCAAAGAGGAGCTAATAGGACTGAGGAGAGGCAGGACTTTAGAGCTGGTAGACCTGCTGAGTTCAGGTGTCTCCAAAAGGTTAAGGTGTGCCTCCTACTGCTGCAGCAAAGAAGATAGATTATAGATATTAATATGGAAACAGACTCTCATGGGGTAATTTTCTAAGTCTCTTAATTGTTAAAAAAAAGTAATTAAAAAAATCTCATGTTACATTGCATTTTACAACTGATACCACCGGCTGGCCATCATCCCCAACACATTGTTTTAAGTGCTAACACACTGTGAAAATGAAAATGAAGCTGTTAAAGGTGTTTGAGTATAATGTTAGTTTTGCCTTTGACGTGTGTCTTTCTGCAGTATGCAAGGAGCCTCCATACAAAGTAGAGGAATCGGGCTACGCAGGCTTCCTCATGCCTATTGAAGTATACTTCAAGAACAGGGTGAGAACACCTGCAGCACAAAACAGAAACCCTGTTCCTTTAATGTATTTTTTGTTGTTGTCTGAACGTTTACATTAACATGTCTAGTGTTTGAACTGAAGAAGAGACATTTATTTTGGCCCTACAGGCTGAACTAAGGAGAGAATCATCACTTTTACCCTGATTGCTTTTTGTGGCTTTTTAATCTCAGGTGTACAGAAAATGAGTGTTTCAGACATTCAAGGCAAAACTTTCAGCTGCAGCCAGTTTGATTAACATTCAACAGTTCTTGTTGTGGATCTAGATCAAAATGATTGTACCAGCATTATGGCTGCTGAGGTTTTATTTTTTACCCTGATTTAAGGATATACAGCACACATGCTGCCAAGCTTCAGCTCACAGTTCTTTGTGAATCGCTGTGTTGGAGGAAACTTAACTGCTTATGCCAGTCAGACTGTGTGATCTTAATCAGTTTTGTAGATGCAACAATATGTGAGAACATTGTGATTTTGTGACAAACTGGTAGGACCAAAGTGTATAAAGATTAAAGTGAATATAGCTTTTATTTGCTAAGGTGTCCGTTACTGTACGTGTCAACACCTTTTTCTGGTTCATTCTTTGAGTTTTTAGGAGCCTTTTTTTATGCCTGAATCACTCATGGATCAGATATATAAGGTTTAACAAACATAACAAACCAATCTGCTTTTCAGTCCAGTATCTGACCATTTAGAAGTGGAAAAAGCCACTAAAGTAAGAAATGATCTTTGGAAGACATTTGGAAGTATTCTCCAAGAGCGCATGAAAAGTTACAAGAAAGTCTGGCCTTTTGGAAGAATAGTCAAAAATAAGGGGAGACTGAAGAGTACAGCACTTTTTTTATATCTGCATCTGGCAAAACAAAAATCAAACGGCCTACAAAGTCTGTTTTTTTTTTTTTATTTCCTGCCATTTTTGAGAAGCACACTTCTCTCAGGTTTTTTGTAAGTGCAATGGTTCCTTATTTTATTTTAGTTTAAATTCTTGAAGTTTACTTAAATGAATGTACAGTGCTGTCTTTCTTACTCTGTCTTGCCTCTTTATATTTTGCTTTGAAGGACTTAAAGTTATAATCCTTTAAAACAGCCTTGAGCAATAGCGCACATTATGCACTTTGGATGGCATCCAGAACTGGCCCTTTTACCCTTTTAAGAGCACTTAGCTTCTTCACAATAGACAGATATGTCACTGGAAGATCAAGATGGCACTTAAAGGTGCATATCATCAGTCCATCATCACACTTTCAGAAAAACATTTCGTTTATGAAATCTTTGCTGTAATTTCTGGTTTGCGCTTTATTTTTTCTGCTGCCACAACAGTTTCTCTCAGGAATGCTTCTTATCAAAGTGTCGACTCGAGAGCCTTTTGTCTGTTTTATTGACCCATCTGGTTGATAGTGGATTCATTCAGCTTCTGTCTGTTGTGAAACGTACGAATATTGAGAGCAGCCGTGCAGAAAGACAATGCAAGGTTATTCATAAAGTCTGTTTAAACTTGTATAATATTTACTATTTTTGTCAGGAGGAGCCAAAAAAAGTTTGTTTCAACTATGACCTGTTCCTTAATTTGGAGGGCAACCCACCTGTTAACCACCTGCGCTGTGAGAAGCTCACCTTCAACAACCCCACCATAGATTTCAGGAGAAAGCTCATCAAAGCTGGAGGGGTGAGGCTGCCTACTTCACTGTCACAATGACTGTTTGACTAACCCAAACATATAGAGACTAAATGGTGTATTTTATAAAGACTAAAACCTTAAATTATTGGCTTATCTTAGATATTTCAGTCCCTCCAGAAAGTTGCATTTATTTATTTATTTGTTTGTTTGTTTGTAAATTTGACCAATCATCTTGGCCTCCTGCCTGTTTTCACTTCTTGGATTTTGAATCTGCAAGATACCGTTATTTCCAGCGCACTCAAATATAAGCCACGCCCACTAAAAAAATCAACAACAAAAAAAACATTTGTACAATTTGTACATGTAATTGTATTTAAGCTGCGCCTGTCCATGTTGTAACATAAGATATTTTTGCAGAAAGATTCTTAAAACTTTTAATTAAATACCTACTGGTAACATATGCAAATACGTACAGTAAATGTTTTTTTCTCAACATTGCTTGTAACACAGCTGGTTAAAAAAAACGTAGCCTACCAGGAAGTCATTGATCGCTATCTTCACCTTCCTCCTGTGCATTGTGCAGGAGGAAGGTGAAGATAGCAGGAAGGGGAGGAGAGAAACCCATTGTGACCTGTTGGGTAATTTCATTGGTCAGATTTATTATTTTATTTTATTTAACCTTTATTTATACAGGCGGTATCATTGAGTCACGAGGATCCACCCCCGCAAGAGAGACGCATATTGGGCAGCTATGTGAGCGCCCAGGTGTGACGAGGCTAAATGCTTTGGCTGCATGAAGCTCGTTAACCCGTGAAAAAACAAATCCAAAAATTAGCCGCAGCATTGTATAAGTCGCTGTGTTCAAAACGTGTGGAAAAAAGTAGCAACTTATAGTCCGGAAATTACGGTAGTAACATGTTTGACACCAGAAAATCACATTTGCTTTTAAATATTCTGCATAAAATCTGCACAAGTCATTTTCATGTGGTGAAAAACTGTTTTCCTCCACAAGCAACATTGTGTTTGAACATGAACAAAAATCATGGCTTGACAAGCGCTGTTCTATGGTAAAACAAGCCCAAGAATGGTTGTGAATGGTCATTTTCAGTGTGTTAATAAGCAATAAGTAAGGAGCTGCCATTTTAAATGGGGGAAAAATGCATTTGCTGGTGGACAGAAGTGTCACTAAATCCGAGGCAGCCTGTCATAGCAATAGGTTTCTCATTAACAGTTGACAATAATGTGTAACAAAGACACAGAAATACAAGAAATCACCCATTACTTAACACAAAAGATGTAATTCATCAAACTTAAAAGATTTATTGACTCAATTAAATACATTTGATGCTTGGCATTGACATTGTTTGGTTTTGTTTTTGGTAGTTTTTGTAAAATTCATTTCAGGAAAAAGAAACTGATGCAAACTCCTGGAGGGACTGATAAATGTCACAGCCCTAAAAAATGAATCTAAAACAACTTCCTCCTTTTGGCGCGGAAGCCTCACAATTCTATTTTGCAGTCAAACATGGAGCCTGAGTGGTTTTGAGTTTCAGCAGAAAAACACTGTAACTCACGTGTCTTTGATTTCAGATACTGGTTGTCCCTGAGGGGGCTGAAGCTGTGTCGAGGCCCAGTCCGGACTACCCAATGCTCCCCACCATCCCCCTCTCAGCCTTCTCAGACCCCAAGAAGACCAAGACCTCTCATGTATCAAAGGTTGGCACACACCAAAAAAAAACGTTTTGACTTTTATGTTAAGTCAGTTCAAGAACCTTTTTAATGAGTCACATTTTTCTTGACCACTCCAAAAGTTACTTTTTTTTTTGTTGTTGACAAAAACCGTCCCAGAGAAATTATTAATTACCGTAGGTTGTTAGAAGAGCCTGACTCAAGCTTGTAATTGTTGCCAGCTGTTTTTGTGCATCTGTAAGCAGAATCCCTCTGCCTTTATCTGCCAGGAGGAGTGTGGTGTGGGGACAGCAGGAGAAACAGGAAACTGACTCTTTTACATTTTCCAGAGCTGATTTGGTTACAGTCCAGTATGGATCAGATAAGGACTTTGTTTTTGAAATGAGATAAGACTTGCCATTCACAGCATTTATTTTTTAAACTCTTCTTGTCCTTGATGAAGAATTTTTCTTTTGTTCATGAGCATAATGCAACCAAAATGTGTCTTTATTAGTTTTATAACATTTTACTTAGGACTAGGACCCACGAAGATAATTAATGGCAAATAGCCCCAAGTTCTGATCAAAACACCTCAAAACTGAATGTCCTTATTTTTTGGTAATGGTAGATGTTTGCTGAGCACCAAGTGTAAAATAATTCAGTCAAGCTGTAGTCATCTGTTGGTATAGGAATAAAAAGCAAAACTGAAGGTTGCAAAGACTCATTTTATTTTTCCAGTTGTAGATTAAAGGACTATAATATATATTTTTTCTGGATTCTCCCTCTGCAGGGGGTCGTCACAGCGAGCGAACTCGGAAAATTTGGCAATTAATTTGCAGCAGATACCCTTTCTGCCACAACCTGGACTCAAACCCACAACCTTAGGGTTACAGTACTACAGCACTGACCGCTGAGCTGAAGGACTATAATTTTTGTTAAAATTTATTATTAAATACTGTATTTTCCGGCATATAAGTCTCACCTTTTTGCCAAATTTGCATACCCTGCGACTTATACGCCGACGCAACACATTTTGTTTTTCCCCATATTTATAAACCAGTTTTTGGCTGAGATATGACCGTTTTTATTAATTCTGACATGGAAAATATTGAACACTACCATTTTCAGCTGCTAGATGGCACTTAAGTAGTTTGGCATGTTGTTGTGTCACGTAATAGGTAAAAGTGACTATTAATAACCGCCCGCAAAATGCAGCTAATTTGACCAATGAAGTGCATTTATTAAATAAAAGTTCAACTGAGACACACCTTTACATTAATGTCGAGCAAACAAACAATTGTTTTAGGTGATTATCTTGTTAAATTTCGAAGAAATGCAGAGAGTCGTCCCTCTGCATGCTCCTGCTTCCGCTAATCGGCTTTTGAAATGCAGCTGATTTGACCGTCAAAGTGCATTTATTAAGAAAAAGTTAGACTGAGACACACCTTTGCTATAATTTTGTGCAAACAAATAATTGTTTTTAAGTGTTGATCTTGTTAAATTATTGTTAAAGTCCTCTTGTGCATGCTCCCGCGGCCACCATTTGGCAGCCAATCGATTTTTGGCACAACATCGGTCCACATTTCTCGGTTGTCAGTGGTGACGCATAAGCGATGCGACTTATACGACGATGCGACATATTTTGTTTTTTTCCACTTTATTAGACATATTTGGACTGATGTGACTTATATGGCGATGTGATGTACATGGTGGAAAATTGTTATAATTGTAAAACAAAGAAGCAAATAAGTAAACGCTAAACATGATTTTCTGCCAGAGAACCTTTTTAAAACTACTCCTGACTAGTTACAGTTTACTCCATCATCATCACAATTTCAAATTTGCTCAGTTTTCAAGACAAAAGTTTAGTGAGTGAGACAACTTCTCAAATTTGACACGTTGTCTTTTATCTCTGCGCCTCATCTGTGCTTTGCACTCTGCGGTAAGGTGTAAATGAAGTTGTAAGTTGTGTTTTACTGACAGTTTTGGTGACATTGCTGCTATTTTAAAAAAAATTTTCTGTTCAGGAGCCCAGCAAAGAAGGAAGTGGCAGCAGCAGCAAAGTGCCCAAACCGCACAAACTTACCAAGGAGCACCGCGAACGACCACGAAAAGACTCTGAGAGCAAAGCCTCGTCAAAAGGAGACGACAGAGATGGAAGCGGCAAAAGTGGTCGTGACCCTTCCTCTTCCTCGTCCTCATCTTCGAAAAAGCCGTCAGAGATCAAAGTGAAAGATGAAGTTAAAGTCCTACCAAAGGCAGCGTTTAAGGAGCCTAAACTCACCCTGAAGGAGTCCAAGATGGAGGGCATGTCCCCTAAAGGTGGGGGGGCCGGAAGTGGAGGGGGAGGAGGAGGCGGAGGGGTGCCGGTGGAGTCCAAAGCGCCGGGGAAACGACCGTCTACTGTGGACTCTCCTAAACCCAGCGCTAAGAAGCAGAAGAAGGGCAGCTCTGAGGGGCTGAAAGCGCCGAGCAGAGGGACTTTCACAGGAACTTCTACACGCGTCTCCTCGTCTTCGGTGGCCAGCCAGCCCTACAGCGAGAAAAAACCTTCCAAGGATAAAGGTCGCTGGGCCAAAGGCAAAAATGATACACAGGAGCTGAAGGAACCTAAGAAACCTCTGGAGTCAGAGGAGTCGAACTCAGAAGATGAAGCATCGTCAAAGTCAGAGGTATGAGGCGCTTTACTTAAACATGACGGGTTGTTAAAGTTCAATGTGTGGGATTAAAAAAAAACAACAACTTTTTTTTCCTTAAGCTTTTTTCTATATGTATTTAATCAGATGTCACAACTCGATTGCGTATTTGTCTCTTTTCAGTGGTAACACTTTCAGATGTATTTATTTGACCTAAAGTACAAAATTTAGATATTTAGTTTACTGTTGGAAAGAAAATTAATCATCACACTCAATTGTAATTATTTTTGTTTGCTTCAAATTGAATTAGAATGCTGGTGGTTAATAAATATTAATAATTTTCAATAACTGTTGAATTAAAAAATTGTTGCAATATTTATTTAATTATATAAATGCTCATTGAAAGACGTCTGTCCGTAAACTGTCTCTTATCCGTCCGATAATTTTGAAATTGCTCAAGATAACAATGAAATTACATATGTATACGCATCATCACTAGACAGAGTGTCACATACACTTTTCTCACCTCAGCTTCAAGTTCAAGGCCACAAATCAAGGTCACACATTATTTTATACAAGGTATTTGCTTGTTTGGGCCATTGCTATAGACTGTTGTGTAATACTTACATGTTTGTTGACGGGCGTATAATGCGGTAGAGCCTGATTGATATATCGTACGGGCGATATATCAGTAGGTCCAATATTTTAGGCCGATAAAGGCGTTTGGGGCCATAGTAATAATATTTGTGATAATTGGCCCAGTATGCACCAATATCAAATAAACACTTCAAATTTTCGCCCCTAAAATGCTGGGAACAGGGCGCATGCAGACTACTCTCATGTCATGGCCACTTGACTCACAGCACAGCCGAAGCAGGGAATAACTAAATAATGTGTAGCATATTTTGCTGAACAGAGCATGGTAAGTTTATTGTAACCTATCTGTAAAATTATTTTAAAACCAACAATAAGAAATTATCCTTGCCATCTTTGCTTTGAGTATGCTGATGAAGTACAGAAAAGGTCAGAAAGAACTCCATTGTGTCTTTGTGGATTTAGAAAAAGCATGTGACAGAGTGCCGAGGAAGGAGTTGTGGTGTTGCATGAGGAAATCTGGAGTGGCAGAGAAGTATGTTAGACTAGTACAGGACATGTATGAGGACAGCAGGACAGTGGTGAGATGTGCTGTAGGTGTAGGAGTGACATATACTGTAGCATCAAGGTGGAGGTGGAGTGCATCAAGGATCAGCTCTGAGCCCCTTCTTGTTTGCTCTGGTAATGGACCGACTAACAGATGAGGTCAGGCATGAATTCCCGTGTACTATGATGTTTGCAGATGACATTGTGATCTGTGATGAGAACAGGGAACATGTGGAAGAGAACTTGAAGAAGTGGAGGTATGCACTTGAAAGAAGAGGAATGAAAGTCAGCCGTAGTAAGACAGAGTACATGTGTGTGTGTGTGAATGAGAGGGAGGCCGGTGGAACAGAACAGTGAGGCTACAAGGAGCAGAGGTCTCAAAGGTGCAGGACTTCAAGCACTTGGGGTCCACTATCCAGGAAAACGGGGAGTGTGGTAAAGAGGTGAAAAGAGAGTCCAGACAGGATGGAGTGGATGGAGAAAAGTTTCAGGGGGGCTGTGGCTGAGTGGTTATAATAATAATAATAATAATCATTTTATTTAAAAAGCGCCTTTCATGACACCCAAGGACGCTTTACAGTAAGAACAAAGATCAACAGGAATAAATTACATAAAGAATATAAAATACATACAGCAAAGTTAAGGATAAGCGAGTCTAAAGAGATGTGTTTTCAGAGCAGTCTTGAATAGAGAAAGAGAGGTGGTGTTTCTTAAGTCAGGGGGTAGAGAGTTCCAGAGATGAGGGGCAGAGCAGGTGAAGACCCTGCTCCCCATGGTGGAGAGGCGGGCAGAGGGTACATGGAGGTGTAGTGAAGAGGAGGATCTGAGAGAGCGCGAGGGGATGGAGATGTGTAGGAGGTCAGATAGGTACAGAGGGGCAAGGTTGTGGATAGCTTTGAAAGTGAGAAGAAGAATTTTGAAGACGATGCGTGATTTAACCGGGAGCCAGTGGAGCTGCTGCAGGACAGGAGTGATGTGGTTATAGGAGGAGGTTTGAGTGATGACACGGGCAGCTGAGTTCTGGACCAATTGCAGCTTCTGGAGAGATTTGTTGGGGAGATAAAGAAGGGAGTTGCAGTAGTCAATCCGAGAAGTCACAAGACTGTGAACAAGGATGGCTGTGGACCAGGGTGTGAGAGAAGGAAGGAGACGGTTAATATTTCGGAGATGGAAATAGGCAGACCGAGTGATATTGTTGATGTGTGAAGTGAAGGAGAGAGTGGTGTCGAGGATGACACCAAGACTCTTGACCTGAGGCGAGGGGGAAAGCAGAGAGTTGTTAAGGGGGATGAGAAGATTTTCTGATTTTGAAAGAGAGTTTTTGGTACCGACAAGAATGATTTCTGTTTTGTTACTGTTTAGTTGTTGGAAGTTGTTAGAAAACCAGTGATTTAGCTCATTGAGACAGTCGGTGAGGATGGAGGGTGGGTGGTTAGAGCAGTCGTCCTCCAATGCGAGAGTTGGGGTTTCAAATCCACCAGCAGTCACATGCCTAAGTGTCCCTGGGCAAGACACTGAACCCTTCATAGCCTCCGATGTGTGTCCCATCGGTGTTTGAATGTGATAAAGCTCTGATTAGTCTCATTAGAATGATTTGTTCAATTAGCTTTGTAGAGATCTAGTAGAGTGCTGTGTGGATGGGTAAATGAGGACACAGATTGTTGTGTGACGCGCTTTGAGTATCTTGAAATAAGATAGAAAAGCGCTATACAAGTACAGTCCATTTACAGTCCATTTGTGACAAAAGGGTGTCAGCAAAGGTCAAAGGAAAAGTTTACAAGACAGTGGTGAGACCAGCTATGTTATATGGCCTGGAGACAGTGGCATTGACAAAAAGACAGGAGAAAGAACTGGAAGTGGCAGAAATGAAGATGTTGAGGTTCTCCTTATGAGTGACAGGATGGATAAGATTAGGAATGAGATCATCAGAGGTACAGCACAGGTTGAACAACTGGGAGATAAAGTTAGAGAGGACACACTGAGATGGTTTGGACATGTCCAGAGGAGGGACAGTGGGTATATTGGTAGAAGGATGTTAGAAATGTAGCTGCCAGGAAAAAGACAAAGAGGAGATACATGGATGCAGTTAGGGAGGACAACATCGAGGTAAAATATATCGGTGTTTTAACGTTGTCTTTGCTGAACTCAATAAAATGCATTGTTTGTCTAAAATCTTTACTTCTCTGCAAAGAACAAAACAAAACGCAGCAGCAGTCGGTACTAATTAGGCCTTCACCATGCGTGACTGGCTGTTTAAACAATGAACAGGGAAGGGTGCTTCTTTGTTTAATTTATAATTTTGTAACACACTTGATAAGTTTATGTTTAATAGTGGAGGATAGAAAATGCGAATGCATGTTAGGAAGACCGTTCCAAGACTTCAAGTGTTAAAACAGGTTTAAAATAAACTGTTTACTTAGAATCTCAGAGGTGGACAAAGCTCTACAATTTTCAGCTAATATATCGGTTATCAGCATTAGGCTTTCTCTCCCAACATCGATATTGGCGATTGCCAATATTTCCATATCGGTCAGTCTAGTATGAGGTACTCTTGTCTAACTTTTAATTTTCTTCTTGACTTACAGCAATCGGCTCCCTCCAGTCCTTCCAACTCCAGTTCCAGTTCGGACTCTACTTCCGACTCTGACTTTGAGCCAGGACAGAAACAAGGACAGGGTACAGTTAGTTTTTCCTTGTTAAATGGAGGACTGTTTTAATATATAATAGCACACATTTCACTGCTGAGAAGCCTCAAATTGTAAAATACCACGACTGCAAGTTTAGAGTTGTTTAAAGTTTAGAAATTTTGAGATATTTTTCAGAAGACGTGAATTATTTCCTAGACCACTGGTTTAGCAAAGTCCCTGTTTGTGACCCTTTGCTCCTCCCTCAGGGCCCCTACGATCGATGGTGGAAGAGATCCAGTCAGAAGAGTCAGACGATGATGACAGCACCTCTGAAGAAGAAACACCCATCAAAACCAACCCGCCCAACCGTGATTCTCGGTCGGTTTCAATCTATATTGTGAGATTTTAGGCAGAAGTTTGCATCAAAAACAGATATTTTACTTGTCCAGCTAATATTTCTCTCAAAGCCTAACCTTGATTCAACTAGCTAACTCTGCTAGCATCCAAACGGTCACCCTGATCTCAGACAGACCTCCCCAGGCCCAGACGCTCTGTCACTCAGTCTGTGTGAATGACCTCTGACCTCACCTTGTGCCCCTGCCAGACTCAGCCTGGACAGCGAGAGTGACAGCAGTGATGGCTCACACCGCCCCAGTCGAGACCCCGCCCCTCCCCCACAAAAACACAGCTCCTCCAATAACAAAGTGAGTCACACACTCAACCCACTTCATTCTGTGCTTTCACTGAATGGACATTTGAAGAGTTTGACTGGAAAGTAAAATATTAATAAACTTAGACTGAGACAAACCACAAGCTGCTATTGCATGAGTCAGAATGGATGCCGTTTGAATGATCATTTTCATGTCGCTTTAATTTTCAGACACTGTAAACAGTTTTGAATCATTTGAGTTGAGTCAGACCTTTAGAGCTCTGCACAGAACGCCTAACAAAACTTGAGCAACATTTCAAAGAAGAGTGAGGAAAAAATCGTTAGTGATCTGAGACTGATAAGATGACACAAAAGATTACTTGGAGTTATTGCAACTAAATGTGGTTTGACATACAATGCATGTCATGGGGTGAACTTAACATTTTACACACTGCCTAAGCATTGTGAAACAATACATTAAACAACGTATTGTCATGTTTTAGACCCAAATGTTGTTTTTATTTAATGCCCAGACTGAAAAATGTAAATAAATAAAGTTCTTGTTTTTCCTTTGATTGTTTATTTCAGCTTTCATTGCAATCACCTTTATCTAAGATAATATTTTAAACTGTGTGTTTTTATGTTTTTTTTTTTTTACAATATTTTGTTCTGCTTTTCTTGTTTTGTACTGTAGGTTGTCCGAAAGAGTCCAGATTCCTCTTTTCGCTCCGAGAAGATGATGAAGAAGGGATACGACAAGGTAGGAAGGGTAAATCAAACCTTTTTTTAATTCTTTATAGTTAGTATTCTCGCTGCAGGAATAAATTGCTTTATTTTATTACAAGATGATTGATCTTATCATTAAAACAAACTTTGAGTTATTTACTTTATATAAAACTTTTTACATTAAAACAAACGCATACTTTACTTAGATTTCGCATTGACTATGAACTATTGAGTTTAACCTGGAACTTTTCTGAACATAGTTTAAAGTTTGGTTTTCTATGATTATAAAAGTCTCAAAAGACATAAAAATTATTATTATTCATGGTAATATTTATTGCTCACAACCCAGCCTGTCAATAAGGACAAAGTTTTCAACCAGAATTCAGACAGAACCACACTCATGTTTACCAGTGATATTAAGTCAAAGTACAATTAGAGAAATGGCATTTCCTGCAAAAATGCAGTGCGAATGCTTATTGCAGACGAACTTGCTGAAAAACAGCTGAAATTAGCTAAAAAAAAAAAACATGCTGAAATGGAAGAACAAGCCAAACTTAGCAGAAGAAAGCAGAAAGAAAACATATTTGCTGAATAATGTATAAATAAGCAGAAATTAGCACAACAAATTAGAAATTACGTAAAAAAGCTGAAATTAGCAATAGCTGAATAGTAGCTAGAAGGGTAGAAAAAAGCTTAAATTACCAGAAGGAAGTGGATAGAGCACAGTTGTGCCCAATTAGGCTTAATGAAGCAGAAATGAGCACAAAACAGTGGAAATTATCTGGAACAAAGCAGAAATTTGTGAAAAACAGATGAATAGCTAAAAACAAAAAAGAACAAAGGTTAAATTATCAGATGGAAGTGAAGCGAGCACAATTGTGCCCAATTAGGCTGAAAGAAATGAGCATAACGTGCAGAAATTAGAAGAAATAAGTTAAAAGAAACAAAATGTTGTAGTTAGCAGAATAAAGCTGAAAGGAGCACAGAACTGCTGAAATTAGCTGAGAACCAGAGGACCAGATTGAACTTTTTTGGATTTTTCTACCTGGATTATTGAGCATGCATCAGGATAGCTGAAAGTAGCTGATTTTTATTTTTTTTTTAATTTGCACAAGGAAGCTGAAAGAAGATTAACCAGAACAAAATGTGAAAGTACCAGCAAAAGGTTCTAAACAGACTTGAAGATATGAAGGATGTAAAATGAGCTCATTTCATTTTATATGAGGCAAAAAAAGGCAGAAAAGGCTAAATATTTGAAAAAGCTAAAGTTTCACTAATACCAAAAGTCATAGCAGGATTGTCCTGAAAGAGCTGAACGTTTTGATTTATGATTTGTTGAAATGGCACAAAAAATTGTGGAACGAGAAAGATGCTGAAAAATAAAAAGCTTAATAAACATTTGCACAATTAGAAATATTTTTCAGAAAACTTATTTGAGTTTTATCTGTCAGACATGCTGCATATGTTGCCAAATAATTTTGCTTCAGTTAAAAGTCAATGTAGTGTCCACAACATTTAATTTATTAAACTTATCTGTTTCAGAGTGGAAAAGTTGTGCCAAAGTTTGTCTCCAGATGTCGTTTCCTACAATTTGCATCAACATTTTATTTGAGTTAATTATTTTTATTCTAACTCAACGCCAGTGATAAATTGTCGTACATTATCTACCATCCTGTCTTCTCTCACCGCCGCTCTGCACAGGCACGGTGTAACGACTTGAGTGGTTTATCTTTTGTTATACCGACTATGATGATATGAAAAAGTTCACAGATTAGTAAAATAAACAACTACCAACATAGATTATTATTACTGGAAAAATAAAGTTAGAGCAGGTGTGAGTACTAGCAGAGCCAAAGTTTCCTCAAACTGTCAGTAGTCTTCTCAACCGTTGTAGTACGGTATTTTATAAACTTTGTTGAAGTCCATAGAAATGACAGACTTTTAAATATTTTTATTAATTTATTTTGCATCTCATCTCAGCCCACAGGTACACCTCACCTTTCGCCTTGACACCACCTACGATCAGAGCAGGCCTATTTTGGCCCAAGGTTTCTTTATTTGTTGGATAAAAAGCCTTGGACCTTAGTCAAGACGAAGCCCTGGTTAAGGCCCTCTTGAATCTCGGAAGTCAGAGTCAGAGAAGTTTTATTGTCATTTCAGCTACGTACAAGTACATATTGAAATGTAACAGTTCCTCCAGGTTCACTGTGCAACACAGAACATAAAGTGCAAAACAATACAACGCACAGTACAGATACACAACAGTACAATAAATACAAACAGACATCTAACCTAATCTGAACATTCTAATCTAAACAAGTAGTTAAGAGACAAAACCAGAGACACATGTTGATGATAAGTTATAGTGCAGTTGCTATGGGTCCTGGTGCAGGCTCACTTGGTCCTGGTTTGGATCATATAACACAGATTAAACAGAGTTTCCAGTTTAGGAGTTCAAACCTAAATCAAGCACTAATCGTATGAATGTGGCCAAAATCGGGAAATCATGACTCAAACTGCCACAATCCCTGAAAAGCTTAAAAAATGAAAGAAAGAAAGGCACTGGATTGGAAACCGATTAATCTGCTGCATGCTCAGTTTTTTTTTACTTGTGTTTATAAACCCTTTACTCACATCTCTTGTAAACCCTGCAGGCCTACACGGAGGAGCTGGTGGACCTCCACCGCAGACTAATGGCTTTAAGGGAGCGCAATGTACTACAGCAGGTCAGTGCTTTATCATTCGTACTGATTACCTTTCATTTGCAAGTATTTTAAATATTTACTTCATGGTAAGGTGTTTGTATTATTAGTGGGATCTCACTAGAGAACAATTTCTAGTTTCTGACCTGCTGGTTTCAATCTGGGTTGAATGTGAAAACAATAATTGACAGATGTGGAATTAAAGTGAAAAATGTGAAGGTTTGTGCATAAAACATTTACAATAAGAAAACATGTAAAGACAAATGGACTTAAATTGGACTTACAGTTGGACATAACATGTTTAAGTGGATTCAGATTTATTATTATATTATAATTAGATTAAATTAGACTGCATATAATTTGATTTGAATCTCACTCTGTTGAAATGCGTTATAACTGGAACAAATCAGTTGATGTCAATTTTATTCCTACGTAACATTTAAAAACAACCACAAGTTGCTTTAAAGGTGCGTTAAAAAGTGACAAAAACATCAATAAATTTGATGGAATGAAACATACCAGTAAATGCAATCAAATAGGTTAAAAACCAGCTAAAACAGGAACCATTCATAAAGTTTAATTTAACTGGATTTAAACTGGGCCTCTGTTTGGTTGTTTGTAAAGTGCCCTAAAAGGACTTTTATTTTGAACCAGCACTGTAAAGACCAATTAAATAAATGAAGCGTTGAATCAGCAGCTGGAGGTAAAAATAAGCTGTAGCTATATTTTTATTTAGTAGAATTTTCAAGTTAAATCTTAACTTTTTTTTTTTTTTTTTTTTAATAAAGCACCTTTCATACAGCTGTAAAACAAAGTGCTTTACAGCAAATAAGTAATGAACGTGAAAGAAACGCAACAAACGAGCACAGACATACAAGATTGTTTAAAGCAGCAATAAGTTATAAAACAATGTGTCAGTGGTGGCTGTAGCTTGAAGGGACTGAAGGAACTGAGAAAACACATTTTCATTAATAACAAAACACTACAGGTATAAAAATACAAAACACAAATCATAAAAACGTGGATTCTGAATGCTAAAGATGAATAAATCCAAGACAATAAGAGATAAAAGGTTCAAATGAAACAAAAGTCACTATTGTTCAGCAAAAATAAAAAAGTAATTTAGACTATTAAAATGTGTAACTAATTTTTTTTTTTACTGTCATTCAACCTTTATTTACCGTACTTTTCGGACTATAAGGCGCACCGTAAGCACACAATATCAATGAACGGGTCTGTTTTCATACATAAGGAGCTCCGGATTATAAGGCGCATTAAACAAAACAAATAAGTCAAACTTTATTCAGCTTACTCACAATAACCACAAAAAAATCAGTTTGAGGTCAGTAAGCACAACCAGAATTAATGCATAAGACTCACCTGATTATAAGGCTCACTGTCGATTTTTCAGAAAATTAAAGGATTTTAAGTGCACCTTATAATCTGAAGAATATGGTATAAAGGTTAGTCTCATTGTTAGTCTCTACTTGTACCTCTTGTGCTTCCTGTAATTTTGATTTTGAACAACTTATTGTGTGAAGCAAAACTAAAGAATAAAATAAAAATTAATTATACTTCTGATCTGCCAGTTGCCAATCAAGCTGAAAATCGTCTGATTCCAGTTACCTGTTGGTTAATCAAGTCATCTCTTGCTCTGTGACGAACAAAATAGAGATTTAAGCTTTAATCTTACTTGTTTATGACAGATTGTCAACCTGATTGAGGAGACGGGCCACTTCAACGTAACAAACACCACCTTTGACTTTGACCTCTTTTCACTGGACGAGTCCACTGTCCGCAAACTACAGAGCTACCTGGAGGCGACGGCCACGTGACAGGAAGTGGAGGTCGACGCGTGGATGTCAGCGGCGGAGGTAGCCTCGTCGTTGCTGCTGCTCTCCGAGGGAGGGGCGAGCAGCCTCTGCTGCCTCGGCTCTTTCACGAGCCTGACTGAATCGTCGGAACAACTACCACGCAAACAGAAACGCGATCGCAAGCACACGACACCGCCTTCACGTGACACTGGGGAGGAAACCGGAGGAGGAGGTGTGTGAGGAAACACTGGAGTATCTGAACTCCGTCTAGTCAGGATTTTTCACTACACGTCTCTCGTTATGAGTCTTTTCTGAGCTGTGGAATTCGCCCCCACTCCCTCCACCCCACCTCCTTTGCCTTCCTGCACTTACATTGCTCCAGCCTTTGCAAACCTAATACTTCCCCTCCTCCTCCTCCAATGCACACTCCTAACTTGGCAGAACAACACTCCCCCCCCCCCCCCCACCCCCGGTTGTCAGCTGGACCTCATTTCTCTCCCCATGTACTCTTGAGATGTGTGTTTGAATGTGAGCTGTCTGTGCACATGTGTGAGAGAGCACTGCGGAGGTTTAAGAGAAGATGATGTCTTTGTGGTTACTGATGTCTTTTTGTTTATGAAACTTGAGCACAAGCAGCCGGTTCCGTTCCTCGCACCAACACACGACAGCAAATGCACATTTAGGTTGCACTTTACTCTTGACGGCCCCACAGCGCATGTTTGACATTAATAGCATCTTAACACTGGAAAAATGCTTAAAACACACTTATTAATGCTTATAAGCTAATCTACATTAATTAGGAATGAGAGTACAGGAATAAAACGTGAAGATCAGTTTTTGTCAGCTTTCTGGAGATAAATGAACCTTTGAGAGGCCCACCTTTTGTTGATATTTATCAAGATTTTGCTATAATTGTCTTTAACATGTTTAATTGCTCATTAGCTCCTGTTTTGTAGTGGCCGGGCAGATTATTTGCCTTTGCGTTCAAAAGGCCGCAGCACTCCTTTGAACGTGTTCTCCATTAAGTTAATTAAAAGTCAGAATGTCTTTGACTCAGACCTGAAGACACACACCAGCATGGTGTCATTGATTCTTGTAAATTAACACTCTTGAACCTGGTCAGTGAAGCTTTTTCCTTTACTAAGATTGTTTTGTTGTTAGACATGTACAGCTTTTCAAACATTGACTGAACAAATTCAAAGGTACTTTATCATGCAAAATACGTAGAGCAGAAGAAAAACAATGTCAAACCTTGATACACAAGCGCCTCTCCTAGACACATTAGACTCGGATGCTGTTTTATTAGTCGATGGCAGTAAAATACAAATAAATACACAAATGTTTTTAAAGGAAGTTTGCAAGTATTTATAGTGTGTTACAAGCATTTTGAATCAGTCGTCGGTGCTTGTAAATGCTGTGGGGTGGTTAAAGTGAAGTAGTGCCCTAATAAATGTTTTCCTTACAGATATTTTTCCTCTTCACACACAAACACGACGTGTTCTACGAGACTCGGCTCAGGTTTTCTTCTGCAGTCTGAACGTTTAAAGACACATGTTCTGTTGAGTTTCCTCTCTGCTTTCTCGTACTGAAAGCTGAGCCTTGACCTCCTACCAACAGCTTTCCCCTCCCCTGCCATTAAAGGCCCCTCACTCCCCTCCCTGCTCCTCCTCTTCTCTTCTCCTTGCATTTGCGTGTATGAAAGGGCTCGACTGCTCGCGGCCAGAGCACTGGAGGATCGCTCCTGAATTGCCTTCTAGGTGGTGGGTGGGGCGAATAAAAAAAGTAAATAAAAAAAAAAAGCCGTGAAAAAGTAGCCATACATCCCAGGATCCAAAAATAAGAAAATAATTAGTGGGGGGGCACTTTTTTACATTTTATTTTTCTACAAGTGCTTTTTGTGTATCAATTCCCAGACGAGATGACCTGTGAGCTTTGAATGTATATTGCTTTTACTTTTCTACGGCTAGCAACAGCCCCAATCTAGTGCCTTTTTCCTGCAACTCGCAGCATAAGTGGGGGTTATGTGTTCTGTTAGTCTTGCTCACACAGATTAAAGACCCCCCCCCATAATACCCCTCCTGGGGATAAAAGTGTTAATTGGGATGCCTGAATATCCAGTATTGTCTTAATAGCTTCCATTCCCGCTTCTTTCCAGTGTCTGTGTAGGTTGTTCTCCTTTTATCATCAATATCTGTTCACGAAGCCTCCTAGATAATAGATCTTCTTTAATTGTGGTATTTTTTTCTGTTCCTGCTCTCTGAGATTAGGTTTAGAGTTAAGAAAAACGTCAAATGACTGTGGTAGTTTCTCACTTTAATTAGCTCTCCTAAGAGCTGTGTCGGTTGTGATTTTGTGTTTTGTGAGCGTGTTTTTTGGTAAAAGAAAAGAGGAAAAAAAGAAGAAGAAAGGTTTAGGCTCCTTCTTTGAGTATTTGGACTAATGATGGAGCGTTCGATCTCAAGATGCCAGGCACTTACACAGCGACAATAATGAACACGCAAGCAGAAACGAGGCAAAGTAAATCGCTCTCCCCCCACACACAGATTGAAACAAGTTACGCAGAGGCCTGAGTCAAGAAGCCAGGTTGTTGGATTAGATGTATAATTTGGAGTGACAGTCTCATAAAACCAGATCATTTTAAACGAACAGCAGCTTCTGATCCAGGAAGGTTTATGAATGAGTCTAAACAACAAAGAATTTCATTAATTTATTTTTCCAGCAGACACTGAGCGGCAAAATCAGTAATCGCTTATTTTATATTTTATACTTTTGTTAGAGGCTCAAGTCCTTAATGATGATGGATTTGTTTTAGGTGGTTGTTCGCACAAACGAGTGCTCTTGAACCTGTTAAATGATATAACACAACAAATTTCATCTAGTTTGGCAGTTTTTCTGTCGTCTTTGACAAAAACACCATTGAAAACATTCTGATTGATCATAATGACAGACATTTAGAAAAAAAAATGCTCTTTGCATTGTATTGCCTGGTAGTAACCTGATTTATTGTTTTATTTTTTGCACGTATTCATCAAACTCAGTCACATCAACACTTGCACTGCAATAAATATCCCTGATTCATACAATAACTGCTACAACAATCCATTACTAGCACTCTGAGAAACATAACTTGGTCAAAACGATTTTATAAATAAAAGTAGGACGTTGCATTGTAAATATTTTAATACTGCAATATTGGTGTGTGCAATCTCAGTATTCCAGCATGCAAAATATTCAATTTAGCAGTCAAATAGATGGCCACTCCTCTAAATACCACAACCAATACGACAACGGCATAACATATTGCTATCACAATATTTAACACTAGTATTGCATGCTTTCCTTTTATTGTGCAGCCCTAAATAAAAGTGACAATCATAAATTTAAAATTGCATTACAAATAATTACAAACTGAAACTTAGTTGCTACCTACATATGATGACATTTTAGCTGTTAAACAGGATTTATGAGTAAGAATAATCCAACATGTCATGCGTTTCCAGTGTTAGGATGGTTTTAGTGTTAGTAACTGATATTTTAGTTGTAGGTACATACAATTTAATAAATGCTGTGAACTATCCAGCTGTTTGAGTTTCTCTTATGTGGCAATAAGTCAGATAAATTCTGTCAAACTGTACTGTATACAAACATGTTCATAGGCTGTTTGTAGCAAAACATTTCTGTATAAGTGAGCAAAGCTTATTTACTTTGTCCTCACTGGATGGTGGAGTCTTGGTATACCAAACCTGACGCTGTAGCATACTTTGTATGTTATTATTTCACCATTATTATTTGTGCATTTTTTATACGAGCTATATAATTCATAGTTGTTTTGTTTATATATTACCTTTTTATCATTTTTAACTGTATGTTTTGCTGCTTCACTGACAAAATCTACCCAAGAAAACGTCAGTTTTTCATCGACTCGACACTGTAATGGGTTAAAATAACCAGAAATCAGTTTTGTGAGACTAGTTTACTAATTTCCAGTCACTCTGGAACCATAAAATGTCTGCAGATTCACTTGCTTCTTGATTCAGGCTTTTCTTGTGTATATTCTTGTCGCCCCTTTACACTTTTTACACACACACCAACCCACTGTGGGACAGTCTTATCAGTAAGAGATCCCCTCGTCTCCTTATCCTCCTGCCGACTGTTTATTTTATTTTTTTTAAATCCTGACGCCTTGATAGCTTTAATACTTCCATCCTCATTTTCTGTGGCCTGCCTGGCTCGGTGACACTCCTTTTACTGTAAACGCCGTCTGAGCTCGGAAAATCACTCAGAATACAAACAACAAAGCTCTGATCCACGCCGCCTTACGTTCCCTCCTGCCCTCCCCACCGCTCCTTCTCCTCTGCGCCACCTTCGTTTCCTCGAGGTGCGCCTCTGTCAACAGAACTTCAGGCCGCAGACACTGAGAATGAACTTTGAAATGAGTGTGAATGTCCGCGACATAGGAGAGAAGTGATGAAGAACAACTTTCCTTTCTGTCCTCTTATTCTGTGCACCAATGTGGGAACTTTTAAGTCCTAGTGCATGAACTCTGACCTTTGACCAGGCGCCTATTCAGTTTCTTATGGTGGTGGTGTCAAGGGGAGTCATGTGGGGACCCCCCCCCCCCCCCCCCCCCCAAAACGATCGTCTACTCACAGTCAACGTTTTATTTATGGACCTCTGCACTTTTGGCTGTGATGACTTCAGTACTTAAGTAGTTACCTAAACTGTATTTTTAAGGATTTTATACAATATTATCATGCAATTCATTAAAAATTGAGTTTGTTTTTTCCTTTGCCAACATTTTTTGTTTTTATTTAATGGTCTTCGTTTTGGCATGTGATGTCATTCACAAACTAACATGCCTGTTGAGTCTATTTTAGGCATGAGATGTTATGGGGTTTCTTCCCTGTATGATTTTGTGTTTGTTTCGTTAATAATTATTCTGATAACAGCTGAACACCAAGAAGCAGGTGTAGGAAATTTATTGCTGGACGAACAGAACTTTTTCTTTTTTTTGTACCACCCTTGTTTCTTCTATTACAAAGAACTGTACCGGAGGGAGAGGACCCGAGGCGTGAAGTACATCATCTCATATGTGCATCTTTAACAGACAAAGACAAGAGCAAACGGTTTCTTACAAACGTGGAGGGGGCATGTGCAGACGGGGTGTTTCCTGTGTCATGACGTGTCTGTGCAAAGGGGACAGCGTTGCCTGTATTTATAAAGGTTTTATTTTATTTTTTAAGTGGAGGGGGTCTGAAAAGTGTTCATGTATGAGGTTGAAGCAGTGACGTGCAGAACAAATGAACTGAATGGCTGAAGAACAATTTGGTATTTTTAAAAAGAAAAAAAAAAAACTTGGCATTGCGATGCCACCATGTGGCCATATGATGCAAGTTGTTAACAAGGATAAAACATGTTATTTTAATGTTATTTTTTATTTTGAAATCATATTATTAATAAAGTCATTAAGAACTGTTGTCCCCCCATGTGTCCAGTCATTGACCGCTGTGTGACCCGGTTGGTGGAAGGTTCATGTTGTGGTCAGCTCAGTCAGGGTTAAAAGGACAAGCGGACAATAATTCCACCATAGACTGGAACGCTCAATGGCGAAGGCAGATCAATAAATTTGTTTCAGCTCCGCTTTAAGAGGGGAATCTAACTTGAATCATTAGTGCAAACGCTCTGACATGCCACTGCTGGAAAATAATACAATTAAAGTAAATTGAAGACCATTCAGCTGCTTCAGGTTCCACATTCTGCGTGGGCTTGGTTCACTGAGCAGATGTCAGCGGTGTTGGCTTCTCAAGTCAAAAGCCTCCAGGAAAAGTCTGCTTTGAAAGATTGGGATAAACACTGTCATCAGAATTCAGAGTCCGTGTGCCATCAGCGTAAAATTAAACAAAAACATGCATGTTAGACAGCTTTCAGGCCCAGGCCTCCCTTGCTCAGTGATCTCGATAGGATTTATAATAACAAAAATGTCAAAACTTTAATGTGATGGGAACAAAGCTGAAAAGTATGTTTAGACTGTATTTATACTTGACATTTTTATATAGTTGTGATCTTTGCCACGAAAATGTGAAAATTATATCAAACGTACATTGAAACTTGCTGTTTTAAAATGAAAAAACGTCTCTAGGCCGAATATTCGCGTTTCTTTTTGTCCAATCAGACTTGCCGTAACTTTGCTCTAGAGAAGTGTCTTTGCAGTAAAGCTGATTTGGAGCTTAATTTAAGTGCATTTTTTCTACTTAATCCCGAGTAACACTTGTCTGTAAGTAATTTTCAAACTTAATGCTATATGGTAGTGTCTAGTAATTAATTTTAAAACACCTTACAAGTGTGAAAACAATTATTGATATCGATGCTAATTGCGTTAGCCTTTCTATAGAGTTTCCAATGAAAAGTTAGCATACTTGCTAAACGTACTGTATATTTGTTTTTCCACAAAAATTTAGGTCCGTACAACACATAAGAACTATTTTTTATATGAGCTAAAATACGTTTAAGTTTTACTAAAGTGTTTTAGTAATTTAGTTGGACCGCAGATACATGTCAAACTACACACAATTTAAGAACTTTTCATTCATGAGGAAAAAAAATAGTTTTTTGTGTGAAATATACAGTTAATGGTAAATTGGCAATGCTTTAAATACTTATTACTTTTGTAGTGTTGAATTGTATACTTAGTGTATGTGTATTTTCCTTTTTAAAGTTTACGGAAATTACTTAAATAATTACATAATAATTACATTAATAATCTTAATTAACTAAATATTTGCTGATTGTTTTATTCGGTAATTTGTGCTTCCTTTACATACACATAATTATTTACATGCACTATGTGTCAGAAAAGTTATTTCTAAGGGAAGTATTAGGTTGATAGTTTATTAATATTAAACATGCATTTTGCAAAATAAATAGGGCATTTTTAAAGGACATGCTAAGCTAATATAAAAAAGTACAATCTCGACACATGACATTAATAAGTTAAATGTTTTATGTTAAATGCTTTAATGGGGTAGAGGTAAGGCAGCCGACTCGGACCCGAAAGTCCTAGGTTCAATCCCCAGATATCCCTACATGTCGTGGTGTCTGAGCAGGACACCTAATCCCTGATTGCTCCCCGGGTGCTTGCATAGCTGCCCACTGCTCCACCTGGGTGTATCTCAGGTGCGATGGGTTAAATGCAGAAAACTAATTTAGTCATTCTTTGGGAACAAACAATAACAACACACTGCACTTTAATATTAACCGTCACTTTAAGTGTGCAGCTGTAGCACATCTGGTTAAAGTAGTTTATATAATGAATGTGTTTACCTCTTAAGGCAATAGTGTCACAATTTTGATCAAATCAAATGTTATAAACTCTCATAACAATTAGTGTGCTTGGGTAATTTGTAGGTTGCCGACTGATCAAAATATAAAGCCAAAAGAAACAATGTGCCAAATTCCCAAATTAAGAGGCTAGTTACTCCTTGACCTGTTCTGTATATAATATGCATTAAAAAGTTCAAATCAAACATAAATTCATATTTAAATGGTTTCCTATTTTAAAACAATGTGATCAAAGTTTAAGTTATAACTGTTTTAGTTTGGTTCTCCAACTAAATGATGTTTTAATTAAACTTCTGCTCGTGGTTTGTAAAGAAACGTAGAAAATCATTTACCGTAAAATATGCTCAACTTATTCACTGTGTCACTTCACTTGTGTCCCTCTCTAGAGAATTTAATTTTACAGATTGCTACATAATGCATTTTTAAAGCTCTGTGCTCAAAACTAGTTATGAGAAAAAATACTGTTTCCCTCCTGATTGTAATGTTCTTTTATTAGAGAACTTCTCGCACACGTATTCACATTTCTGTCGATACAAACAGGCTTGTTTCACCGCGCGTCTGCTGCACGTCACAGATTATGTTACCAGCGTTTAAGGTTCGAGTGAATCCAGTTTCTGTCTGGGGCACCGTGAGCTCTTAAACTGTTTGATACAAACATTTCAACACCACAGTTTTTATATCAAAGGTGTAACAATTTAAGCTCTGATGAATCACAGCCTGTTAATGATGTAGATCTTCTCACTTTCACATTAAATGTCGGTTTAATTGGTTACATCAGCCAGATGTTGCTGCAGAAACTGAAGATTCTCACCCAGACGTTCTGAATCACTGTCATTTCCTTTAGCTGTGTAAACACATTTTATTTACTTGTAGTTTTAGAACATTAAGCACAATTTTAACCTTTATTTTGCCACCATTTCAGTGCTTTATATACCAACAATATTATATACAACAACCGCATGTAGAGGATCAGCTGTTTTGGTGCACAGTAATATCTTTTAGAGGTTTGTCCCAATAAAACACTCAAAAAAAAATAATGTCAAATCTAAACTTCATATGTACATTTCACCATGTTCACTTAAGTAAAATAAATTAGACATCTTTAAGCTTTCAACGGAACATATAAAGAAACATATTTACAAATCTTAGCGATGACAGTGAAAATACAAATAACATCATTTATGGCTTCATGCTTCGAATTTTGAGGTCGCTTTAAAATCAATAAAATGCAATAAAACGTTTAAATCAAAGTCGATTAACAACCAAAAAAAAAAATAATGTAAACTTAATGTCACGTGTTTTTTTATATTTTTTTTTGGTAAAAAAACAAACTTTGGTTTTAAAAAAAAAAGGTACATATTAAAATAACATGCAGTTGGGTATTTTGTATTCTGTATGGGTAGCTCAAGTATTACAGAACATTTTTACATTAAGCTTGCTTCTGTTCCTTCATCTTACAGTTTCTCCCAAAGACACAAATAAATAATTGAATTTGACTTAAATTCAAAATCATAAAGCTGGTTGACAGTGGCCTCCCCACTCCTGTCGTCCGTACAACAATCACAAATCTGAACCCTGATTTAAGGCAAAACAATTACACAGAAGCACGATGACAGAAGGAGACGGACTGATGAGGCAGAGCGTGTCTGCGAGTGCAACACAGACTGGTCTGAAGGTCACTGAAGGTCACTGCAGGTGCAACAGCGTTTATTTAGGAGGCAGCGGGGCTTCGGGGGACGTCGGAGTCGGCAGCTCTTTGTAAAAGTTGTCAATCTGTTCTTTGTACATCTTCAGCACCACGGGCCGCTTCAGTTTCATGGTTGGACCTAAGGGAATAGAAGATTTGCTATTAAACACTGTGTTCTCTTTTCTGAAACACACCGCTGCTGGGTCCTTCAGTTCATTTAGCTGCAGTTTAAAATTCAAAGCTTTTTCCTGGAGGCTTAAGAAAATCTGTTTGAAGTGTATATTTGACTGTGAAATCAAAAAGAAGATGAAACCTCAAGGTTTGCCACAAAACTTTTTAAAACTAAGCTAATGACAGAGAAGCACAAAATGGAGTCCATAAAGCAGTTGCTAACTTTTGCAAAGAGGCATCATTACACATCAAATCTTGTTCTTACACTTCAATCTGCAGACGTCTGCTCATATACTTTTACACTGCAAAAGATTTTAATACTTTTTTCCATCACTTGGTTTAATTTCTATTTAGCATTTGCTAAACATGTGCATGCTCATACAAATTCAGTGATTTCTGACAGATTGGCAGACTGCGAGCACAAAGTTATCAATATAATAAGAAAGGGGGAAAAAATCAGATTTTCATTTGTATTGAGACTAAAAATAGCTCTGAATGGCCTAAAACTCAACATGTTTGTGGAAGTGTATCAAGGTACGAACAAAGGAGATTTCTGAGGATCTCAGAAAGAGTTGTTGATGCTCATCAGGCTGGAAAAGGTTACACAAACATCTGTAAAGAGTTTGGACTCCATCAATCCACAGTCAGACAGATGGTGAACAAATGAAGGAAATTCAAGACCAGTGTTCTCCTCCCCAGGAGTGTTCGACCAACAAAGATCACTCCAAGACAAGGTGTGGAATAGTCGGGGAGGTCACAAAGGAGCCCAGGGTAACTTCTAATGTTCATGAGTCCACCATCAGGAGAACACTGAACAACAACGATGTGCACGGCAGGGTTGAAGGAGAAAGACACTGCTCTCCAAAAAGAACATGGCTGCTCGTCTGCAGTTTGCTAAAGATCATGTGGACTGTTGGAAGAATGTTTTGTGGACAGATGAGACCAAAGTAGAACTTTCTGGTTTAAATTAAAAGTTTAGTGTTTGGAGAAAGGACAACGCTACATTCCTGCCTAAGAACCTTATCCCATCTGTGAAACATGGTGGTAGTATCATGGTTTGGGCCTGCTTTGCTGCATCTGGGCCAGGAGGGCTTGTCATCATTGATGGAACAATGAATTCTGAATTATATCAGATAATTCTAAAGGAAAATGTCAGAACATATGTCCATGAACTGAATCAAGAGAAGGTGGGTCATGCAGCAACACAATGACCCTGAGCACAAAAGTTGTTCTACCAAAGAAGGAATGGCCACGTCAAAGTTCTGACCTTAAACCATTCCAAGTGTCGTGGAAGGACCTGAAGCAGCAGTTAATGTGAGGAAACCTGGTGTACAGGACTGACCAACAGTTACTGGAAACGCTTAGTTGCAGTTATTGCTGCATGAGAGGGGGGGGTCACACCAGATACTGAAAGCAAAGGTTCAAATACTTTTGCCACTCGCAAATATGTAATATTAGATAGTTTCATCAATAAATAAATGACCAAGTATAATATTTTCGTCTCGTGTTTAACTGGATTCTCTTTATCTACTTTTAGGACTGTGTGAAATTCATGTTTTAGGTCATATTTATGCAGAAATATAGAAAATTGTAAAGGGTTCACAAACTTTCAAGCACCACTGTAAGTCACAAACAGTACAACAACAGAGAAGCTGTTTACACTTTAGATCACTCCAAACACAAATTAAAGATGCACAAAACAAAACAACCACTTTTTCAGACAGTCAGTAAATCTATTTTCAAGTGTTTAACTGACCCAGCTCTCCTTCGCCGATTGAGAAGTCCCGATCCAGAACGAGCCACTTCTGAATGCGCTGGGCGTTAGAAGTTGCCTTCTCGTTGACTCGGTTTATTCCCTCCTGGATGGCGGCGTGGACTGCACGGTCTTTGCCACCTGCAATCTCAGAGACTCGTGTGGCGTTGCTGCCCAGCCTGCTGCAGATCTCCACGGCTTCTGGTGTCAGCTCGTCCTCAGGAGTTCCTGTCTCTGCGTTCACTTGGCACTGCAAAGTGGGGGGAGAAAAGTTGTGTTTTTATTGTCCAACCTTAATGTATTTGCACAGCCTGATCATATGCTTTTTCAAAACCACCACCAGATGGGAGTGTTGGACAATAACGCTTCGACTCGTTTTGCAGTCCATCAAGACAAACGCCAAAGATAAGATAGAGAAGATCACATTTTATCTTTTATCAGCCTCCTGTCATTCTGCAACAGGTTGTTCTTTGTTATCTGCATGCGTAGAATATACTAGTATTCAAGTTCACAACCTCTGATTGCTACAATGACAGTGCTATAAACAGTCTCGGTATATAAATGCTCACCTTTATGGTTAGCAGCATGGACAGAAATTTCCTCTTGTCTCCGATTAGCATGGCGTTGCTAATGAGCGGCACAGCCTCCTTCACTGCGTCCTCAGTGGGGACAGGAGGGATGTTCTCACCTCCTGCAGTGATGATCAGCTCTGCAGGACAAAATACTTATTGATGATCTGTAAGCCTAATAAATGCCTTAAAGAAATATTTGTAACATAGAGCACAAAACCTCCTGAGGAGTTTGAGGTATACCTTTGATTCGCCCAGTGATGAAGAGGAAGCCCTTCTCATCATGTTTGCCCAGGTCACCCGAGTGCAGCCAGCCCTCTTCATCCAAAGCCTCCTCCGTCTTGTCGGACATATTAAGGTAACCCATGAATACGTGGCGACCCCAAAAGCAGATTTCACCGTTTCCTTCCTCATCGGGGTTGTGCAGCTTTGTTTTGCACCCTGGGATCTCCTTTCCACAACTGCAAAATAAATTATGTAACTACAGAGCAAACGTTTTGTTGTGCTTTTATGGTGAAAAGCATCTCAACACAGCAGGGACAATGAAAAAAGTACCTGGTGAGTTTGAAGGCCTCAGGTTGGGAGATGGTGTGCGGTCCGGAGCTCTCGCTCATGCCGTACAGTTCGTACAGAGGAATGTCAAGGCTGAGGAAGAACTCCAGAGTGTCTTTGGTGATGGGAGCGGCGCCCGTGTAGCACTTTTTGCAGCGGTCCAGGCCCAGAGCCTTGCGCACTTTTTTGAACACAAGCTTTTTGGCGATGTGGTAGCTGAATGTAGCAGGGCCATCTGCTGTATTTCTAAGGGGAAACAAAAATAGAAGCGTTTACGAGAATCGATGTGTCAAATCGATGGTAATGGAATGAGATGCAAAGTACTATGCAGTAAAAAAAAAAAAAAAAAAAGCACAAGAAAGAAAACTACTGCATCAGCTAAATGCTAACAACTGCAGAGGTTATGTATGAACAAGGGAAGTACAGACAGAAAATAACACACAAAGAACCACAGGAGGAAGTTTCATTGTTTGAAGAGTTGATTAAACGTTGACTGAGCTTTAATTTCATAATGCATACATACTGGTTCATCTTAGTCAGGTTGGTCTGCAGACCCACGTCTTTTGCCCAAGCAGCCACTTTCCTGCGCACAGTCGAAGACTTAGCTCCGACAGATTTCATCTTCTCCTGCATTTTTTCCCAGACACGTGGGACGCCCATAAAGGCCGTGGGACGCACTTCTTTCAAGGTGTTCACCAGCGAACCCTAATAGCAAAATGGAAAAAATATTTATCAAGCTGTGCATCAAGTTTGGAAAATCTTTATGAACAGAAAAAAAGAGACAAACGGGCCTCTTAAATGTACAAAAGTCACATATTGTCTGGGTATCTCTTTCTTACATTACACACTTTTGTTTGGTTTATGATTAAATAATGAACTCAAAAGAAAAAAAAACAGTCCTTGAAAGAAATCAGCTGAGCACATTTAACAAGTCTTTCTATTGCTGATAAAGTGGCATGATGGTTGATAAAGAGTGTAGATACACTGATTACACTCCCACGGATTAACAAAATGTCACATAGACCCATTTTATAACCTGCAACTGTAGGTCACCATCCTTACTGCGATTTAAACAAACTGGATAGCATTTAAAGGACAACCATGGAATATTTGCATGGCTTTAATATTAATTTTCATTTGTGTTAGCATGCATTTTAAAGGTTTTTATAAAACGTTGCATTTGCACATTTATTATTATTATTATAATTATATTATTTAGTTTTATGCCCTCAAAGGCAATATTGGAGTATGCTCATTTTAGCCACAGCAGCACAGCTGAGAACTATTTTTCTTATTAAGTGTATATTCCTTAGTTGTAGTGACATTGTCAAGCATGTAAATTTGGTTTAACAACTACCGGTAGGTCTTTAAACGGACCTACACGGTTTTTGTCCACTCCAGTAAAACACCGTTTATTTTGACCTTTGATTTAAAATGTTGAATTTTGTTCACATCTTTACGACAGTCCACAGGACATTATGAACATCATAAATGTAGATTAAAGCAGCTGTATGAGCCACTAAGTGTTTTATTTTTAAGGCTGGCGTGTTCTCCGCAGTGTACAAATGCAGCTGCTGCGTACTTTCAGAGCATCTGGCTGGGCGAAGAATGTCGCCCCTCCGACCCTCATGGTGACCCATATGTCGACCATCTGCGCTGCGATGTGGCTCAGCGGCAGGTAGCTGACCACCACCTCCTGAGAGTCAGTGGCATCGTTGAGCTCCACATGTTTGCAGGTGGAAAGTGCCGTCCAAGTTATCTGAGCAGGAAGAGATGGAAACACAGTGTCCATAAAGTCTTAATTGTAAGTAACCACTGTTTCATTAGTGAAAATATCAAACTGGGTAAGTTAGTTTATTAAAATAACAAGCGGTTGTAAAAGAATGCATACTGTGCATAACCTTAAATATATAAGACAATATTTACTCATTAAGTCCAAAGTAGGGCCTCTAAAAAGCATTTGAAACCTAAAAAGTGTTACTAAACATCCTAAAACCTTGCAGGTTTATATGTTCACTACAACCTATAATGCATAACACTTAAAAACATATTACAACAGTTTTAAAGGTTGAACTTTCAGGTTTCACAGTATAATAATATTCCCTTTGCTTTCTAATTGTTGTTACAGGGACTAAAACCCATACTTATATAAAACTGCTTTTAAATTACATAATTACAAATTTTAAACATAACAGCCACTTACAAGCTTCCTAATATCACGTAAGATCTGCCTTTTCAAGTAAGCATTTTTGTTTCTACCCTTAAAAAATCTCCACCCCTAACAGTTCAGTCATGGGTAATTTAATTAAAAACACAAAAATATAATTAAACATCACTGCTAAATTGCAAATCAGTTTTACAGTTTAAGTGGATCATTAAAATATTTTGATTATTTATTAAAAATACAACAAGAGAAGTGTTTGATGGGTAAACGTACCAACACAGCGGCACCAATTTAAGCAATAAAAATGTAAAAAACTCAGGCCAATTTACTTTCATTAAAATATTCTCCTCATTTTACAACTAAACAAACAAGGATTTAAGCACATGAAGGCAGTGGCAATGGAGATACGGGAGCAGGTGCGAGGATTCTTGAGAGCAGCAGAGCACGCTCTATTAACACAAGGGGAGCTGTTGGTCATGTTACTTCTAGTTGCTCTCTAAAAGTTATTGAATTAAGTGTTTACAAATGTAGATAAACGTAGATGTCTAACAACCCGTTAAAATACACTAGAGTGCAGAAAATGGCATGTACTTTATTTAAAATTTTCTGGGGGAGGACACCCCCCACCCCCGCCCTGCTATTTGCATTCCAGCATCATTTAGTTTACAAATTAAGCACGTGGGGTAGTAAAAGTGTAATGTGTGGATCTTTAAGTAAAAAGGAAAGGATCAAAATAAATACTTGGAGTTGCAGTTCCACATAAATCTGCTTGAATAAATGTGGTTACTAAATTAAACGTTCAACAGAATTAGAAAATGCTGACACTGCAGTGATTTTAGCTCTTCCAGACGCAATGATTCAAATGTAGAAATCCTTGAAACATTGAAATCTTGCTGCCCGTCTGCCGCTCTTGCACTTTCCTTTTCTTCACTAAATAGCAGCCTCTGCTGTCAGTGTCAGACACAAAGCATGTGACACCAAGTTTAAAAAAAAATGCTTGTGGAGATGAAAGCTTACATTGTCGTGGCTCAACATAACTCCCTTGGGCTGGCCTGTGGTTCCTGAGGTGTAGATGAGCGTGCAGCATTGATTGGGCTTCTGGCTGGAGATGACTTCATCGAGAGGTGCGTCAGGCTCGTCCCGTCCAAGTGCCATGAACTCTTCCCACTGTAATGCACAAAATAAAAAAAACATAAAAAACACTTAGATGATTTTTCTTTTTGGCGGTTATTAATCCTGTCAGGTTCCCTGAACGTAAAGCGTGAGCTTACCGAATACAGATTTGGTCTTTTGTCTTTCAGTGCATCTTTATACTGGACAATGGCTTTCAAGTGAGGCAGCTTGTCTTCAATCTGGGAACAAAAAGAATAAAATATGATGACGTTATTATCCACCTGAAAAGGGTCTTGCTCTTCTATCAACTTTAATATGGCCCAAACCGCAACATACCCCCCCCCCCACACACACACACAAATGTTATATCAAAACGACCAGCTCAGCGCTCTGATGTGTGCTATTACTATTATTGGTGTTTCGAGTTACCATGGCAACGTAATTTGCAAAAAATATGCAATTTTTCTCATTCAAAATGCATGATTGAACCTTTTAACGGCCTAAAAATGCAACAGTGAGGTCACATGACTTAGAGAGGCGAGGCCTCTGAACAAAACAAATAATTTTTGGAGCCATTTTGGTTCAAGATGGCTGCCACAGCCACCTCAGAAAACTCAAAATTGACTATAGCTCCATGATTCTTTGAGATTTTGAGCTGAAATTTGGTTTGGCTGTTGTTCCCCATCACATACTGAATCCAAAATCCAAGATGGCCACCATGAATTTCAAGAAAAAAAAAAAGACTAACTTGTTGATTTGTTGCCATGTTGAGCTGAAATTTGTTATGGTGGTAGCTGAGAGCGAACCCAAAGGCATAGTATTGTAAAAACATATTTTTTAAATGGCTACCTTGTGGCAGTCCCATCAAAGTTTCTCCAGGAACATTCTAGTTTGGCTAATTTTATCCAAAAATATATAAAAAGAAGGAAAACAACAGGTAGTGGTGTGAAAGCCACTTGCTTGCCCTTTGATTGAGCTACAGCCACAACTGAAGCTGCTCAACACAATTCCTTTATAAAATGTTTTTTGAGAACACAAATACAAATAGGAGGTGAGACATCCTCACCATCAGTGTTTGATAGTGAGAAGGCTAAATGAAGAGCACACAATGTTTACACACTTGGAGGAACTTGTCAATCTTAAATCAGTACAGCTGTGATAATGAAGGCACCAGTCGACGTCAGAGGACCAGCGTGAGACAAACTGCAGGCATCAGTTAAAGGCTTCAGAGTGTCCTAAACACACTCGTCAGATCGAAGTAAACTTGACAGTCATGGGTTATAAGTTCAAATTCAGTCATTCTTGACTCACCTGAAGAATTTTCTGCAGCTGTTTGTGATTTTCCACCACAATGACGTTGGCTCTGCAGTTTTCTGCTACATACTGGCACGCCTCGGGAGAGTTGGTAGTGTAGATGCCCACAGCTAACCCCCTGCAAGACACAAAGAGTCAAAATTAGCACGTCACATCAATGCGTCTCAAAAATCCTCTCATCAAGCAGCCATGTTTCACTAAAAGCCTCAACTCTACATCCACTCCACAACATGACCACGTCTTATCTTAAAAACAAAGTGCGTAAACACGATCGTACTACGACTGGTTTAACAGGGTCACATTCCTTTCATGACAGAGCACACAATGCGAGGGAGTGTTGTAGCTCAGACAGTACTCGTACGTGTGCTCAGGTTTCAAGAAGTTTTAGCTTTGCGCAAGTAGAAAAGGAGAACAGAAAACAGTTCTGATCTTCTAAACGAAACTTCGTGAGCTCGTATAAATCTTGGAAGAACGGCAGAGAATAGAAGGCGTCGCCATAGATGGTGGTTAAAAATAGAAGTAACGCATGAAAATCTCCCACCTGGCTCATGCACACACGATTGGGGATGTGAGAGGCTTAGCAGCTTGGCTTTTACTGATCAATGTGTTAAATTTTAGTTTTGCTAACGAACAGTTCTTTTCCCAGAGGATGCAACAAGCTGAACACAGATTGGTTTAAAAGTTCAAACTACAATGCATTAGGTTCATAAGGAAAAGTTTGCTTTATTAAAGCATTACAAATATAAAAAGAAAATACCTAATTTATCAAAGTTCAAAGCATTTGCTCACTTTGTTTTGTATTGTATGCTCATATTGGATTGATATACCTAAAGCATCAGCATCTTGCCTAAGAACTGAACTTAATGCACTAAAATGAAGTAACTCTCATTCACTGTGGCGCTCGTCTGTTTTAATCAGCCGATCAAAGATGTGTACGATATAAGAAGCTACGTGAGGTTGTGCTCTCACACATTTCAGATCGTAGCGTAACATTCGTCGTTCAGGAACGATGAATGTCCAAAGATAAACACACACTTTTGTTCTGTAAAACTGAGCGAGAGAAAAGAGTTTTCACAGACCGAAACGTTTAAAAAAAACCCAACAAAAACAAATTTACCCTGCCAAAATGGCTCCGATGTCAGCAATGAACCACTCAGCAGAGTTGAAGCCGAGGATCCCAACCCCATGATTTCTCTGCAAACCAAGCTGCAGAAAGACAAACGAATGTTTTACTATAAATTAAAAACAAAAAGATGCACTGCAAGAATCCTACTATTCTCAGGAATATTGTTAGGAGTCGGAACTGTTTGAGCAATTTCTTTAATGCAATATGCATTTTCACTCATTTATCTTTACTTTATACATATTTTTGAACAGTAGCATTTTTTTTAATGACAATAAATTTCAGCGCCGACTGCTTTATTTAAATTTCTTTATGCACTAAACACACCCATCAGCAGCAGAGACACTGATCTACTGAAACATTTGTGTTGCATTTCCACAACAGCAACAGCTTCCATGGAAGAATAACATAATATAGTGAAATGTTCTTGTAACCAAAATGATGCAAATTGAAATCTAAATTTAAAACTGCAGGGAGCTATTTAAATGAATCACTATTATAACACTGATTAAAATGTGACAGAAAGACTCAGCAGTGATAAGAAGATGACTTATTTGCTGACTGGAGAGTGATTAAGATAGTAAAAAAAAAAAAAGTCATGTCAGTGAGATTAAATGACCTAAAACCCAGAAAGATCTCAAGGTCTGCGACATCAGACAGATTATGTTCCATGTACTGGATAGAAATCTGTGAGTGTGTCTCTGTACAATGTGTTGCTGTGCCTGCGCAGGAACAAGCTTTTGTTCTGGTTAATTGTTGAGTTTCACACAAACTGCCTCAGGAAGTTCATGCTGCTAATTGTTGGAAACAAGTTTAAAGCCTTAGAGTATTTACAAAACTTGGAAATTTGCTCAAACTGCTCTTTCTGGGTGACAAATGATCAGGCATTTTTTAAACCAGCTAAAAAAAACCTCTGAGACATTTAAGATCTGAAAGTGTAAGTTTCTTAGGCTATAGTGATCCTTGAAAGTTTGTGAACCCTTTATAATTGTCTATATTTCTGCATAAATATGACCTAAAACATCATCAGATTTTCACACAAGTCCTAAAAGTAGATAAAGAAAACCCAGTTAAACAAATGAGACAAAAATATTAAACATGGTTGTTTATTTATTGAGGAAAATGATCCAATATTACATATCTGTGAGTGGCAAAAGTATGCGAACCTCTAGGATTAGCAGTTAATTTGAAGGTGAAATTAGAGCAAGTGTTTTCCATCAATGGGATGATGATCAGGTGTGAGTGGGCACCCTGTTTGATTTAAAGAACAGGAATCTATAAAGTCTGCTCTACACGACATGTTTGTGGAAGTGGATCATGACATGAACAAAGAAGATTTCTGAGCTCCTCAGATAATGAGTTGACGTTCATCAGGATGGAAAAGGTTGCAAAACCATCTGTAAATAGTTTGGACTCCACCAGTCCACAGTCAGACAGATTATGTACAAATGGAGGAAATTCAAGACCATTGTTAACCTCCCCAGGAGTGGTGGACCAACAAAGATCGCTCCAAGGGCAAGGCGTGGAATAGTCGGCAAGGTCACAAAGAGCCCAGGGTAACTTGTAAACAGCTGAAGGTCTCTCTCACATTAACTAATGTTGATGTTCATGAGTCCACCATCAGGAGAACACTGAACAACAATGTTGTGCATGGCAAGGTTGAAGGAGGAAGCCAGTGCTCTCCATAAAGTATCACCATTCACAGATGGGATAAGGTTCTTATGCAGGAATGCAGTGTTATTTCTACAAACATAAAACTTTTCATTTAAACGGAGAAGTTTTATTTTGGGCTCATCCGTCCACAAAACATTCTTCCAACAGCCTTCCGGCTTGTCAGCGTGATCTTTAGCAAACTGCAGATGAGCAGCAATGTTCAATCATGGCTTGGGCCTGATTTGCTGCATCTGGGCCAGCACAGCTTGTCACCATTGATGGGACAATGAATTCTGAATTGTATCAGAGAATTCTAAATAAAAATGTTAGAACATCTGTCCATGAACTGAGTCTCAAAAGAAGGTGGTTCATGCAGCAAGACAAGACGTGGTTCTACCAAAGAATGGTTCAAGAAGGATAAGGGTGTTTTCACACCTGATAGTCCGGTAGACTCGATTCGATTGGGGACCAAAATTCAGAACATTTGTTTACATTTTAGCTGGTGCGGTTTGCATTCACACTGCACTGAGTCAGTCGAGCCAACCTGTTGCCCCCTTCACTTGTGGTGGCGCTGCACCAAGAACTACTGAAAGAAATGACACAAAAACCTCTGAAGACACTTCTTCTGGAAATAAAAACAAAAACGGAGTGACGTCAAATTTTAGCAGTTTTAGGATTTCTGTTTTGTCGTTTTTCAACAATGGACTCAACATGAGCGGAAGATGAGGCAGAAGACGATGGATATTGTTGTTTTTCACTCAAGGCGGCTGACAGCTCCGTATGAGGTAAGAGAAATGTGCGTTTGTTTGCCCTGCATTGTACCTTCCTGCTTTTGGAGCGGTCTCCGGTCCGCTTGCATCCACAATGTATTCTAGGGTTCACTTCAACCGAACCGAGACCTAGGTATTTAGGTGGACCAGAGTTCGCTTTTTTGGTCCGCATCAGAGTTTGATTGCACATCCACACCTCCCCAAACGAACCGGACTATGGACTAGAGTTCGATTAAAGCGGACTAAACAGGGTTGGTGTGAATGCACCCTAAAGTTCATGTTTTGGATCGGCCAAGTCAAAGTTCTGACCATAATCCAATCCAGATGTTGTGGAAGGATCTGAAACGAGCAGTTAATGTGAGGAAACCACCAACATCCCAGAGTTGGAGCTGCTCTGTACGGAGGACTAAAATTCCTCCAAGCCAGTTTGCAGGACTGATCAACAGTTACCAGAAACGTTTAGTTGCAGTTCTTGCTGTGGGTCACACCAGGTAATGAAATTAATGGTTCATATACTTCTGCCTCTCACAAATATCTAATATTGGATCATTTTCCTTAATAAATAACTGGCCACGCATAATATTTTTGTCGCATTTGTTTAACATGGGGTTCTTTATTTACTTTAAGGGAGTTTAAAGGGAGTTTTTCCTTTCCACCGTTGCCACTGTGCTTGTTCAGGATGGGAGACTGCAACGAAGCCAAGATTCATCTTGTCTGCTGGATTCCTTAGATAGAGAACTTTACTACTTGGCTTTTATGTATGTGAATGTTCCTGTAAAGTGCCCCGAGACAACTTTGTTGTGATTTGGCGCTATACAAATTAACTAAATTGAATTGAATTTAAGGATTTGCGTGAAAATCTGATATTTTAGGTCATATTTATGCAGAAATATATTCTAAAGGGTTCACAAACTTTCAAGCATCACTGTAAATCTCTTTATTTAGGTATTTTATTTTGTCCAAACATTTAAAACTCAGAAAGGCTGAATACTACTGAAGTGTTGTTGCTCTGCGATGTCACTATGTCAAAGAATGGAATAAAACTGGTTCAACAGGAAGAAATGATCAGATTTGAAAAAGAGAGAGAGAAAGGGAACTACCTTTACGAAGCTCTTGGCAGCAGTGCGGCAGGCCTGGTAGTATTCTTTGTAGCTGAGAGTTTTTTGCTGCTCGCCCTCTTTCCAACCCAAAGCTGTGTAGTCACCAAAACGTTTAACGGCTAACGTGAATGCCTGGTCAACAGTCATAGGGGTCTCAGCTGCCACACCAGAGTCCCCGATTCTGAGCTTCACCTCTGAGTCGCACTGTGTCGTCCACAGGCGTAGCTCTGCTGCCGACGGCACCGACAGCGAGTCTGGGCGCTTAATATTCACTGAAGGATGTGAAACATAATGATCCAAGTATTAGTGATGATGTAAATCTTAGTCACATCATTTTACTGAAGTGTTGCTTTTAGTTTCAGTTTTATATAGAGATGCACGATATTATCGACATGGTATCGGCTGATACTAGCGTTAAAGTTCAATACCGGACATCGGCCATTCCATCAAAATAACTCAACGATATAAAAGACGCTGTTTTTGTACGACAACCCAGCGACAAGAATGCCTGCAGCTGCAGCACAATGTGATGACATCACTCGCGCCTACCTGATCTCACGGCGGTGTGGAAGGTTTTTTTTTCGTTGAGGATGTGAGATTCCAAAGATTTTTGGACTACGTTGAGCCTCGCTACATCATCCCCAGTCGGAGATATTTTTCTGACGTAGCCGTACCCGAGTTACAAGCCGTTATTTTCTACGTCAATGAGAAGCTAATAGCCGATAGCACTTGGGTGAGATTTACCACAGACAGGGACGCCGTGTTAGCCCCGTTAGCATGATTAGTCTTACGGCACAATGGATAGACAAATACTTTGAACTTAAAAAGTCTGTCCTTCATGCAGAGGAGTGCAGAGGATTCCACACTGCAGCTAGGAACCTGGAACAAGCCTCCACAAGTGAGACAGCATCACAGGTGACTAATGCTAATAAATAACATTTAACACTTTTCATTTAATATAAGTTCAAGTGCTCTGCATTTCATATGGCTGTTACTGAATATATGTCACCAGCTCTTACAGCTGTTAAACAATTTTTGTAGCAAGTAAGCCTAAATAAAAGGGCTATGTTCTGACAAAGCAAGGTATATAAACTATTAGTATCAGTTATTGACCAAATAAGTTTAAACATATCTGATATCGGTTAAAAATCCAGTATCGTGCATCCCTAGTTTTATACCATTCAGCAGGGAAAACAAAATGAGTACAAACAAGTTAGGAGTAAAACCTGAGCTACGGTAACAAAAGCCAGAAAGGTTTAATGATTCATAAGGAACGAGTTAAAGACAGATGGCTTATTGGCCTTCCTGCCAGCAGGATGGTTTGAATATAAAGTGTCACATGGTGGATTTATAACAAAATGGATAACTGCTTGAAAGTGTTATGACAAGTGGGATGGAGAATCTTTTTTTTTTTTAGGAAAAATTCTACTGACTGTTTCCTTAAATAATTTACTAAGATTTTACCTCTACGTTTTTTTTTATAATAATGTTTTTAGGATGCAGTATAACTATAAAGTCATTTAAATCTTATTTCAGGACACACTTCCTAATTTCCACAGCTAATATGGATTACACCGAAGAGTTTCCATCAGTGACGATAACAGGAAAGAATGTCAGAGCTGAGTTTAGGGGAAGGAAAGGAGGAAGCGATGTTTGTTCTGCCAAAGAATGTGGAACGAGTGCTTCCTCAGGAAAGAAGTTCAGCTGACTTCAGCAAGAGTGAGCATACGGACTACATTGGACAGTCCTAAATCTGGACTAAACGTATGTTTGTACACTAATTATTATGGTTTATATCCAGCTGCTCCTCCCTCAGACAGAACAACCACGTGGCGACTTTTCTTCAGGCCTCACCCTGCTGCCTCTGCTCAGCTGCAGCTGCTGGAGTCTCAGAGCTGCTGGGGACGGTATCACAGGCAGAGGTCTCTTCCTCTTTCTCTCCGGTGGACTCTTCCTCTGAAGACTCGCTAAAAGACAGGGGGAGAAAACGTTAATTTAAGGGTGACTGGTTTCCCAAAGTTGTTTACTGCTGTCTCTTCTCAGCGCAAATATCTTGATTTCTTCAGGTATTCCAGCTCTAAGCTGTCTCTAGGTGTGAGTGTCTCATTTGTCTCTGTGTTTCCCTGTGATGGACTTCTGTCCAGGGTCTACCTCACCTCCTGTGCAGTGGCTCCTGGAGAGAAGCACCAGAAGTGGAAATAAAAGGGATGGACAGATTTCCCTAATGAGTACTCCTAGTCAAATCCAAACAAAACACACTGACGCTCCATGTTTGCAAAAGGCACAACCTGATCATAACCAAACCAATAATGTGACAACCCCTGATCATCTTTGATAAAAGGTCAGTAGTTTCTAACGCTTTTAAGTCCTTTAAAACAACACAAATTAACTCACAAGTGTTCTACGAATGCTACGTGTCTCCATCTTCTGTTAGCAGTAAAACTGAATTAGTCTCGTAGAGTCCTGCTGAAAGTAAACACCAAGTCGAGTGTGTTTCCATTAACGTACTTCGCTGTGTCCACAATGACGTCATCGAGAGAAGCGGCTCTGTCTCCGGCGCCACAGGGCTCCTGGAAGCCCCCTGCCTGAGGAGGCTCCATCACCACAGCTTCAGAGATGGCAGCGGGCTCGCAGGCGGTCACTGAAAGAGAAGAGCGCACCAACCGGTTAGTTTTTGATTGGCTAAAAAAACATCCACAATGAGAAAAACAAATTCAAACACTCAGTTTAAATAAGAGATTTCACAGCACAAACACAAGCGCTTGAACTCTGAGCATATCTGCATGCGTTAAACGTTTTAAAATCACACTTTTACACACAAGTAATATTTCAGGAGGGAAATTCAAAGAAATGTCCGTGTTCACAGTAAACAGCAGGAGCTCAGTTCACCCATCTGATTGGTGAGTTGTTGTTCGGCGTATTGTTTTTGTACTAGTGCTTAGAGGATTCTTAGCGTATTTCTTAGTTCATATCTTAGATTTTATTACTGTTTTTCTTTACAATTTATACTTTTGTTGGATGTAACTGGGACCCTGTGTCCACAATTTCATTCCACCACATGTACCACATGTGCGAATGACAAATAAGGAAACTTCGACTGTTGAATGCCTCGTTCCAAACTTTTTAGCCACAGCTTTGTCTTATTATTTTAACTTAGGACTCCAGATTCAGACTCGAACTGATGAGCTGCTTCGTAACCTACAGCGGGCTGTGAGCTAACATCTACGTGTCGTTGGTGCAAGGTCGCGTCAGCGTCACACTGTTTTGTCCTTGTTTCGGCTTGTTGTTCCAGCTTTGTCAGACATTCACAAACGTTATTAACGTGGATCACAGCATGATGCCTGATCTGTAGACTGAATTAAAGAAGGAACGTGGAAACCACCTGAAGAAGGAAGCAGGTTGTTAAATATCGCTCGGCTGTTCTTTTTATGGCGTTTGGACATATGGAGCGCTGGTTTACAGCTGACTAATGTTTGGTCAACAGAACGCCGTTGAAAGTCAACATGGCTGTGAAACGCAAAGCGTGAAGGACAGGGAAGCTTGTAGGTCTTTGGAAGGTGAACAAAGACCGCTTGACCAGATGTCAAAACTTCAGCTGCTGCTCCAGAACAATCTTTGTTTTGTTTTGCTGCGACGTCTGCGCAGGAACCACGTCCAACACATCTGAACAATACATCGCAGCTCTAACGTGGTCAGATCTGCCACACCCGTGTCCCTGGTTCAGAACACCGCTGCAGCCTGGTCGGGTCCCCACCTCTTTCTCTTATCACAGTTTCAACCTGTTTATTTAAGGGGGCTGACAACACATACCGGCAGCTTTGTGTGCTTGTTGTGGCAGGAGTCTGTCATTGTCAGGAACAATTAGTCCCGGGTACGAGGAGAGAAACAGGCTCCAGAAAGGTCAGGGAACAGCAACAATAATGTTTTCTCTGCACATATTCAAGCTGGACACACATGTGCCAAGTAAAACGTCCAACAAGTAAAAAAAGAATGGAGTTTTGTCTACGAGTGCGTCTAAAATGGCACCGGCATACCTGAAATTCATAACCCGGAGGTTAAAGTGTCACCACTTGCACATACGGTCTGTTTTTAGTGACGGGGTGGTCAGTTTACATCGAAGAGGCTCAAGAAGTCCACTTCTTTTTACAAACTAGAGATTCTGCTGGGACGTAGCTGTGGGTGGAGGCCAGCGTGTTGGGGGTTGATCTGAGGCGAGCCTCAAAGATCTCCCCCCTTTATTTCTTTAGTCTCCGTCATTGTTATGGCCTTGGGATGAAGGGGGGCACTGGGCGTGACAGACATCTAAAAAAAAAAAAAAAGGTTTACTCTGATAAACTGAAAAAGTCTGTTTTATGAAATGTTTAGGATGGATTTAAAGCTTTAAACACAGGCACTGAAGTTAGTTTCTTTGAGTCCTCTTATATTTTTTCTTTGAAAACGTTTTAGATTATGCTAAACGTCATACGGTCCCATCAACAACACACAGAAAAGTTTGATATTCTACTTTTTATTCAGCCTTGAATCAGCAGCCCCGGTTCTTAGCATCAATCTCTGAACACCTCGCTGATTACTGCAGCTGTAAAGCTTTTATTTTATTTTATTTTATTTATTTTGTAGCATCACCATTTCGTCAAAGCTGCCGTCAACACTGGGTTATAAAGGCCTTTTATTTTTCAGCTGATCTTCTAAACAAGCTAAACTAAACAACTAATATATATGGCCAATTGATGGAAAATATGTTCTTTTTATTCACTTTAATGTCATTCACAATATATCTTCAGCTACAGATTGAGTTGTTTTCTTATTGCTACTTTGCATTTGTTCCTAAAGTCTGATGTTACTGCTCAGAAAAGCCACGATGAATCATCTCATGGAGTTTGCAACCTTGCAGACTTTTTTAGATTTGCTGCAGTCATACAGTAAATCCGGATTATAACGATGGAGTTGAGCTTAGCAACAGCTGGTCCTTTCAGAAAGGGAAACGCAGCAACAGATGAGAGTAACAACACTTGAACATCTCATGCTTCATCACTGATTATCAGAAAAAGGTGATCTGGCCTATGTAAAACATACAACTCCATCCTCAAAGACAAACATGTGAATAGCATGAACCAAAAGGGACTCCCCCCCCACAAACATCTTTTTAAACGTCAGCTCGTTCCATAAACAGCACAGAAAAGCCCTGTCCCTCTCAGCATTGTCTCCGTTTGTCAAAAAGAAGCCATCTCAAGTGAGATGTCCATAATTTACAGAAAGTAAAAGGCTCCACGACGTGATCTGAATCCTCCCGGGCTGCAGGCGCCTCTGAGAACAACGTCATCCTCTGCATCTTCACTGGGTTTTTGTTCATTTGTCGACATTTTTAAACCAGTGATTTCAATTGAAAACAAAAGCTTAAGCTTTCAAAGGGTGTTAGTAAAACTACAATGGCGTAATTACAGAGATCTGCAGGTTGGGTTACACCCATGAGCCAAGGGATGGGGTATGCTGTCTGGCAACCATCAAAATGTATCACATACGCTTTAGATTTAAAACTAAAGCCAAACCAGGTATGTAAAAAATAAAGATAGAGATACAATAAGTTAAATAAAAATACCACAATAGTAAATAAGATTACTGCATAAACAATGAGGTCATTCTTCATTTTAACCCATAGAAAATCTTAACAATACATAAAATGCACAAGGTTTTCTGAAAAAACACAAATTTCTCGCCAAACCAGACATGTAACAATGAAAGCTGATACACAAGATAACAGCACTTCCTCCGTCTTACATGTATTTAAAATCATAATAATAATAAAAAAAACAGTATTTATACTCACATTGCATTGTTGGAAAAATTATTAGTTTCTCAAGCTGATTTTGACAGAAATAATCCCCTTTTGGTTTTACTCCTTTCCTAAAAAACTGTTTTGGCTTCAGAGATACTCCAACTGTGTCTACATGAGCATCAGATCATTCATTTTCAAACCTCACTAGTACCGGCTCTGTTGGTTCCCTCCCTCCTGCAGACCCCACCCAGACAGGCCTGCTGGCTTCTTCTGCCTCCCCCCTCCACCTCCCTGTCATCATGACGCTCTCTGATAGGCTGAAATGTCTCACACCACAAGACTCATTTCCCACATAAGGGCATGCAATCCAAAAGAAGTAGGTGGGGGAAGTTGCTATGAGGAAGCTCATACACATACTCTTTTGACAGATGATGCTACAGAGCTCAAGCCCATCCCCTCCCATGAGGGAAATACCGCCTTTCAACGCAGTACACAATAGTAGGGTTACTTTCGGACAAGTATGCAAAGGTTTTTTAAAGAGCTTTGCATTTCTAAGCTTTACTCTCGTACGAAAACTGATGCTGGTCTGGCTTATGTTAGCAGCCTAATTGAATGCTTATTCATTGTTTACAACGGGCGGCACAGTGGTGCGGCGGTTAGCGCTGTCGCCTAACGGCAAGCAGGCTGCAGGTTCAACTCCATCCTTTCTGGATGGAGTTTGCATGTTCTCCCTGTGCATGTGTGGGTTTTCTCCTGGTACCTCAATTTCACAGACCAGAAAAACATGCATGTTAAGTTAATTGATAACTAAAAAGTGTCCCTAGGTGTGAGCGAGAGCGTGCATGGTTGTGTCTCGTTTGTCTCTTATGTGTTTCTGTGATGGACTGGAGACTTGTCCAGGGTGCACGTCGCCAACTTGGAAAGGAAAAAGTGGGCAAAGTAAATGGATGGACTACAGCCTTGGTTCAGACTCAAGGTAGTCGTTGCAAAGACATAAAGACATGCAAAAGTATTTATTACGTAATAAGCAACATCCAATAAAGCACAATATTTTCTTATACCAATAGTAAATAAGTGCTTAAATTAAAAAATTGTGAGCAAAATTTATGAGCAGATGCCAGCTAACACATGCTTTTGTTTACCTATGAAAACAGCCGAAGTGAATGGAAATAGGTCAGCTGCCTGTAGAAGAAGTTTGTGAACAAGACTGTGACGTGCAAAACTACATGAACCTTTGCTTTCAGTACCTGGTGTGACCCACACCGTGCACAACTGCAACTAAACGTTTCTGGTAACTGTTGATCAGTCCTGCACAGTGACTTGGAGGAATTTTAGCCCATTCCTCCGTACAGAACAGCTTCATCTCTGGATGTTGGTGGTTTCCTCACATCAACTGCTGCTTCAGGTCCTTCCACAACATCTGGATTGGATTAAGGTCAGGACTTTGACTTGGCCATTCCAAAACATGAACTTTGTTCTTCTTGAACCATTCTTTGGTAGAACCACTTGTGTGTTTAGGATCATTGTGTTGCTGCATGACCCACCTTCTCTTGATTCAGTTCATGGACAGATGTTCTGACATTTTCCTTTAGATTTCTCTGATGTAATTCAGAATTCATTGTTCCATCAATGATTGCAAGCCCTCCTGGCCCAGATGCAGCAAAACAGGCCCAAACCATGATACTGCCATGTTTCACAGATGGGATAAGGTTGTTATACAGGAATGCAGAATTCTCTTTTCTCCAAACATTAAACTTTTCATTTAAAACAAAAAGTTCTGTTTTGGTCTCATCTGTCCACAGAACATTCTTCCAACAGTCTTCTGGCTTGTCCACATGATCTTGAGCAAACTGAAGACGAGCAGCCATGTTCTTTTTGGAGAGCAGCGTCTTTCTCCTTCAACCCTGCCGTGCACATCGTTGTTCAGTGTTCTCCTGATGGTGGACTCATGAACATCAACATTAGTCAATGTGAGAGAGACCTTCAGCTGCTTACAAGTTACCCCGAGGTCCTTTGTGACCTCACTGACTACTCCACGCCTTGCTCTTGGAGTGATCTTTGTTGGTCGACCGCTCCTGGGGAGGAGAACTCTGGTCTTGAATTTCCTTCATTTGTTCACCATCTGTCTGACTGTGGATTGATGGAGTCCAAACTCTTTACAGATGGTTTTGTAACATTTTCCAGCCTGATGAGCATCAACAACTCATTATCTGAGCAGCTCAGAAATCTCCTTTGTTCATGTCATGATCCACTTCCACAAACATGTTGTGAAGAGCAGACTTTGATAGATCCCTGTTCTTTAAATCAAACAGGGTGCCCACTCACACCTGATCAACATCACATTAATTGAAAACATCTGACTCTAATTTCATCTTTAAATTAACTACTAATCCTAGAGGTTCACATACTTTTGCCTTTCACAGAAATGTAATACTGGATCATTTTCCTCTATAAATAAAAGAACAAGTATAATATTTTTGTCTCATTTGTTCAACTGGGTTCTCTTTATCTACTTTTTGGACTTATGTGAAAATCTGATGATGTTTTAGGTCATATTTATGCAGAAATATAGACAATTATAAAGGCTTCACAAACTTTCAAGCACCACTTCTGTACTTGTACTTCTAGTTTTTAAGTTCAACAAAACAAAGGCAGTCTCTGTAAAAGGGGAACAAGTGCAGGAACTGAAAGAGATTAATTGTCATTCACAGAAAAATGTTGATCACAAAAACTGAACCGCAGTGCAACAAGCTGTACAAGTTTAAAGCAGAACAAAACGGCTAGAAAAGCACGTAAAGATCTTCATGAAGCCATTTCATTAGTTCATGGTTTGCTGCGGACAGATCTAAATATCATTACAGAATGTCCACTTGCACATACTCAAGCAACACTAAATGAATAGAAAAGGCTATAAAAGTGACAGACAAAATGAAAACAAATTCCTCTCATGGTTTCCCCCAAACTGCATCTACAGTTCAATAGTTCAAGCATTTGTACAGGAAGTGGAAAGAACTTGAATTTCCTCCTCGGGCTCATTAAAATATTACAAAAATAAGCGTTCTCACTTTTCTGCCTCAGCGTAAAATCAGATTGTATTTATTTATACACAGAGTCTGCACCACAGTCATTTTTGAAGATGGTTCATTATGCAGTTGTGTTTATGACTGTACTTTGTGAGCTTAGCCTCTAAATAACTCATGTGCAGCTGCTCACATGACCTCACAAATGTGTGTCATGGATCTTTGTAGAAAGGCAACCAATCACTACACGAGATGAAAAAGCTGAACCACCACGCCACAGCGTTGTGACATCCTGAAGCTCATCCAGAGCAGCCAGGCCACTGATGTGCTGCAGTGTTTAATGCACCCTGAAGTGTGGTTGTAGTCACCCACTGACATCCTCTCATCTGTCCCTCACTCAGCGAGCATGCACCTAAAAATGTGTTCAAGACAGCTAACAACGATCAATGAATACAGTTAGGGCTGTAAACTGTTTTGGTTGTCCGCTGAACAAATGGGACAAGAAATGTTCAAAATCAAAAGTCATTAAATGAACAAACTGCACAATTCAACCAGCTGTGTTGGAGTTTTCCATTTCTTTGTTCCTTTTTTGAAAAGTTTGAAGCAACTTCCTGGTCATTTCATTCAAACTTGACACTGTTTTTATATCTGAATTCAAATAGACAAGAAACTGAGACAAAAAAAACATAAATGATCTACAATAAAATGCCATATTTGCAATAAAAGCCCCACTTGCTGATTGCTCCTGATGTTAGATTCTAATAACCAAAACTAAACACAGAGAAATGTGTTCAGAGTAAAGCCCAATGTCTATCAAGCCTTTTGCCATCTGCAGAAATCATGCAATCAAACAAGAAGTTTATAAACGTGTGTTTTTCAGCGAGCTCTTCATTCCCCCATAATGCTCAGAGAATCCCAGTAAGTGTTAGGTAAGAATATGCCTCTAAATATATACTTAAAATACATCAAAATTTCAGGAAGTACTAAACCAAAGCAGATTTCTTGTGATTTTTAAGTCACTGATTAGATATACTGTTACTGATTGGTCATTTTAAACAAAAAGTCATATTAAAAATTAGACATTAGAATTTAAAAGGGTGTCTTTGTGTATGAAAACAGCAGTTCACAAACAAATGTGCGTCATCTCTGAGGTTACATTCTTCTCTTTGACAACTTAAGGATGCTGCAATTTAAAACCAGAACCTGACAAACCAGCAGATTCTAGGTCAACCTGCAGTGGATGTTACTGCTGCAGAGTCAAAATACTATCATAAAGTTGTTTGTGTAGTATTTTATATACTTAAGAACTTATTTACTGTGTTTGAATTTATAAAAAATCTGAATAAATTGAACGGGAAAATAATTTTAGCTGAACTTAAGATGACTTTGGTGGTGAATTGGCAACACATAAGCTATTTTTTTTTTTCCAGATGAACATAACGTTAAGTGTACATTAATATTATGTCTATAGAGCTGAGCTGAAATGTTTCACTCTGAAATTTGAATTCAGCCATTTATCCCTTGATAAATATTGGAAGTATCTAAAGTTTAATTCCAGCTAAAGCATTTCAATGATAACAAACTTAAAAAAAAAACAACTCTTGATCATATGGAATTTTCTTGAGTAAAATCTTCATGCATTCCTCTTCTGAGAATATGAAAAAAAAAAAGGTAATGCAGTTTGGCCTGATGGCAGCAATGTTGAGAAACTTGTTTCATGGTTTGATTATTCAAGTTCAATTAGGATGTAAGAGGTGAAGCTAACAAGTTCAAGACAAGTGAAAGTGAATTAAAAACGAGCTGAAACTATTTCATGAAATCACTCAGTTGAAGCTATAATCAACAGAAAACTCTTAAAAAGTCCACTGCTGCTCACTTTAACAGTTCATCTTCAGCTAAACAGTTGAAAATGTGAACTCAATAACACAAGATGGAGAGATAAATGGTGACATAAGGCTCACTTACCGACAGAAGGAGCTTTTTAAAAAAGCGTCTGACTGATTGACTGAAAATGAAAGGACAGCTGCTCCCTGCTGGATATAGCTGTCGCTTTTACATCTTTACATGACACTCCTACTTCAGTTCAAAAGTCATGAACAGATCTGACAAAAAAAAAAAAAAAAGTTTTCATTGTTTAATCATGTAAAAACAGAGCTACTTCAAATTTAATTAGGACGAGGCCAACTTACATTTGAGAACTGAACGATATGTAATTACTGATATTCTATTTTTTTCTCCTTTTCATTATTTCCTCAAATTTGAAGCATTGTTAAAAAAAAATGAAACTGATGTAGTTTAAAATGTTTTGCCTGCAGAGCAAAATAAAGTCAGGAAAACATGAACGTCCTTGGAGAAGTAATAAGCCCAGGGATAAACCACCAGAATTATTGGATCAAAACCTTCTTATGTACAAGAAAGTTCAAAATACATTACATCTAGACAGAAAGGTTTAAATTGTGCTTTGTCTGTTTGCTTGTTACAGATTTAAATAACTTAAAATTAACACTTGAAAAAAAAAAAACAATGTTTGTTTTGAGCTATTGCTCCCAGGTCATCATGAAATATTTATATTGTTATTGATGATAGTCCTGTATATGTTAATCTAATAAATTTCTCAAACTAAAAGGTTTTGCTGCCACCATGTGGTAAAATCTACAAACTACATAGGAAGGATAAACTTGCAAGAAAAAAAAAAACAACTTTAATATTTGTTTAATATCCAAAAGTTTAAAGTTGATATCTTCAATAATATCACAAATACAGATACAGTAACAAGCAGTTAAGGAACAATATGTACCGGCATATATTTAGAGCATAAGACCTTTGTTTTTTTAAATAAATGTTAGTGCATATTTTTTGTTTAATTTCAGTTAAATTAGTTTATTGTTTATTTATACAGATACAATTGTGAAGTATTAACAAATGCCATAAACTATAATGTAACATTTGTAGCCTAAGCCAATTTGCAATGTGGTCATTAAATGGGATTTTTGCAACACAAAATAAATAAATAAATAAATAAATATAGTTTAAAAATGATTAAGACAATACATTAAAAAAAATAAATGAACAAAATAAAATAAAAAATTCTAAGACCAATAAGAATAACATTAAAGGTGACAGTTATTCAAGACTACAAAACTGGTTCCCCTTAAGAAAAAACAAAAAAGGTTAAATCATGTCATCTGGACCAGTTTCTTTAAGAAACAGTACAGTGTTTGAATAAACTAAGCCTCATTTACATGATTAATTTATTTCTATTAATCACTTAGTTTTAATTAATAGTTGTTTAAATTTTAATTTATTAATTGATTTTGCTTCTCGCCCAACTAAACAGCACCATCTAGTGGCTGAATAAAAAAAACAGCTTAATTTTTAAATGGGCGGAACCATTGACCATAGTTTATGGGCGGAACGCTTTTCGGTATGGACCCTCCCTCACTAAAGGTTGTGACGTAGGCGTCCAAGGGTAGCAACAGTTGCCTCGAGACCCTGTGGCGCTATAGTGACTGTAGCCGTGGAGACAGTTACTTACCAACGGGCGCAACACTCAGCAACAGCAGCAGCAGCATCTGGAAGTCACCGGGCGAGTGGGAGAGAGGGCTGAACTTTTGTGAAAACAAAGGTGAATATATATATTTTAAACAAGATTTAAAAACTGCTTTAATCTCGATTTAGATGGGGGGAAATTATCAGGGGTCGTCTTCACTACACAAACTTCTCTAGGTGGCTTTCGTTTCTCTCTCAACTGACGACAACATTCACGTCTCACTTTCTGCCACAGTTCGCTGACGGAAAGCGTTGTCGTTGCTACAGCAGCTCGGAAGCATCACTTTACACTTGTTGCTGCGCTGTTTTAGCGATTGTCGAGACGTGAACCCACTTCCAGCACATCAAACGCACGCACGGGCTTCCCGGTTGAGGACAGCTAATGCTAACTCGGCAGCAGCCATGAGTGGAAAGTCCGCTTGTGTCGCGTTCTCAGCCGCAGCCCAGTCTCGTTGGGTCTTTCCAACGAGGGTGAACCCATTCGGAACCGTGTTCCTACAGGTGGGAGTGTAGTTAGCACCCTTGGTTCTGTTGGTCCAAACAGTACCAACGTCCGCTGCGTGCTACGTAAGACCCGTCACAACGTTTCAAGACCTCTTTCATAGCGCGTGAGCTTTTGTTGGAGTTTTACATCACACATCTGTCTTAATGACACTCTTACATTCAAGTTGTGACACTTGAACTTGTTCTACCGGCCTGGTTCCGAAACTAAAGCTGCTCTAAACGGCTTCAGTGTTTCCTCAGTCAAAATGAAGAAATCTCATCAGATTGAGAAATGTCAGGTATCAGGAAAACAGGCAGGTAAACTGTAGGACATGTTTCTCAATAACTTCAATAACAAGGTGTGTTGCATCCAAGTGGTGCTACTGGATGCAATGTCATATTTCTTTGTCTTGTTTTTAACAAATCCAAATGTTATTTTAGAACTTAAGCTACTTTATACTCTAGTGGTGTTTTATGTTAAGCAGAACACAATCAGTGATGGCTTCTCTTACTTTCCTACAAATAATTGAGTTTATAGCTCGTGATGTAGCCAGTTTTGATCATGTTATATGTACTGAGTCAACCCAAAAGCTAATTGTCAGCAGGCAGCTTGTTCACAGTTTATAGCTTTGTTGTTAAAGTGTTTGGATTTAAGTTTGCAGATATATAGAATAATTTCAATCTCTGCCCCAACTCTAATGTGAAACATTGAGATTTTAAGTGACCATTTTAGAGTGATTTAAGAGCACATTGCATTCCTCTTTTTGCCCCAGGAGATACATTATTTCTAACAAAGCACCTTCTCTGAGACATCTGTCAGGTGCTTGGCCATTTGCATTGTTTGTTAATGAAGCAAAAGGAAGTTTATTTGCAGCATGCATGTGCCTTCAACTTATAACATCTTTAATATTTGCATTTACATCTTATAGTTATTTATCTTATGCAGGATGGGAGTTGTATTATTAGTTAGCTGTAGGATCTGAGTCGTTCTAATACTAAAATGTCCAAATGTAGGTCTTAAATTTGCCATTTAGACTTAAATGCTTAAATAAAAGCTCATTTTAGAGCAATGGTTCCTAAAGTTGGGATAATGAAACGCATTGAGGGGTTTAAATTAGTGTCAAAAATCAAATAACCTTTAGACATGACTGCCAACAGCGTGTTTAGCCTTAACTCTTACCAAAAGTAAAGCATAATGCAAATAAATGCATAATTTTTTATATTTTTTTCAGCAATACATTTGCGTTCACAAGTCTCTGTGGTTTTTATTTTGTTGGTCAAAGCTGAAAAAGTTTGGGAAAATAAACTTACCAGTCAAAAATTCTTTACAGACACAAAAAGCGTTGATTCTGTTGAAGCCGTGCGATCTTCACCAGTTTCTGCTCCCATTTAGAGTCTAACCACGTTATGTTTACATGGAAACCTGTCGTACAAATACACAAGTCATGGAACGAAAGGGGTTAGAAAGGTCCAGGTAGCGAACTGCTATTGTATTTATTTATTTTTTTAATCAGATTATTATCTTTAATAGTTCAGATCTGCATGGCAGAACAAACAAATAACGAAATGGAAAAGAACAAAACTGAGAATGATGGTTTGAAATGGGAGATAAATGTATTATTTTAATAATATTTTATTTTCTGTTGTGGAAAATTTGCCTTTTGTCATTCTAAAATCAAAGGGACCTTTATTAAATTTGCTAGCTTTACTGGCACATAAAATTTTATTTCTTCAAGGCTCCGTAGTTCAGTTTCTATAAAAGCTCCTTTTTTAATTTTTTTAAAAATTGTAAACACCTGTTGAGAACTGAAGTGATTTCTGGGGCAACGGGGGACCTGTCACAGCCTTTGGTCACGTGCTTGTGTGTGAGTTTAAACATGTATGTGTAAGCGTGTTGTGTTCGTGTGAGTGTGTTTTGCTCGTGCTGAATTTAGCTACCTTCATGTTGGCCCGGGAGGAAATCCATCCATCCAGTGTCCCAATATAGCCACGAGCCTGATGACTGTCGTCTGTGTTGGTGTTACAGTTTACAGGCAATCGGGTGCAGAGTTGCATTCTCTCTGTTCGGCGTTTGATCGTCATCTGATAATAAGGAAGTTTTAACACTTTATTACAAAACTCAAGTCAAATACAAATCAGGAAATCATAAAACTTAAAACTCCTCCTGGGACTTCTTTTGTAGAAAGGATTAGTGTCAGTTAAACATGAAATGTTGCACAATTCATTTATTTCATTTTTAGTTAATAACCATTATCCTTTCAAAATGAAACGGTTTAACTGTTGCAATCCGTTGTTTAACTACAGAGATTTTTGGAAACCACTGTAGGCTTCTGCTGCCAGGATACAAACAAACAACTCTTCTCATATGAAGATGCTGCCGCTGATTTATCCTCGTGTGTTAGCAAGCTGAAACTTGTAAAATGAAATGCTTTTCGGTCTGCTGCCTCCATCTGATGTGTCATCAGCAACATTCCTTACATTACACCTGTTTGTATCATAGCTACACGACTGGTAATTAAATTTCCTGCCGCAAACGGGACATTTGCATTACAATGACTTCCCCCCTCCTATTCAGGCAAAGGGTAGGACCAGACCCCCATTTGCTCCGCACTTTTCTTTTGTAGAGTTAAGCTGGAAAAGAGATAGTTATTTAGCAACAAAGAAGAGCTCTGTTAGTGTAAATTTACCATTAAGTAATAACCAGATTTAAGATGAATCCTTTTGGTAAAGTGCATTTTTTCCGATGAGCACAGAAAGAGACGTTAGTTTTTAGAATTTTTATTTTTTTTTGTTTGGCTCTTAATCAAAACCCTTCATTAAACCTCGGTCAGTTTTATGTAAAGCAGTTACAGAGGATACACCGCTCTGTTTTAACTTGAAGGTGGATATTCTTACACTGCTTTTAGATTCTAGTGTTTGAAAACACATTTTCTAACTCGGTAATGATTTATAAATAATGTGTACAAATTAAAAAAAAGGTTTTTATTTTTATTTTTTATCCTCAATTTTATTGTAATTTAACTTTGTGGCAGCTAGCTCGGGTTTCTAACAGCTTAAAATTATTTTTAAGCCATGAGAAAACCATGCCTGTTAAACAGAATCAGACCTGGATTATATTTTTGAATCATTGTGTTTGTTTAGGATTGCCTTTTTCATGAGAGAAGTCTTGACTAGTACAATTTTAATCAAGTTATTTAACAACACCACTACAGTATATTCAAAGATTCAAGGTTCTTTATTTGTCATATATAGGCCTGTCGCAATAAACAATATATCAATTAATCGCATGATAATTTAAAATTATCAACCTCATTTTCTTTTATCGGCTTTATCGTTTCTTCATGTCTCTCTTTGTACTGAAGACACTGGATGACAAAAGGCTTAACTCCAGTGCTCTTCACTGACTCCTCCCTTTCTCTTTTCTTTAAAATCTGTTTTATCCGTCCAAAATCACGTTTTTGGATTGTTAAAAGCAGCTAAGCTGAGAAGGTAAGCTACGAGCTAAGCTAACAGGCCGACCTCAGGAAAAAAAAAACCTCCATCTTGTCGAAGCTCCAAAATTCACGGTTGAAACCTGTGCCTTCGTGTAAAAAGTTATTTTCTCTGCAAAAAGAAGCTGAGAACTTGTTTACTGATTTTTTTTTTTAAATTAAAAGCTTTTGTGTGAAAAATGCTATGCTAAAAAGCTCAAACCACACCGAGCGTCTGCCATTTTGAGAACCGAAAAACAGGAGCGAGAGACAGCTCATGTCACGTCAAGGGGCCTCCCTCCCATTTTCTTACAGAGACATGCTGCTCGCTCCCTCACTATCCATCCTTTGATTCAAACAGTCTCAAACTGCCATCCAGTGGTCAAAAAAGGTACTACACACAAAATTAACCAACGTTTCTTCTAAAATTGGACATTACTAATTATTGTCAAATTTCAAACAATATTATCGTTTATCGCGATAATTTCTGAGACAATTAATCGCCCAGCAAAATTTGTTATCGTGACAGGCCTAGTCGTACACACCACATGTGGTACATGTGGTGGAGCGAAACTGTCTACACAGGGTCCCAGTTACAACCAACAAAAGTATTAAAACGTAAAAGAAAAACAGTAATAAGATCTAAGATATGAACTAAGAAAAATGTTAACTAAAAATACGCTAAGCACTGGTAGCATGAAGAACAATATGCCGAACAGCAGCACAAACATGAGTCTACGTGAACAGATGAGTACGAATGAACACAGACAGGAAACGGATCAGCAGCAATGATGTGATTTTATGACAACTATGTCAGCAGTGTTTGTGTAGAAACAATTCCTCCTTGAATCTGGTTCTGAAGGCAGTTTGTCAGCCTTGTGCAGTATTCAAACTCAAACGACGGCGCTGTCCCAGATTTAAAGCACCGATGAGTCACTGTCATGTCGTGTCAAGTGGTGTCTTTGAAAGCATTCTGTATACCTACATTATGACTCTGGGTCACAGGAATGCTTTCTAACAAGGCTTGCTCCTTTACTGCAATATGGCGCTTATCTCCGTTTTATAACTCAAGAATAAGTCAGCAAGCAGCCATCATCTGAGGCCATCTTTGTTGGATGTTTCAAAGAGAAATAAATCTTCATAGTCCACATGTTGAACACACAACTTAAATTCATTTTTTAACATTCATGCACCAAGACTCGTTTAGCACAAAGATTTTCTTATTATGCTCTTAAATAAAATCATAGAGTCTTTAGTTCTTTAAAATTATTTCACAGTTTATTCTTAATTAGCCAACATTGTTAAGTGAAATTCTTTGTGCGTGTCATTAATGTGGCTTTAAAGACATTAGAGGACAGTTGTGACGGAACGGCATGCCCACATATCACTTTAGTGGAATTACCCTTTTTTGCTTCTGATTTTCTCTGTATTTCGTAAATTTAACTCTCCAAAACAGCTCTTCAATCTAAAACTGTGAAATGATAAGGATGAGGGCTGGAGGTGTGCATGTATGTTTGGGGGGAGGGAGGGGGCAGTGGAAATTTGGAAAGGGTTATATGAGGTATGGCGTTGGGGGAGGAGGTGGTCAGTGTAAAGCTTAGGGAACACACAATCTCCATGGCAACAGTTTGATCTTTCTCTCCGTGGCTGTCAGGCTCGCAGCGCACACGGTGACGGAGTGGACAGGTTGTGCTGATGACCAGAGGTGGGGAGGGGAGGAGTATTCTTGGATCAGAGACAGTGGTCGGTGCTGCTTCAACCCCCCCAGCCCTGCCATCTGCAGACCCTAAGAGCTGCTTTGATTGGATTAGCCATGAATTAATGAGACAGGCTTGAAGAACAGCTTCTGTTGTGGAAATCTCTTATCATATCTTAATTTGCTCTTTGTGTGAACGTGTGGCTGTATGATCCTATAACTTCTTTCAGTAAAATGAAAACCAAAAGTGGCATAAAAGTTATTTAAAATATTAACTTGATATATTTTTTAACTAGGAAGGACAAATTCTAACTAGACATGTTGCTTTTGGATAAAAATGTGAACTATAAACAGGATTATACCTGTTTAGTGTGAAACATTTGCTCTGAGTCTGTTTAAGGGCCATAAGCATCACCTTTATTTACATTTTATTTTATCCTCCACAGAGCTGGAAAAAGGATTTCTCTACTCTCATCTGCCCAGGTTACTTTGAAATGATTCAACTTTGTGTTGAAAGTTTTGTTTTTGAATGGCCCGAGTATAAAAAGGCCTTAAAAACAGACTGTTGTCTCTTTGATGACTTGAGCATACTTCCTTTCTTTGAACAACAAGTACTTACAAAAGCACAGTAATTTTTCTAGTCAGTTTAGTTACAGCCTGTAAGAAGTCTGTCATTTTTTTTCATGGCTTCAAGACAAAAATAACTCTGCTGCCTGCACCCCCCCCCCCACTCCACCCCTCCATGTCTGAAATTATTAGCTTACATCGTATTTATTGTTGTAAGTTTCTACTTAGCGTGTGATAGAGGAATCAGGTGGGGGGATGGCATTGTTTGGTTTGGGAAGTATTCTGTTGGTTGCATAGCAACAGGCTCCTGGAAACAGGAGTGGACGGTGTTGCCACTAGCAACCGTTGTTGCTCTGCAAACAATGTGGGCCAGTGCAAACATGAGCCAAGACTGTGTGTTCCTGCTTTAAATTGAACATCTGTATGTGTTTTTCTCTGATTAAGCCCCGTTTAAGCAACAGATATTTTGATGGTTAATTATTTTGTGTGTTGACATGATCGACTGTGGCTTTAGCCACACTTTGTGTGGATTTGTAGTTGTTAAAAAAGTATTTTTGCTTGTTTTACTGAAAGTTGTGAAACTCAGGTACTTCTTAACTAGAGGAGCTGATGTAATGGTGCTAATATGGGATTTGCTTGCATAAAACCCAGCTCCTAGACTGTGTATGTACCGGTAGTTGTCTTTGTGCTGCAGGTGAAAAGTATTGGATCCTAACAGCAGACTGTCCTGAGTATTGGTTTTGTGGCAGTGTGTTGTGTCTCCTGCTGTGTTCTAGCTTTGTGAGTTTCTGAGCAGCTGGTGGGGAATTTGTGTGGCTTTTAACCTCCCCTGAACATGAAGCAGAAAGGCTCCTTTAAGCTCTCATTCACTTTCTTTATCTCTCCCCCAACTCAACCATTTGGCACACTTCACCCTTCCTATTAAATCCAGTGCTTAATAGATGAGAACATGCAGGTCAGTGCTCTGTTTCTGATCCCCACCTCACCATGCCACCCACTCATTATTGGCATAAAGCACCCCCCTCCCAGGCTTGTGTCACTTTCTCTGGTGAAAATGACAATTATAGAGAAAAATGACAGCACTCTTACACGTTTATTTTAAACTCAGCTGACACTTCATATCCAGACTCCTGGCTTTTGAATGATGCTTAAAGATTCCAGCAACTTTTTAAATGTTGTCTTCTTGTTAATATTGTTCTGATAATAGACTTTTAGCTCTTTGTTGACGTGCAGTACAGAGATGTGAAGGTGGAATATGAGAGCTTTTACATGTTAGTGTAAACGTGACTGTGCTCTGTGCTGATAAAAGGAACATGGATGTGTCACAAGAAGACTCAGAAACTTTGGACCATGAAGTAGTACTGTGTGTTGAAACTTGATCTTTCCAAGTCATGCCAACAAAACGTCTTCGTGGCATGCTTGACACATTTTACTTTTGTTTAACCACCTAGTAAAAATCTATATTTCTATAAGTTACTGCTCTCTAATACTTTATCTAATCCACACTTTAGTTCTGATCATTTATATTTGTATAAATGTACATAGTTGATTTTTGTGTGAATCATATGGAAGTCAAAAATGATCATTCCTAAATGCTATTATGTTTTGATAACTTACAACTCAAAGGTGAAATATTGTTTTATGCTACAACCATGTTATATTTTCTCATGCTTTTATTGTTTAACACCTACTTGTTAGCTTTAGGACAACAAGTAAAACTGACTTTTGGAAATACCCGACTCCCTATGTATATTTTAGTGATTCAGAGAGATATGTGATCATAATTCTGTGATGTTCCTCCAAAGAGGATGTTTCTCCGACCAGTAGTTTCCTTGATTCTTTTTTTTTTTTTTTACTGTTAAAGATTGTTGTTTTTGCCCAATCTTATATCAGTTAAGTCAGTTTCTGAAATTATTAGATGAACCAAAACTTAGACTTGGGTGCTTACATGGGTGTTATAAATTTGTGTGTAAATTTACCAAAGCCAAAAGTTTTATTTGTTCCCCCCAAATCTCTTTAAGTCCATTTAACATGAGTGATCTGGCTCCTTGCACGTCTGAAGCAGGTTGTGCATTCTCTGTATTGAGCGTATGTTCACAACTTCTTTCTTTCCCCGGCTGACTTTTTCTGAAGTCCCTTGTTTTTATGTTGCTCATCAGTTCAGCCCACCCCCAGCTGGGCCGTATCTCTCTCTCCCTTATTCCAATCCTCCTCCCCCTCTTCTCTTTGTGGCCCGACTCAAAAGTTCCTGTGGAAGAGCTTAATAAAAGAGGGGTGAGTTTGGGGGGAGTGAACGTGGAGGAGTGAGGGGTTGGAGTCGTGGTGGTCGTCATGGATTCCTCACCATAGCAACCGACAAACGTTTACAAAGCATTGAGAGATTTCCTCATATCAGCTGGATTATTGGAGTCCTCAGAGACCAGTTCTCATTTGAAACCAATGCTGGATATCGTCAAGACCTTAGCAGGGGCCGAAACCCTGCAGCCATTTTTATTTCCACCCCCTCTCATCTTATAGTGTTGAACTTGTGAAGTTTTTTTTTTTTTTTGGGTAGGGGGGTGGAGGGTCTTGCAGTTCTATTCCTTTTCTTGTCTATGCCTTGTGCCGGCTCTTTCTCTCTGTCTTTAAAAAAGAGCTTTTGTGTCGGTCCATTTTTAGCTCCCCTTTGCTATGCTGTGCACATTGTCACCCCGAGGAAAGCAGAGTAGTAGCAGTGGGTTTGGTCATCGGGAAGCAGTTTAATCCTGTTGGTAATTTGAGCTTCTCTAATATAACTTTTCCACATGTTTAGTCTGCCTGCACGGCTCTGTCTGCATAGTGCTGTGCAGCCAGAGCCACTGATTACAGCCAAAGGTGGACAACTGCAGGCTCTCTGAGAGCTTTGGTGACTCAGCTTGACTTGGCAAAACCAGAACCCCCCCCCAAGGCACATGAATGCTGAGAAAGACTGGACTTTTAATAGCATAATTAGATGTGCATTTTGATTGTAGCTTTTTGTTTTTAATTTGTACCTGTAAAGATATTTCAGTAGTTTGGAATTTGATTTCACCTTTTTCTTGTATCTTCTTGCCTTCCAGCATGCAGAACTCGGAGGGAGCGTCGGACACCACGACTGGTGTGGCAGCTCTGCGGTCCTCGTCATCAGCCCAGGCTCCTGTGGTGCAGCCTGTCCCAGCGTCTCAGCAGGTAGTGTAACACCTCTGCCCTGCTGCCAGTAAACTGACAGGAGGCTTCAGGATGTCAAATACAGAAGAAAAGTCTTTTTTCTTTTTCTTTTAAGAAATCAAAAACTTCTCACAATAGATTTTGTGCGTACTGTCCCAAGTGAATAGAGTACAACAAACTCTTCCAGAGCACCTGAAGCTCAGTATTAAAAATCACACCAGCACAAAATACATTTTCAAATGTTCAGCTTTGTCATTAACATGTGCTGCCACCTTCAGCTCTGCCTGGGGATGTTTATCTGTTAAATACATGAAGAAACTCCACGATGACTGTAAGATTCAACCACATGAGTTGAACTCATCTCATTTAATTTTGTCCCATGTTTCCTGTATGTTTCTTCTGCTTTCTAATGAATGTAAACATACAGCTAAAATAATGCTAGAATCAGAAGGAAGTCATGGCATTTCATGTAATGCACATGTTTATGTTTTTATTAATCCTTATTTTTATGGACTTCTATTTAACATTGTATTTCAGGGCTTGTATGAGTAAATGACAGTTTAATATATCCTCAAAGCTCATGATACATTTATTGAATAATAATAAACCTTCATTTGATATAGGTCTTGCTTTGTGTGTCTTCCCATCATGTGCTGACTGCTCTGTGTTTAGATTAGTGCGTTTGTGTGACTGAACATACATACCTATGTAATTGAGTTATGTCTTGTATCCACACAGAGGGTGCTGGTTCAAGCCACAGGCTCAGCTCAGAAAGGAGGACAAGTACAACAGCTTTCAGTGTCCAGGGTCCAACAGGTCCCTCAGCAGGTACACAGTACTCTGCATACCTGCACAGCTCTGAGCGCATCTGAACTCCCCTCAGTTTATAGGCTTCTTCAGACATGTTCAGAAATAATTTTAAGTTACTTTCATGAAGCAATAAAATATATGCAGTCTAACAAGGTTGAGTCAGGGTCAGTCAGTCAATAGGAAGCAGCCATCATGGCACTAACGATCAGTCGCTAAGCTGATGGTCCTTTTGCATGTGAACAACTAGTTTTGGCTGTCACCAGCAAACTGGTTGATCCATTATGAGAAGGTGCTGCTATGAGTTTGTTGCAACTCCTCAGACTGAAGAAATCTTTTGGATAAAAGATGAAACGTTTCGACAAAGAAGAACCCGTCCAGAGGACCTGACTCAACCTTGTTAGATTTAGCGACATGGATTATTGAGCATGCATCGAAACACATTCTGTTCTATTTTATCGTTAAGTGTGGAAAAGATTAAATTGCTGTCATTAAAATAATAAAATCAAGGTTGTCTAAACCAGCAAACAGCCTGTTGTTTGGCTTTTTAAACTACTACTACTACTTTTACATCCAGATTGTAAAACAGTCAGTCTGGTAAACAACTGGTCAGGCTTTTGGTTAACTCATGACAAAATACAAACAATAATGAAGTCTTGTTTTAAACGTTGTAGGACACCGGTCTTTGCAGCCTATTCATTCCCTAAAGCCAATAATGCAACAGTCGTAGCTTCTATTGGTGGTATCGTGTTAGTAAGGATGCTCAGCAGTGGTTTTGTTCTGCCCTAAGTTTTACTATCAATAGTTATATGTAAATAATGCTTAAAAAACATTTGTAGTTTGTGAACTCCAGGAGAAAAACTAGTAAAGTAATAAAATATTAAACAAGAGTTTCTAAAATGTTCCTAATTATAAAACTTTTAAAACATAAAACTGTGGAACTGCTCTTTAAACCTCTAATCTGGTTATGAGACAATTCTTTAGTTGTCAAAATACAAAAAAAAAAATACAAATTGTAAAGCACTTTCAGACCAGCACTGGAGCTTTAAAAAAATGGCATCGTGCTTGTTGGAATCCCTGCTCTGCCAAACAAACCAAATGTGACTCTGATTTGCTTTTTGTCAGAAGCCTTTTGTTTTTACGAACATTTGGAATCTCCAGCTACAGGTTTAGCTGGACCAAAAAAAAGAAAAGGCAAATTTAGATTGCAGCTCACTTAGAGAACACAAGATGTAGCACTTCCTGTTACAGCAGTAAAATGTTTTCTGCACATTATTAAGTCTTCAATATGTAATCAAACCGTTTAATGTGTGAGGTAATGAGGACTTCTTGTAATCGTCTCTGGGTCTCAGTGTTTCGTGTTGACTGGTGTTCCTGAAGGCTTGAACCAAATCCCAATATTTTATTCCTCCATTTTAATTTAGTAGTTTATGACTCACCATTTATATAACTTAACCATCATTATCATCTCAGTGTTGCTTTCGGTGAATCACGTGTATGTTTGTCTCAGATTAAATTTAAATAATTTCAATTACAAATTGTGGGCATTAGTAAAATAACTTTTCTGGTTTTGTTCCTTATCAACTTCACTTTTTATATGCCTTGGGTCATATAAAAAGACTTTCTGACATGCCGTGCTGTCACCTTGTTGCATGTTAACACCTACTTGTTTGCATGTTTATTCCTTATTCGCAGGTGTATTAAATTAACATGACAGACATATTTATTCTGTTGACTCTTTGTATATGCAGCAGGTGCAACATGTCTACCCATCCCCAGTCCAGTATGTAGGAGAAAGTGGAGATGCTGTTTATACCAATGGAACTATGTAAGCTCTGTTACTACTAAATGTTTCTCACATAAAAATAGTTCTAAAAATGAGGTAGTAAGATATTTATTTTTGGTCAGTTTAACTCAAAATTTAGAAGAATCTATTGGTAAAACTAAAAACAATTCAAAAACTGAATCCAATCACAGAACTGCTCCTAATATTTAGCTCCTCTTCAAAACAAGACCTTTTTCTGATTATTTTAAATGTGTCACACTTACTGGTTTTAAAGTAGCTGTAATCTCTGGACCATTCAAGCCACAAGACGTTTTCCCTCCACAGTTTAAACTGTTATGACTAGCGTGATGAATTATTTGGATGACATTAGTTATATTGTTGTCTATGTCAACACAATAGTGTTGCATAATTTCAGCTTTATTTTAGTTGCTTTACACATTATTTAGTACTCGCAAAGCAAAAGTTTACTTAGTTTTTTAAAATGTAACGTAAATGTACTTGCATGCTAATGACAGCGATCTCTCCCCAGTCGCACAGCCTACTCCTATAACCCTGAGAGTCAGCTGTATGGGCAGAGCAGTGGGGGGACCTACTTTGACTCTCAGGCCGGTGGAGCTCACGTCACCACGGTGGTCTCCTCTGCTAGTAGTGGTGTGCCCCCTCATGGCATGGTTGGCATCACCATGGACGTGGGCAGCAGTCACATCATTTCCAGTGGCAGCACCTACCTGATTCATGGCGGGAACATGGAGGGAAGCCGCAACCACATATCACACTCATCACGCTCCTCCTCAGCTATGGTGAGCAATACACATCCTGCTGTTACTGTGGTAGGAGTATAACATGTGTAGAGAGCATCCATCCATCCATCCATCCATCATCCATCCATTATCTTTACCCACTTCTTCCTTTTTGGGTTGCTTGGGTCACTGGTGCCCATATCCAGCCATCACTGTGCCAGAGGCGGGGTCCACCCTGGACAGGTCTTAAGTCCATCACAGGGCTAAATCAGTCACCAACACCAAAACCTTAAGGCAGGTCCATAAGGTGGTATCTCACTGGGCTTTGACTGCTGGTTACTGACATTTGTGAGGAAGTCTTTAAACTGTTTGTAGGGCTTCTTAATTTTCTTGCATGCTTCGCAGAGGCATGCAGCTATATCACTTGAGTTTAACACGTAAAATTACGCTGTGCGGCTAATTTTCTCTCTAAACGGTCAGCGTCGTCGCTGGTGTCTTGAACCCGTCTCGAACTCCTCCCAGGTTTGTTGCAAGCATCTTCAACTAGTCTCGAGTGCTAAAGCTGTAATTTGACACCACTCCACAAATTCTCCTCTGACAGAAGACATGTCCAGGACTAAAAATCACCACTTCTGACAAATGGTGATTATTATCAACTGGTCCAAACCTCCCGATATTAGTTTTAGATTACATTAAAAATGCTCATTGCTGCTGAGGTGAGTATGAAATGAGCCAAGGCAGGTGTAATGGGGGCAGAGTGGACAACAGAGTAACGTGCACGGCTTAGAATACAGTTTTTCAAACTGTCCATACAACAATAAGCCATGGGGCTTATTTTTTAATTCAGTTGCTCAGTTCACGGCTTGCTCACATTGTTGCAAACACAAAGAATTCAGTGAGGCTACAACAAAACGTGCCTGTTTTCTTACAATTCTTTTGCAACTTTGAGTCACCATCTGGTCTCCAACAATTAAAGTCCAGTGAGATACTACAGTGAGAAATATATTCTGTTGCAAAGAGTCCAGATGATCTCCTTTTTATAGAAACTGCTGTCTGTGCTTGTATCCTGGTTGACAACTCAGTCCCAGGAACCTGCAGCGTGAGTCTGGGCCTCGTACCTCTGTATGAACACCTACAGAGAACAGCGGTCCAACACCATGAGCCTGGAGAACCAGGACTATATAATAATTCAACACTGGATTGTTTCAGAGGTTTTCACAAGCACTTGAGCACCCTATGAAACAAATAAACCCCTGGGGCTCATTACCATTTGGCTAAGGGTCCTCTGGAGCCTTAAAGGCTTGGAACACCGCCTGCTTCTTTTCCTTTTCTTCTGTGTCACATTTGGCAGCAGTACTACGTCTTTTTTTAACTTGATTCTCTTCCACTACACAGAATATTCCGGCTTTTGTCAGTCACTTCAGTCGCTGGTCAGACTAATTAGTTAATTTATTTTGGTCATCCAATGATATAAATTAATTGTGAGTGTGTTTTCAATTGGCTCATGCAACTTACTCGGTCTTCTCTTCAGTTTTACGAACTGTTATTTTATAAGTTTGACGAACTCTAGGATGATTAGCATAGTTGACCCTCTGTCTCAAATCTTGAGGTGACCTGTGCCCCTGTCTGTTGTTTCTATTTGCATAAAGTGTCTGACCTGAAGCCTTCAGTGAACAGCTTAACCCTATGAGTCCCTTGATTTGCATGCTTTTGTCAGCCAATAATAGAATTGGCTGCAACACTGACCAATTTTAATGGAAATGCAGAGATGTGGCTGCTCGCTAACAGTCTTATTTCCTTTATCTCTTTTCTCTGTTCTTTGTCTTTATGTCCCTGCTTATTTCTGTCCCCTTCCCTTTTTGTGTCTCCTACCTCCTCCCCTTCTACATCCTCTGTTTTGCATGGTTTTTTTTCTGTAGCTTGAAATGGCGATTGAAAACCTCCAAAAGTCTGAAGGAATTGCAAGTCACAAAAGCAGCCTGCTCAACAGCCATGTAAGTCAAAAAGGAACTTTCTTTGGAGAGGAAGGGAGAGAAAAAGGAGAAAGCTGTGGCTGAACCTCGGGGCTGTGTTCTGCTTGTGTGAGCACACTGTCTGCTGCTAGCTTAGCTACTTTGCACTGTCCCATTGACATTCACAAGTATTGAATTTTGTTTTCATGCTTGATCTGCACTCGTTTAAGCTTTCCTAAACACAAATCTTGTGTATTTGCTTTCATACTCTGCATGACTTAATGGTGTTCTCTTTTTAAAGAAGAATTTGATCATTGGGGATAGACTTGAAAGTACCTTTTTTTTTGCCTAATTGTAGATGAAAAGTCTTTGTGCTTTTGTACAAAGCGTTATGACATGGTCATCCACAACATTTACAAGAAACAATGAGTTTTGCAGGTGAATGTTTGATTTAGCCAGTTTCTAATCCTGCAGCCCCTGACTGCATCAGTCAAGAAATAAAACCTGAACTGAAGCACAGAATGAACGCAGTGGTCTGTCTGGCGTTCAGAAATAGCAGCTTGATGTGTGAGTTGACGTGTGTGATATCTGTCTTTTCATATGTTAAAATATTCACTGCTCCTTTTTGCTGCCTTGCACAGAGAAAGAAGAATTTGTCTCCTGGGGGTGACTGATGGTGCGTCTGTATTTTTCTGTATATCTTTAGCTGCAGTGGCTGCTGGACAACTACGAGACGGCGGAGGGGGTGAGCCTGCCCCGATGCTCACTGTATAACCATTACTTGAGGCACTGTCAAGAACAGAAACTGGATCCGGTCAATGCAGCCTCCTTTGGGAAACTCATCCGCTCCGTCTTCATGGGCCTGAGGACTCGCCGCCTCGGCACCAGGTAGGAAGCAGTTACTGCAGACGCTAATGACTGTAATTCTGCAACTGTTATAGATGTGACACGTGTGATGATGCTTATAGGCACTGGAGATTTGCTGGTAGAAAAGGGTAATCATAGTGATTACACTGATGGTAAGGCTTCTTCTCACTGGTTTCTGGCTTTCCACTCACTGTGTCCGTCAGAGGCAACTCTAAGTATCATTACTATGGCATCCGAGTGAAGCCAGATTCACCCCTCAACCGGCTGCAGGAGGACACCCAGTACATGGCCATGAGGCAGCAGCCAGTCCACCAGAAACAGAGGTCAGCCTTTTATATCCTCAGTCTTCTTCACTACCCTGTGATTACTTCTTCCCAATGTTTTTTTTATTATTTAGTACCTTTTTTTGTGTGTTGACTGTTGTAATCTGTGTATTTATTTGTAAACTGAATTTTTTTTTAGTGACCTGACAAAATATTTGTACTAGATAACGTGATCTGTTTGCATTCTGAAAGGAAGTTGGTGAAACTTTTTCAAGCGATTTCAGATTAATCCAAACTAAAAGCAAAAGAACTGTTCAGGTCCCAGTACTCTTGGGAATATGAATATAATTATATTTCTTTACTCCATCCAAGTTCTGCAAAAACCTTAAGTACTAAATGTATGCATACACATTTATATAGTTACTTAATTTACCAATTTTTACCTTATTAATTATATCTGATTTATATAATGGTTATTGAGGTTGTTCATTTTTGGATTTCATAATTTTTTATTTGTTATTTAGATTAGCATTCATCATATCTTTTTCTTCAGTGGCAGATTTTTTAAAACTCTATTTTAAAATGGAATGATGGCAGTCTCACCAAAACCCTGTGAAAGAATAAAAACAAGTTAAAGTATCAAACACAACATATGTGTATATAAAAAAAATAAAAAAAATTAAAAAGTCATTTAAAAACCCTATTTTACTTTTACACTTTTTGCTACATATAGTCAAGTTGAAAACATTTTTTTTTCTCCATTCTTTTAGTATTTTCTAATAGCATTTTTATTTCTAGTGCCTTTGATTTTCCTCTGGATCAGGTTTGAGAACTTGTGAGCAATGAGCTCTTCATCTGCAGAATCAGTACTCGAGGCCTAAATGATCCGAATTGTTTCATCGTAGACCTTTTATAGTTTTATTCTCGATCATCTAAGCCAGCTAACGTGCACACCTTGTGCCCGTTTGTGTGCACAGGTTCAAGCCTCTACAGAAGGTGGACAGCATGTCTGACAGCCTGTGTGGCAGCTCCCAGCACTGCAGCAGCACTCCAGAGCAGTCAGTAGCTGCTCAGAGCCAACATCATCAGCAGTATATAGGTAAACACAAGACCTGACATTTAGTTTCTTTTCTTTGACATTCTACCCAAATCACTGTAGAAAATCATATTTGTACTGCCACATGTTGGCTTGACTCCGTTGTGCTTTAAGCAAACTTGTTCAGGTAAATGTTTCTCAAACAGTTGTTTTTGTACATACACTTTCTGAGCTAATATCAAAACAAATACAGTTCATTTCATTTGCTTTTCATTGATTTTCTCTTGTATATTTTTGTTCCTTTGCACAGATACCGCTCACTCCCTGCCTCCTTTTCCCTCCCCTGACCTGGGCACCCAGCCTCTGCCTGAGCGCATCAGCATGAGTGACATCAAGAAGTTGCAAACGCTCTACAGAGGCCACTGCGAGGTGGGTCCACCTCTCTGAAAATCATCTTGCTAAGGATGCAACTGATCTCTACATGTTGAAGAGGGGCTCGTGGTTTAATTTAGTTGCTTTTAGAGTTGCAGTTTGTCACATTGTCAGAAGTTAAAGAGATACTAGTAATAAATGTATTTGTAAATATGTGCTGTATGTTAAAAAGTAACTTTTCAGAGATCTACATTTAGTTGCAGAATAAACCTAAATATAAGTTAAACACCACAAAGTGTGTGGATCCACACTGCAGACCAGTTCAGTCTCTGTTTACTGAGTACTGCAGTGACAGCTGGAGATTCCTGTCTAATGTCATAATGATGGTCTTATTTTGAAGGATCACTGAGAAACCAAAGAACAGCCGTCAGCAGCTGTCCTATTTCCAAACAGAAGATATATGTTGTAAGATGTTCTGCAAAAATGTTGATTTCTCAACAGCATTTCAGTCAGCAGAGCATAAATCAGGTTGTTTTGTTAAACACCAGTGAGTTTGAGCTGCTGGAAGTGTAAACTCACAATGAGCGTAGAAATAATGCAGAACATGAGAATTTCAGACTTTACAGCCAGGACAGAAGCTGCAACGCTCTGGGTTCATCATATTATCCCTGCGCTCCCCTTGTTCAGCGTCTCCACACTCCCTTTTGTTCCAGCCGTCTTTTCATCTCCACGCAGCTTTCAGGACATGCCAATTAACCTTTCAGCATGCTGGGTGGACATCTCGGTGTCTTTGTGGCGGCTCCCCTTAGGCCTTTGTGCTGTCTTGTCTGCGGACAGGCACATGAGCGCCTGTCTTTGTCTGCCGACACGTTTCTGTCACTCTCGCAGCTCTCTGCTGTTAAACGTTTATTCATTTTACTTTTTGATCGCCAGCACTGACCAGCGAGGACGTCATCCAAGAGGAAATCACTTAAAGTTACAACACAAGAACAAAACACAAGTTTACTTGCAGTTTACAGCTTCATCTGTTGAGAAACGCAGCGTTTATTTACTGTTGTCATGGCAACAGCTGGTCTCAGAACAAGCAGTCAGGCGTCATTAAAGTCCTTTTTTTTAATCATTAGACATTTAGCGAAGCATCGGGGTTAATAAATCACACTGAAAACCACCGGAGCTGGCGTGTTAATGCAGAGACACGAAACATTTAGATTGGTAAAGCTCTGCTGCAGGCTGTGATCCTGCATGTGAACACGTGTTATTTCTCTTCCAAACTAAAAAAAAATAATAATAATAATTTAAGCATGTTGTTTTTCTTGTGTGGCCCAAAAACCGTGGAGGCAAAATGTGCTCGTTTTAGAGGGAATGGGGGAATTCTTTCTTTTGTTTTGGAGTTCTGTGTTTGACCTGTTGCTGAGGGCAACCATAAACACGGTTGCCATGGCAACACCTAGAGAGGAAGCAAAAACATATCATGTGATTGAAGCTTACGCTGCGGCGTAACAAGATCCAGCAGCAAGTGCTCGTCCTGCCAGAGAGAGAAAGGAGAGGCTCTCTGGTGATAAGATGCTGAATGTAGAGATTTACTGACTGCTTGAAGCAGATTAATAAATGTTGCTTTGGCCTAACAAACAAGGCTTTTAAAACTTGTGCTGTGCTGGATTTTACTTGTATTAAAATGATTTGACATCAGTTTTCATGCACTCTTTAAGAAATCATTGTAGATCAGAAAGTTGTGGCTGCTTCCTTTGAAATGTTCTGCTTTCAAACAGGAACAGATTCTCATTGGTTGGTTACGAACACTACAAGTACGCAGTATGCTGTTCTGCTTTATAAATCTTAAAAACAACTATGAAGTGAAATGAATCAAAAAGCATCTGAAGCCTGGATGTGACCTGTCTGAGTCTCCTGATGATTAATGTGCAGGGAGGTGTGTTTAAACTGGCTCAATGTGTAACCGAGAGGACCCAGGGTGAGCGAGAGGCTGCCTGCAGAAACTTTGTTGTGTGTCTGGTTGCCATGGTTCATCTCTGTCTGTTTTGACCTCCCCTCTTCTCCCCCTTCCTCTCTTTCTTCTCCTTCCCCTTCGTCCTCTCCCTCCCTCCCAGGCCACTTTGGATGTGGTGATGAATCTCCATTTCCACTACATCGAGAATCTCTGGCAGACCTTTTGGAATTCAACACCACCACCTAGTGACGGAAGCACAACCCTCCCCAGCAGGTCCGTTTACACAGACACCATGAGCTCTCACAAATGACCCCCGGGGGTGTCTCACCTAAACATAAATTCATCTGAGTTTTTCCCTGCAGCGATGACGACCTGGATCGTGTGATTCCCAGAGAGAAGCTGATCTCTCTGTGTAAATATGAACCAGTCAGACTGTGGATGAGAAGCTGTGATCACATCCTCTACCAGGCTCTGGTGGAGATCCTCATCCCCGACGTGCTGCGTCCTGTTCCCAGTCAGTACCACTGTCGTTTCTGAAAGAGTTTACTTTACAAACCACTTCGTTGTTTACTAAGTAAACAACTTCCTGTTAATTATATGAGGAAACTACTGGAACTTTTGATATAAAAATCCAGCAAATATTTCCAGTTGTGTTCACTTTAAATGATAATCAAATCAACTTGTAGTTAAATTTGATGTAAGCCTGGAGACGCTGTTTAATAAGGATTGGATTATAACCTCTTTGTAATTCCTGTAGATAAAATGTTTTTTAGTTTACGATGTAATCCAGGATGTTCTTTCTTCAGGCACGCTCACTCAGGCCATCAGAAACTTTGCCAAGAGTCTGGAGGGCTGGCTCACTAACGCCATGAGCAGCTTCCCACAGGAGATCGTTCGCACTAAGGTCGACAGAAACTCATGATTTAATAAACCGTGTGTCACCGTCTCTCAAATATCCCGTTAACTGAACATTTTATCATTTTTTCATCACGAGGCCCTCTCCTTTTACTCCCTGACGTGATTTGAGGTGTGTGTAACCCAGAGCTCTAAATGTTTTGCTCCTCGTGGTGCAGGTGGCAGTGGTCAGTGCGTTTGCTCAGACTTTGAGGCGATACACCAGCCTCAACCACCTGGCCCAGGCGGCTCGCGCCGTCCTCCAGAACACCTCTCAGATAAACCAGATGCTCTCTGACCTCAACAGGGTGGACTTTGCCAACGTCCAGGTAAGATCCTCTGATGGTTTTCTTGGTCTGCTCACAGTCCACTGTGGTTTTTCTCTGAGTCTGGGTGTTGTCTGTCACAGGAGCAGGCTTCCTGGGTGTGTCAGTGTGACGAGAGCGTGGTCCAGCGTCTGGAGCAGGACTTTAAGGTCACCCTGCAGCAGCAGAGCTCTCTGGACCAGTGGGCCACCTGGCTGGATAACGTGGTCTCTCAGGTCCTCAAACCTCACCAGGGCAGCCCCAGTTTCCCCAAAGCAGCTCGCCAGTTCCTGCTCAAGTGGTCGTTTTACAGGTATGAAAGAACAACACCTTTCTTTACAACGGTTTAAAAACAAATAAACGTAAGCTACAAAATGTGCACTTCTCTCCCTCGAGCAGCTCGATGGTGATCAGGGATCTGACCCTGCGCAGCGCTGCCAGTTTCGGCTCCTTCCACTTGATCCGCCTGCTCTATGACGAGTACATGTTTTACCTGGTGGAGCACCGCGTGGCCCAGGCCACTGGAGAAACTCCCATCGCTGTTATGGGGGAGGTAAGAACATCTGCATTCTAAACACTAGAATACCAACAAATAATAGTCATTGAAAATAGTTTTTTAAATTCTCTCAACAGTTCAGTGACCTGAGCTCCATGATGCCTTCACTCATGGAGAAAGGTAAGCTTCATGTTTAGACCAAAACAATTAGAATTTTTTTTAAACGTGCATCTTCAGCTTTCAGCTGAGATGAACAGAGCAGCAAACTATGCTGAGATGGGAACTGTTGAGAATAAAATGTCCCATCGTTCTGTTCATGCAGATGCGTCCTTCTCAGACGAGATGAATTTGGGCAGCGATGGCGACGCGTCCACCGGTCCAGCTGAGCCAGCTGTGAAGAGGGAGCGGATTGAACTGAGCCACCCTCTGCAGGAGATGTGAGTCCAGTCCAGCAACAGGAACCAGCGTCTCTCCCTTCTTCAGCAGTGAGCGTGTGATGTAAATAGAGAAGGATGTAGCAGCATCGTCAGCCCTCCCCCCACCAGCTTTTATAAAGATGAACTTCTTTTTTTTTGTTTGTTTAACTCATGGGGGGGGGGGGGGGGGGTTAACACAAATCAAAATGTTTTTATCTTTTAGTTTGAACTGTGAATTATTCTGTGCAGCAGCTTCTTGTTGGCGTGGTGGCGTCTGTGAGTCATTTCCTGTCCTCCTTAGTTTCAAGCTTCCCGTAGCCGTGCCATGGTGTCATTTGAGTGCCTTAGATTGCTAACTTGGAACCCACCACCACAGATCGTATATCTGCCCCTCAGCTGTGCCTCAACCACAGTACGAATGTATCGTCTCCAAACCTCAAACACTCGAAGCACCTTCTGCATCGATCAGGTGTTGGCGTGCTCTCCTTGTTGCCTCTTTTATCAGCTTGTAGCAAATAAGTGTGAAAAAAGGTCAAAGAAGAGAAGAACCCAAAGGACCTTTCCTTTTGTCATTCCACCAGCTTGACCAAGTGTTTCCTCTGTCAGGCAGGAATCAGGAAGAACTTGCCTGTTGCGTGTTTGTTTACCTCAATATTTCTGTCGTGTGTGCAGTTTGGCTCAGATGTCACAAGGGGAGTGTAAGAAACAGCCACGTTTTTTATCCTGCGTCCTTATTTATTGTAACAACTTCTACACATTCCTCTGATTGACCGCTCATCGGTTTTAGCAGCAGTTGGAGGACACACACACACACGCCATTATTTCAATCACCACCAAGTTGGAACAATTCCAGATTAATCAGCGTAATGGAGACAGGAAGTTAAAGAAGCGATGGACCTGTAGGCCTAAACCCTTCACAATAAAAGCTTCCTGCTGGCATCTGAGCCACGCTCTCCCCTACTTCACTTACTTTGACCTCAAGCTGTTACTCAGTTAAAGTCTTATACTGTGTGTTATTTAGGAAATGTTAATAATAAATTATATATACATATATCTTTATATGATGTAGAAAGTGCGTGCTTTGTGGCCTTTGCCTAATCTTCTGTTGCTGTATTTGGTCACATTGTATCAAATAAAATGTTTTCTTTTGTAATTGATTAGAATGAGACATAGGTGACCATTTGTTTCTGATCTCAGCTGTTTAATGTATTAAATTTAGTTTTACTGCAGAGTTTCTGCCTCCAGTAAACATCTAAACTGTCACAAAAAAAATCTTATTTATATAAACTAATTTGATTTGATGAACTTAGTTTTATTTTTTCCTGCCCTCAGATGATTTTGTCGTAGCAACAAGATTTATTTAAGGCTTTTTGTAACTCGTGCCTGTCACAGTAATTTGCCTTAAAGTGCTTTGGAAAAAGTAACTTTTATGTGTACTTTGTAATGTTTTGTAAAGCCGTTTTAGATTTTTTTGGCGGAGGATTATTTTTTATTGAACTAGGTTCTTACAAGTATACTGAACCATCATTTTTGTGTATTTTTAAACCTGTTCTTGACTACACTTTTACTAGCCTGAGGACAGATGATGGTCTGTAACAAACTGCATAGTCCAGCTGTATTTTGTACTTGGTCACAATGTGTAATAAACTGTTGTAAACCCAAACATTTGAACACATTTCATTTTTACATAAAAAAAAAAAAAAAGTCGTCTTATGAACTATTTTTATTTTCCTAGTTTGGTCGAAGACCTTCAAACATGTTTCTTTGATCCTTCAGGTTGCTTTAAAGATACAGTATTTACATAGCTTAAATATCTTGGTTACCATGGCAACTCAGCTTCAGACTGTAATGTTCATCGTTTTCAGACGAAAAGAAGCGTAGCTCAGTTTACAGGTTCTGGTTACCGAGGCACAACGAACACAACGGGGAAGATTCAGTGGAAAGAGCTGAAAAAGGCAGAACAACTGAACGTAACATGCACGCGCGCGCACACACACACACGCACACTTAAGTTAGTGGAAAAGAAGAAGAAACGGGTTGGTCCTAAAGCAGCAGGACGTCAGAAGTGAGGCTGGACTGCAGGTTTGAGTCGTAAGAAAACCATCTGGACTCGAACACACAAAGTTCTTTGGATCTGCAGCAACGAGCCGTTCAGGAATCTGACCGTCCTCGTCACAAAGAGCAGCCCGCCATGTACTTCCCTGTTGAAGAAAACGGTCAACAGATTAATGTGTGGAGCTTGAAGACCTAAATAAACCATATTAATAAACATTAAAGCTTTATTGCTACAGCTTTGAAATAAAATTAACAAACTAGCCTTTTTTCTAATCAGAGTCAAGTTTTTAAAGAAATTGCATTTAAAGTGTCAGAAATTTGTTTCCTGACAAGACTCCACTTTCTCCTGTATCCCTGAACAAGTAATTACTGTTATTTATTTATTTTAACAGATTTTTCTTGGCAGATATGTCATTGTTCGGTACAGCCAAGTTAAATTCCTTGATTTTCAGTTTAGATATTAAATTAAGGATAAATAAAGTAAACAGTTTTCAATCCAACTCTGCTACTAATAAAAATCTTAAAGAATATACGACGCCGGTCGTTGCACGTGAAATTTAAGGATTCATTGGAGAAAAGCATTTCCGTCCCCATCCAACCAACAGACACAAACACAGCAGTTAAAGGTTCAGTTTGGTGTGGTAGTAGCAGAGTCATCCTCAGCCCTTACTTTGAGCGCTAACGCAAGACTTCACATCAGATCAAGCATCGTTAACAAAGCAGTCATGACTCTGTCCCTGAATGGTGAGAACGTGGCTGTAAAAGCAGATGCACTATAAACACAAAGGTTTTCTCACATTCACAAATAATAAACGTTTCAGTCATGAAGTTTCTGTTTGCTGCACGTTACGAGCAACAGAAACGGTTCCTCAAAGACTGAAAAGCAAAAAGTACAGATTTAGTTTCCAGAATTGATGGAACCACCTGTGGCGAATCTCTTTTTGACCAGCGACATGCGGTAACGGCTGCCCACCAGCTCCACGTCCAGGCCCGACAGCGAGGTCCCGGAGCCCACAAACTGAACAGCCAGGCTGGGCGGGGGGCCGCGGGGGGGCTCCAGGCACTGCCAGCTGGCACACAGAGTCCCTGAACCTGAAACGCAGCAGAAGCACAGAGAACGTACTGATTCCACCGCAACGCAAGAGAACAGGTGAGAGCGTTTCCTGCAGCTTCACTGTTCACACGGTACGCCGTAAAACATTCACTGGAGCAGCAAAAATAAAACTTTGGAAAAGAGCAAGTCTTAAAATCACACAACACTTTGAAAGAGAACAAAGTTTTACTCAACAGTTATTCAGGACTAGAAGCCACTGGTAAAAAGACAAAACAAGATAAAATTTATCATTTGCACTTTAAAAATTTTAAGAATTTAGTCTAAAATTTAGCTCCAAATAATTTAACATATTTACTAGTCTTTGTTTTTATTAAAACGCAAAGCTTTAATACAAGTAGCTCTTTATGACACGTGCTATGTTGATTTTTGAGATCTAACTTTTTGATTTTTGTTAAACTAAACAAAATGAAGGTGAATCAAACAATGTGAACTGCATAAAGTTAAGGAAACAAAAATCAGTGACAGACCACTGTGACATTTGCATATTTATGATGTTTGAATGCAAAATGTGGTCATTTTACCATGAATTATTGCCAGTTACTTCTCGTGCTAAAAGCCATCTTTAATATTTTGGTTTCTGTGAAACGTGCAGCTCCAAAGCCAAAACAAGCGAAGCCGTGTGGAAGAAAAAAGTTTGCAACGGTGCAGTTGTTTTTGGCTCATAAATCAAAGAAGACATCAAACTTTCTGCTTCATCCTCTCTCCCATCACTGATGGCTCCAAAAGATGTTCTTCTATTTTTCACAGAAGCACAACTTTACAGAATCATACGTGATCAGATACAAACTGAGCAAATGGCAGAAATGAGGGTGGAGCACAGGTGGAGGTAATCATAAGATTAAATGATTTAAAGTCGAGTTTTAAAACATCACAAATTTTATTTGACACAAAGAAAAATGTGAACGCAGTAGTCCCTCGCTACTTCACGGTTCGTTTATCGCAGGCTCGCTCTATTGCGATTTTTCAAAATAAGTTTGGACATGACACAAAATTGGCTGATCGATGGATGGGCCGCACGATCGGCATGGAATTTTTATTTAAAATGAATTATTTTAAATTATTTACCACCTGCTGCACATTTGTGCAGCCCACACTGCAGGATAAACTCCCTGCTACAGCTGACCAACTGTTCTCCGTGCAGAGCTGAGAAGTGGGCGTGGCCAAGTGCGCTTGCATGACATTCTTTGCTCTTTTAGAGCGCTTAGAAACATTGTTCAGAATATTGCAAGAGCGTGGGAAGGATTTAAAATGCCTATATCTTTCTATCTATATCTATATCGAGGGGATGGATGGATGGATGGATGGATGGATGGATGGATAGATGGATAGATGGATAGATGGATAGATGGATAGATGGATAGATGGATAGATGGATAGATAGATAGATAGATAGATAGATAGATAGATAGATAGATAGATAGATAGATAGATACTAAAATAAATGACTACTTACTACTACTTAAAGTCCATTAAGTAGGAATAGTAGTACTACTTGTACTACTATTCCTACTTCGTGGTTTTTCACTCATCGCGGGGCTTCAGGGTACAGATCCACCACGATAAATGAGGGTCCACCGTACCCAGTTTTCACTCTCATTTTGCTCTTTTAAGCATCACCAGTGCTGCTGTTAAAAAGGGATTTAAAGCCTTCAGCTTTCTCAAGAGTTTTTTTGTTGTTTTTTGCATGAGTCTATTATTAATTTCTACATTTGTTTCCTCACGATGTAAACTTGAACTTGACGAGGAGGTGATGAAGTAAACAATCGGCACGAGTTTTGATAAACCGGTTGTTTTAGTCAGACGTTCTGCTCCTGGTTATTGAAGAGCAGCGTGCACCGATCGAACCATCGAGTTTAAACAAAAACAAGAGAAAAGCAGCAGCAGCGTTCTGACCTTTGCTGTGATTAGTCGGGGAAAGGTTGGGGAGTTTCCACAGCAGCCTCCGTTCCTCGGCATTCCTAAATAAGCAAATCAGCTGTTAGCGACAGATTATTCACAGCCAGCTGATGTTAAGTTTAAAAAACTAAATATTCCCTCCTAGTATTTAATAATTTGGAGTCTAAATGTGAGATACGTTGTATAACAACCGCAGTGCTTTGACACAAGCGTGGCCTGATTTATTTATGATTCTATCTGACACCCCTCGTCATCTTTCCATCGTGGCTGCTCACCAGGAGGCGGGCGGCTGGCACTGCAGATCTGTGGCGCTGTGGTCCAGAGGCAGCAGCACCTGGACGGCGGTGAGCTGGGTGGACGGCGCTGTGGCGGGACAGCAGTGATAATCGAGTGAGACTCGGGTCACGGTGCCGCTCCGCTGACACTCGGCTGACAGCAGGAGAGGAGCCCGACCCGGGTCCTGAGATGACGCCTGAGGAAATAAAGAGGCCGGGAATACAAATCCTGACTAATACTTCCAAATGAATAACCTGATAATGAGCCTTTAATTAATAAAAGCTCAGAGTTTTAGTTCTAATAAAGTCTTTTATTAGAGTTATTTTACACTTTAACCTTTATTTTATCAATTTGTAGAGAAGCTTAAAGATTCTTGAAAAAAAAAAAGACTTAAAAATGACAAAGAAGCAGTAGTTTGTCTTTTATTAAAACAAGGTAAAGATCTTGTTAAATCCTGACCTGATACTTAAGCAGGCCCAGGTTGTAGTACGAAGCCTGGGGGTTGAGCTCGGCCTCCCTCTGCAGGTAGATCTGCAGAGCCTGCATGTTGAACCAGAAGTCTCTGGTGTCCGGGTCACTCTGAGACGGATCACTGTGCAGACGGGGACACGACAAAAACGATAACGATTCGATGGTGCAGCGGGCAGGTCTGTGACGTAACGAGCAGTGCTCACCTGTAGAGCAGCTTTTGATTGGGCAGGAAGTGATCGATCCTTGAGACGTTGACCAGCCTGAAGCTGAGCACGGGAACGTTGGGGTTGGCTGTGAAAATCCGGGTGATTCCTGCTGGGAAGGACATCGTTAGGTCTCCTGTGATCTTCACAAGACATCTGAAGAAGAAAAACGAGACATATTATGAATTAAAAAAAGGCTTATTATTAATAAATATTTATAAAATGGCATAAACTTGTTAACTTGACAGAATCATACTGACCGGTTGTGCAGTCCTCCTTTAAAGTAGGCGTTGATGTATTCGGTTATTGCTGCTGCTACGGGCCAGGCGTCCCGCGTGCTGATGGAAATGGGACTGGGACCTCTGGACAAGTGCACTGAGGACAGATGTGAGAACCTCAAGTTGTGCTTGTGTTTACAGAAACACTTTCCAGCCTCAATGTTGGCAGGAATATTACTACTTGTGAAAATAATATATAATCTTTCCATCAGAAACGAGTTTTGTTTTAAAAGGACTGAAGGTGCAGGACTGGTTCTGGAACAGGAGCTCATTCCTTGAGCTGGTCTGACTCCAGTTGTTACAAAATACCGTATATTTACCACACATTTAAAACACTGACACAATATCAACTAGGAGTTAAAAAATAATTCCTTCAAAAAGTTTAACAACAACTCCTTTTATAGATTTTTGTCAATTTTACATTTTAAATTTGCACTTTTCTCATCATTGTACCAAATGAGAGAACCCTCTTAATAATATTTAAATCTTCAAATGTACATGAAAACAAAGTCTGCTGATATAAGTGAGATAACATGTCCTCTCAAACATTTTCAATAAAAATAAGGAATGGTGAGGAAATCAATCAATTAAGGATTTTCAGTTGGGTGAAGAGGATGAAAGTGTTTCTCAAAGCTAACCCAGGACTGAACACACAGGCTGAGCAGTTTACTGAGCAGGACTTCATCCAGAAATCACCTCATTTCACTGAAACGAGATTAACGGTCTTTATGCCACAGAAAAGTCGTCAGTGTTTCACTTTGGTAACTTTCTGGTTCTGCACAAACATCAAAAAGTGAAAAAACACTAAGCTTGTGGTGTTAATATGGTATTCATTAGAGTGCAGAACCTTTAACTGCACAAGATGATATGTGTCTTAGCAGTTGTTTTATTTTTTAGAAGGTAATCTTTATTCATAAACAAAATATATCTGTTGTAAAATACTTATCGACTTGAGACCCTTCTTTAACGTTTTTACAGACTCAGCCCTTCTTAACATGGAGGCTCTTTCAGTGTGTGTCGTTAATAATAGCCAGGAGATGTTGCTACAGAGATCAGGTTTAAAAATATTTTATGTTACATTAAGTAGATTTCTATTTATTAAATAGATTTATGTTACATTAAATAGAAGTCAGTGTTTTCCTGCAGGTTTAGGTTCGTGCAGCTTACATTGCCTTTGTTGGTGATCCTGGTGCTGGTAGGGCAGCGGTGAGGCTTGACCCACTCTGGCAGGGCTGGACGCTCGGTTCTGCAGCCCCCACTCACCGTCTCGAGCCTGAGGCCCCCACTCACTGGGGCTGGAGGAGGAGGAGGAGGAGGTGAGGGAAGGGCTGGGCTCTGGCAGCGGGGATGAACACAGCGATCGCGACTGAAAACACAGAACCAAGACAACGTGACGAGTGTCGCCAGGATCACAAGGATGTTTGATCTCAAGTTAGAAACCAACCGACAGGTACTCACTCTCTCACAGCCGCCGAGTCGACCTGAAGACCTCTTGGCATGGGTCGATCTCGGAGGAGCCGATGTGATGACTTCAGAAGCGTCCGGTCTGTAGTTGGGTTTGGAACCTTACAGAGACACAGGAATCAAACTAAAACTCGACGAGTGAACAACAACAACAACAAAATCTATTCAGAGGAAGTGAGACAAGCTGAAAACACAAAGCGGCCAAAACAAACACCAAATGTAACAAAGTTTTATCCGAGCTGTTAATTAAACTGAGTACTATTTCATCCCTCCTGATCGCCAGAGGGCGGTGCTGAAAGCACTGAATGCTCCCTTCGCACATGCGCTGTTCGAGTAATAATACCAATGGAGTCACAGGTGTGACACGGATGACCAGTCAGAGGCTATATAGCCCGACATAATCCGCAGCTCTGCTCCTTTTTTCTTCTTGCGCGTGGTTCAATTCAGGGCTTCAGACCGTTGGAACTTTTTTGAACTTTTCAGCGTCGTCAGAAGCCCAACTGTCCGTTGGCGGGAGTAGTGTGTTCGCCCTCCTAGGGGCTGCGACGGTTTAACCCTGTTCAAAGGTATTTCTGCTGATTCGTTGGATTCTACGGCGGTTTCCGAACCTCCCAACTTACAGCGTCTGACAACTATGTGTGTGATTCAACACCGGTGAGTAGTGTTTTTACTTATATTTCGCCGTTGGTTAGCGGTAGCATTCGCTCCGCTCCCGTTTGTTGGGAGGCCTCCAACCGCGTGGTCGGCTGGACTGTGCTCCGAAGTTGTTTATGACTACTATGTGTGTGATTTAACACTGGTGAGTAGTGTTTTTTGCTTATATGTTGCCATTGGTTAACGGTAGCGTTCGCTCCGCTCCCGTTTACTGGAGGCCGCCAACTGCGTGGTCGGTTGGACTGTGCTCCTAAGTTTGCTTATTACGTAGTCAGCTGAGTTCCTGGCCTTGTTTTCATTGGTGAAGGCTAGCGTTTTCGCACCCTCTCCCAGTCATTTTCTCCATTCTCATTGACTGTTGGACTGAGCAAGTGGTGCTAGCCTCTCTGAGTTCTGGCCTTGTTTTAATTGGTGAAGGCAAGCGTTCGCGCCCCCTCTCCCAATTGTCCTCTTTTACCAGCTGAGCTAGTGGTGCTAGCCTCACTGAGTTCTGGCCTTGTTTGAATTGGTGAAGGCAGCGTTCGCGCCCCCCTCTCCCAATCGTCCTATTTTTTCCAGCTGAGCTAGCAGTGCTAGCCTCTCTGAGTTCTGGCCTTGTTTTAATTGGTGAAGGCAAGCGTTCGCGCCCCCTCTCCCAATTGTCCTCTTTACCAACTGAGCTAGCAGTGTTAACCTTTGAGTTTCTTTGCTTTAATTGGTGACAGCAAGCGTGCACGCTCCCTCTCCCAATTTTTTCGTCCTGTATCTTGGACATAGCTGGCGGTGCCAGCCCCTTTGCTGGTTGCAGTTTTTTACTTTGATTGACTTGAAGTGAACTGCCTAAAGTAAGGAGCATGGACGGCTCTCACTGCTGTACAGTTTGTGGAGCCATGCTCCAGACAGATGACAGTCACGACCGGTGTCCTGCCTGCCTTGGACATGACCATCTGGTGGAGGCCCTGTCAGAGAACCCCTGCATGAATTGCAGCTTCATGTCTAGTGTTGTGAGGGTGGCTCGGCTGGCCCAGTTTCACCCCGAGCTCAGCGATGACCTCCCGCCTTCTGGGCAGGAGGCTCCACCTAGGCGCTCCAAGCACCAGACTGAGGCCGCAGTCTCTGTGGCCCCTTCTGGGAAGAGGCAAGCCAGGTCTGATATGGGCCTCTCCACGAGGGTGGAGCAGCTGTCCGCTGAATTAGCGGAGATGACGTCCCTTTTTCAGGTACGCCAACTGGGAACTGAACCAGTGGCAGCGACCAGACTCTCCTCCCCACCCATGCCTGAGCAGGCTGCGGAGAAAGATGTGCTATCCTTGGCTGCCTCTGCCTCTCACTTTTTAAGTGAGGAGGAGAGGCATTTATCTCAAGTCTCAGAGACAGCTTAACTTTCTTTGTCTCGGAACGCAGTTAGTGTCTGGTGATGGCTCGATGCAGGACGTCATGCGTATGGCCCTGAGACAACTTCAGCTGGACGTCCCGCAACCAGAAGAGTCCATCCCTGGAAGTGCCTTCTTCAGGCACGGACGGGCCCCTCCTTCCTTTTCTGTCCCTCCATCGGAGGAGTTCCTGAGGGAGTTGCATGGTTGCTGGCGGGACCCCAAGAACTTTGCGCACCTCTCCGCATATGGCCAAGTGTTGGCGGCTATGCATGAGCCGGCTGCAGCAGGCTTGGATCGCATGCCAGCGATAGAACGTGCTGTTACCTCGCTCATCGTGTCACTGGAGGAAGCTCTGCGCAGTGAAGTTCGGTGCCCACGAGCTCAGTGTCGCGTCACGGATAAATTACTCTGCAGAGCTTATGGCGCCAGAGCACGTGCTAGCCGCTTTGGCAATTCCTTGGCGCACCTCATGCTTGCCCTTTCCGCGTCACTTCAGGGGACTAGTGGTGTGACAGCAGCAATGGGCTTTAGCGATGCAGCGCTTCAGGCCTTTGCACTGATGATGAGGGAACTTGTGTGCGTGATGTCCTTCTTGGTCCAGACTCGCAGACAGCATTGACTGAGCCATGTTGTAGAACCCTCCGTAATGTCCCGGTGATGTCGGGGGAGTTGTTCGATTTGGCTGCCTTGGAAGCGCTGGAACGGACCGTCCAAACACGACAGAGAAAGCAGCAGCTTTCGAGCCTTAGCAGGGTAATGCACCCTCCACCTCCTCGGCATCCAAGGCGCCCGTCAGCTGACCCCAGCATTCAGCCACCGCCTGGGGGTCATAATTGCCCGGGTGGTCTTTACCCTCGTGTGGTTCAGCAAAGAACCAACAGGAGCTTTCGTGAGTCGGTCCACCAACCAGCTGGGCAGGTTCGGACCACGGACTCTGGCCGCCGCCCCCCCACGGTCCCTAGGGGCCGTGGAGGGAGACGGTAATGCCACCAGGCCAACCGTTGGATATTTCTCCCACCAGCAGCTCAGTTACTGGGCTGCTCACGCCGTGGACCCATGGGTGGTTGCCACTCTGACCCATAGTTACCGGCTACAGTTCTGACGGCGGCCTCATAGCTATATAGTTATATAGTTATATGAAATGAATAAATTTACAATAAATAAATAAATAAATAGCTCACGCCTGGTCAAGATGACTGTAATCGCCGACCCGGTGAAAGCTCGTGCACTAGACCAGGAGCTTTCTACCCTCCTGGCCAAGGGCGCAATCGAGGCAGTGGACCCTCTGCAACAACCCAGAGGCTATTACTCGACTTACTTCCTCGGGCAAAAGAGGACGGGCAGGTTTCGTTCCATTTTAGATCTGAGGGGACTCAACCAGTACCTAAGGGGGCTGCCCTTCCACATGCTCATGACAGCAGAAATCCTTCAAGGTGTCACGAGGGGAGAATGGTCCACATCTATAGACCTGAAAGGTGCGTATTTTCATGTGCCTATTGCGGCAGACCATCACAGCTTTCTCAGGTTTGCCTATCGGGGCCACCACTGGCAGTTCCGAGTACTCCCATTCGGGCTCTCTCTCTCCCCGAGGGTGTTCACTTGGTGCGTGAAGGCAGCCCTCTCTCCTCTGCAGGCCTACGGAGTGAAGGTTCTGCCGTACTTAGACAATTGGCTTCTCTGCGCCCCGTCTCGGGCCTGTGCCTTTCACGACACGAACCACCTGCTTGCTCATGTGTCCCCGTTGGGCCTCAATGTCAACCTGGAGAAGAGCTGCCTGATCCCTTCCCAGACGATCACCTTTCTTGGGGTGGTTCTGGATTCACCCTCCATGAGAGCTCGCCCATCCGCTCAAAGGGTGGCCGGCATACTCCAGCTGGTCAGTCGGTTCAGGCTGGGCAGGCAGCTCCCCTATGTTGCCTTCCTGCAACTACTCGGCAAACAGACGTCAGTCACTCGGGTGGTGCCCTTAGGCCTGCTGTCACTTCGCCCCTTGCAGAGGTGGCTCAACAGCTTTCACCTGAATGCTAGGCTGCACAGGCATCGCAAGCTTGCAGTGACGTGGTCATGTCTTCATGCCCTGACTCCATGGAGGGATGAAGATTATTTGTCCAGGGGTGTCCCCATGGGAGTGGTAATGTGTCGCAGGGAAGTGGTCATGACAGATGCCAGCACCATGGGATGGGGTGCTGTGTGGCAACGCAGAGCAGTTCAGGGCCGATGGGGTCAAAAGGACCGCTCCAGGCATATAAATGTGCTGGAGCTGCATGCAGTGCATTTGGCACTCGGGTACTTCCTGCCTCACCTGGAAGGGAGGCATGTTCTCGTTTAGTCAGACAACACCTCTGTTGTCTACCACATCAACCACCAGGGGGGCACCAGGTCAGCACAACTTCTGAGAGTGTCCAGAGAGCTCCTGGAATGGGCCTCTCCTCGCCTGTCCACCCTGCGGGCAGCGTACTTACTAGGGCGACACAATCAGGTCGCAGATTTTCTCTCCCGCCAAGGGTCCACTCTGGGAGAGTGGTCCCTCCACAGCGACATAGTGCTGATGATCTGGGACCATTTTGGTCAGGCAGAGATGGACCTGTTTGCGACAGAAGAGTCGACTCAGTGTCCTCTATCTCTTATGGGGGGCGTCGGGTGCGCTGGGCCAGGACGCATCGGCTCATCCTTGGCCAAGGGTCCTCCTATATGCCTTTCCACCCCTTTCTCTAATTTGGCCAACCCTTGAGAAAGTCTTTGAGGAGGGCCACAGGATGCTGCTGGTGGCTCCATATTGGCCAGCACGACCATGGTTCCCACTGCTACGAAGTCTATGTCAGGGTGTCCCATGGTGCCTTCCGACCAGTAGGGACTTGTTGTCTCAGTTGGGGGGACTGATATGGGACCCCAATCCTCAACATTTTCGGCTGTGGGTGTGGCCACTGCGCGGCTAGGACAGCAGCTGACTAGAGTTTCGAGCCCCGTCAGACGCACCATCCTGGGCGCCAGAGCACCCTCTACTCATCAGCAGTTCCCCCTCCCCCTTTTTACAAGAATCTGGTCTTTTCATTTGTCTTAAATTAAATTATGTTAAAAGCTGAAAATACATAATTTTTAATATTTATTGATATTTTTACTGGGAACAAAAGCCACCTCCAACAAGCCTAAAGTGGCCCATGGGGCACCAGTGGACAATCACAGTTAGCAGGGTGTTGCAGCTCTGAACACTTTTAATTTAGAGAACGAAGGTGTAAAAATGGCACTTTTGATCGTAAAGGTTGCAGACCCCTGGTTTAGATGGTGGTGTTTAACTAGCCTATAAAATTATTTTTTAAATGTTTGAGGAAATAATTTAGGTAACAAGTCTTACTTTAATTATTTCTTTTTTTTATATATATTTTATCGGTCCTAAGTTGAAAGCTTTGGAACCTGATAATTTAAAGTATAAAAACAAGAGATCAATTTGTGCAAATTGTTATTTTTTACAATTACAGTATAAAAAATACATTATTGTTCTGCAAAAGCAGTTATTCGCACTGAAGTAGTTTCTGTAGTTATAAAAACAATAACTACACCTGCACTTGGAATATACATTACAACCCTAAAGGTCTGAAGAACGGAGGAGGAAATAACTTTGTACCCTTGTGAGAGCTCATGTTGCAGCTCATCTGAGTGTTCAGATCTAGACAGTCTTCATCTTTGTCCGTTGAGAAGCACAGATCCTCCTGGGGTCCCGAATGCCTCGTGAGGGGAGGGGCGTTCCTGCTCGGCTCGGTCTCTGATGATCGATGTTTTCTCCTCTCTCCTCCACCTCCTCCTTCAGATTTAATGCCTACTTCCTGTGATTTGGAGCCAGCGCTCTCGTTAAACGGGTTGTGGACAGAGTTCCAGTGCATCATCTCCTTTTTAGGCTGAGCTGTGGGTAAAGAGCTCGAGCCTGCATCGACTCCTGCTCTGCTGCTGCTGTGTGAAGGTGCTGTTGCAGCTGCTGCAGCCAGCGATGACTGATGTGTTGGACTGCCGATCATAGTGATCGCAAATGGGTCATCAGTCGTAACAGGAGGCGGGAGGCTGCGGTCTCGTTTCCTGTCTCTGTCTTTACGATTGGAGGTGGATGATGATGATGAAGAGGAAAAAGGAGCCGGGAGTGTTTTTGTGTCAGCGAGGGAGACAGAAAACGGGTCTCCACGAATTTCCTTTCCCCTGACCTCCTGGAAGTGGCGAGGTGGTGGGCGTGTCCAGGTGTCAGGCAGGTTTAAGGTCTCCTGGGTAATCGTCCTGTCAAAAGCAGCGATGAAGGGGTCCTCAGGTGGAATATGTTTGCAGTTCCACACTGATGACTCCACTTCAGGAGGAGGAAGGCTCTGAGGAAAAGCAGGGAACCGCATAGAGGAGGGGTCCATCTCCAGAGGAAGGCGTGATGGACGCGTCCAGACGCTGGAAGATTCAACCTGCGGGTTAGAGCTGCGTCCTGAGGAAGGTTCGTGGAAAGCAGAAAAGAAAGGGTCCGCAGGTCGGCCCAAAGTTTGAGTCTGTTCTTTATTCTCAGGCACAGGAGGCCAGGCCGCCCAGCCCGCCAGCTCAGGGGACGGCCCAAGAGGCTGATGGGAAGGCGAGTCCAGGCCAGAGTCTTCAACGTTCTCCGGTGACGAGGAATCAGACGAGAACCCAGCATCTGACAAACAAAATAAATGTATTAAACTTCAGAACAGTGAGTCAGATGTTGGTGCAAGAAGATGTTCAAGCCAAAAAATGGAAATGTAACTGAGGGATCGTGATTTTCTGCGGTTTGATCACAGTGACCCCCTAAAAAAACTACTTGGATCTAGAACATCTACCATTTTTATATGTTCATCTGTGAGGATATTGTATGACCTGTGTTAGCTTTAGAGATACCTGGAGAAAAATCAAGACCAACCAGAACGAATAAAATAAACCATTTGATATTTATCTTTAAAATAAAATAAAATTCAAAAACATAAACTTTATTTCAGAGCAGCTGCCTGAAAAATGTGTTTTTCTTACTGAAGTCATAGAGAGTTAATTGTTTAATAATGGACCTCTTCACGGAAAATGCAGGTGTTTTAGTGACAGTTTATGTCTGCTCATGCTGATCCATTAACATGGCTTCTTGGGATCCTTAATTAAACTGAACTGTCATTATTTTCCAGCTGTGGCAGTGACAATTAAAAATGTCTGATGTGAAAAAACAAACATCTAATTTAACTATCTTAAGTTTGCACCACATAGAAAAACAATAAAATCTTTTGTTTTATTTTTCCTACATTCAGAAGCACCAAAAGCGTTCTGCTCTCGTAGCCGTTCCCGACTGTCAAAGCTTTTGGACTTGAAGGCCACCTCCAGTGGTGGTCCGAACAGGCTGTCTGAACCCGACGCTGTCGAACTCAACCTAACGGAGAGAGAGAGAAAAAAGAACATTAAAAAAAGATAATGATAATTTTTTGTTACATTGGGCACAATATTTGAATCCATCATTTTTTCCTGTAGGAGAGTTCTAAACTCAAAATGCTAAAGGAACAATGGGTACTGGAATAAAGTGCTTTTATTTTTACATTATATGCACAGTCAGTTTATTTAGAACTTTTTGGTTTTATCTCCATTTAAAAAATGAAGTAAAAAAAATTAGCTAAAAAGGAAACTGTAAAAATAACCTAATGAGGACTAAAGTTAAAGATGACTAAAAATAAATGAAGGATGCTGAAAGTTGAAAGCCAATGGTTATGGCTCAGCTGGACCTCTGAATGTCTTTCTGTCCCACTAGGAGACAAGATATGAGGAGGGAGGAAGCTGATGAAGGGCAGACTGATCTCACCTGCTGTGATCCGGGCTGGAGGTGGACCTACGTAGGCTCTCCTGCTCTCCTTCTGTAAAAAGACAGCACAAAGTCCTGATGAGATAAAGTGACTCACCGCAGAGGATGTTGCCTAATCAGAACTAATCAGCAGCACAGTGTTCTTCGGCAGATCGCCGAGAGGAGGCGAGATGGGGTGAGATAAGACGACACGAGGGAAAACCCATCATCCGATTCCATTTCAGTGATAAATACAAGCAGTTCGCCTGGTCTCGTTGAGATCCAGCAATTGCTTTAGCTGAGAAAATGCATTAATCAGATGCTGCACATTAATCCTGCTGCTTCTAGATTTATGATGGAGAGACTCCCTGATGTTACTGCAGCAGGACGTGTCCTCCCACTCCTGCCTAACCTGCTGACAGCTAACGACCCTGTTGGTGATAACGCAGGCTTTGGATCATGAGCAGAGAGTCGCTCGAGACTAATGGAGGGGGGCTGCTCGTGTAAGGTCAGCCAGCGAAGAGATTTAATGCTTACAGGAGACTAAGTGGACTGGAGGTTGTGACCATAAGTCATAAAAATGGCTGAGAGATTTAAAATGTTTTCTTCTTCCTTCTTTTTGAATAGCAAACTATTTAGGATGAAAGGACAGGCACCACAGACCTCTCAAAGATGTGAAATAAAAAATAATGACTTGATGACAAATCCTAAAACCCAAAATTGTTTCCAATTTAACAATGACTTTGGTTCAATGTATGTTTTCATCAGTTTCTAGGTATAAGTACAGGAGCTGATGTGCAGCAGCTATGTGGTGCAAATCTAACAAATTATTTTGTCAGAAAATGCTTCAATGAAATTCATTTGAGATTTGAAGTGAAGTTAACGTTTAAACCAAGAAGAAATGCGGTAGAAACAGTAATAACACATTTATGTTACTTTTATCAAACTAAATGAAAAAAAACCCTCAGATGTTAAGTTTTATTGTTTTGTTTTTATTGTGACTATTATTTTCTATATTTGGAGGTAATTTTTGTGACACACTGAATTATTTAAAACATCTGACGTTAGTTTTTTTTTTTTTTAGATTGATCAATTTCAGCATAGAAGAATAAACTTTTAGCAAACTGACTGAGTAGCTGTGGTGAGCAGACCTTTTCATATTCATCTCTAGTCAAAATTGTGCATTTCTTTAGCAGGAATATAAACAAGAAAGTTTAGCAGAACCGAGGCAGGTGGGAGAGATGAGATGTTCTCATCATCATGTTAACATCTAACGATTAAAATTTACAGGTGTAGATAAAATCAAAATAAAGGTTACATTAGAAAACGTGTGAGGTTCAGCTCATGGTAACTGGGGATAAAGTATCACTAGAAGGGCCATAGTTCTTATTAATTTTCTGTTGTTGCCTCATCATTTGAAGTTTTGGACTCACCTCTATGAGAGGACACTTCACTGTCCTCTAATCGAACTCCTGCTGTGCTAGAGTTTCCTGTAAAGACACAACAAAGCTATAAGAGGTGTGAAAACAAAGATGCAAAGCTCATATTACAAATTATGTTTAACATAAACTCCTTTGTGTGATTTGTTTCAGGAAGAAGATCTGCTGGACAAAACACAGTGAAACTTATTTTAAGAAGAGAACAAAGGAACAAAATAAAGTAAACTTACTGGAGAGATGCCACTTCACTGGAATCTGAAAAACAACAGAATGAAGAACAGAGTGTAATTATTCTACACTGACAAGAAAACTCCTTTTCTCTTAACATCATCCATTTTTCTCAGTTTGTACAATCTTCCTTTCAGCTTTTTTACAATAAATTTTAATGGGATTTGCTGTTTGTATTAATACTTAAAGCAGAAAGAGTGTGGAACAACCTGCTGCCGTGGTCCTCTGTTGGGCGGCAGCGTGAGCGCCCCGACGGTGGCCTTTAGCTCCTTCTCTGTGGCAACAGAGTTGCTACGATTGTTGCTGACCACAGGTCTGATCTTGATGTGGAACTTCTTGGGCTCGTCATCGTCAAAGTCTGAATCGCTGGAGTAGAAGTTTTCTTTTTCCTCAGAGCAGCGTACGGAAAGAGAGAAGGGTCAAGGAAAACAAATTTCAACTGAGCAACGACAAAGCTGGTCAACGGTTTTCATAAAAGGAAATCATATTGAAAAAGTGACAAAGATGAGGTCACAAAATACATTAAGAATCAACTAATTGTTCATGTGAGCTTAAATAAAACAAATTTAAAAATATACTTTCTTCTCTTTATTGATTCAATCAGACAACGGCAGCAAAAAGGCATTGACAGGCAGATTTAACATGCAGACGATGAGTTACAGAGTTTTAAACAGCCTGTTTGATTCTTGCAAGAAAAGTCACCAGTCCTTCCTCTTTTCCTTGAACTTTTCTCTGGTGAACACCCTCGTACAGGAATAGTTGTGCATGTTTTAGGAAATCATAATATTGACCAGATGAGCAGTTTGGACAAAGGGTTACACTAGTCAATTACAGGAAATACATTTAAAGATTCCTTCTAAGCACAAATTAGATCTTTTTAATGGTCTGGAAATTGTGCTGAAAAACCGTAAACCTCTCTGACCTTCTGGTTACGCTTCTTTTAAAACATCTCCCCCCTGATTTAGAGGACTTTAGGGTTTGTCTGGCAAACTGAGGCTAACATATGTCTGAGTCCAGCTTTTAGCTTTGAACATATTTATGTGCTCAAAGTTCATGGGTGCAGGAAGACAGAAATAATCAACATGAATGCTCTATATTAATCGCCACTTGACTCTTTGCCTCGAGCGGAGAAGTTTAAGTATCTCAGAGTCTTGTTCATGAGTGATGGTAGGATGGAGCAGGAGACAGACCAACAGATCAGAGCCTTGTCTGCAGCAATGAGGGCGTTGCTCTGGTCTGTCATTGTGAAGAAGAAACTGAGCCAAAAGGCAGAGCTCTCAATTTACCAGTCCATCTACATTCAAACCCTCACCTATGGTCATGGGGTGTGTATCATGAAAAAAAGAACAATATCCTGGATAGAAACGGCAGAGGATACTCCAGTGCAGACCTCAGATTCACTGTAGTGATTATGCATCCTTTTTAGTCTGGGAAAACCTTGTAAAAACATTTCTAATTGCCTAAATGTCCAGATAAAGGATATCATTCTGTGTGCTGTCAGCTCGAATGACAAATCCCTCATCGTCCACTTCTAGTGGTGAATTCTGCAGAAATGGGAATACAAGCACACACAAAAGTGAAAGTAAGGCAGACAGCAGCTGGGTCAGCTGTGCATGAACAAGTGGTGCATATCAGACACTCAGAAGTGCTCTGTCACACTCTGCTACACAGAACCAAACACGCCTGTTGGTGTAGTCAGTCTGTTAACTAAATCTTCACATCTGAAGAGAATTGTTGGAAGAAGGCTAAGAACGGTGCTGTGGTATTTATCCTCGTTTGCAAAGAAATATCACATTAGGACCTCCAAATATGTCAATAAAAATAAAAATAAATGTATGTTTTAGAGCCCAATCAATATATTAGTAAGGCTGATATTTTAGGCCGATATAGGCATTTGTGGACATATAAGTATCTGTGATAATTGTCCCATTATGTGCCGATATAAACACTGGGAACAAGCCATGTCATTACTTGCAAAAGGCGTAATTGTACAATGTATCCAGCAGAGGGCGCATGCAGACTACTTTCAAGTCATGACATTCATTAAGTTTCACTTTCAGCACAGTCGTAGTAACAAGCAATACTGTGTGGCGTATTGGCTGAACAGAGCATGGTAAGTTTATTTTAACTGAGCTGTAAAATAAAATAAATTAAAAAATCAATAAAAATAAATTATCTTCAATCCTCCAACTCGCTTGTCATTAGCTACGTGCCTCTCAAGTTAGCAAGCTAATGTTTAGATAACCTAGCATAGGCTATTGCCTTGTAAAACTTTAGCCAGAACAATAAATCTAACGTAGAGGTAAATATATATCAGTGTTAGTAACGTTATCTTTGTCGTTCTCAATGAAATGCATTGTTTGTTTGAAATCTTTACTTCTCTGCAAAGAAAACAAAACACTGCTGTGGTCAATACAAATTAGATCTTCACCAAACGTGATTGACTGTTTAAACAATGAACAGGGAAGAGTGTTTCTTTGTTTAATTTATATTATTGTAACTTTATGGTGAATAGTGGAGAATAGAAAATGTGAATGCATGTTAGGAAGACTGTTTCAAGACTCCAAGTGTTAAAACAGGTTTAAAAGTATATGTTTACTTAGATTCTTAGGGGTGGACAAAGCTAAAAAATTTTCAGCCAATATATCGGTTATCGGCATTAGCCTTCCCCTCTCAGTATCTGTATCGGCAATAGTAAAAAAATTCCATATCGGTCGGGCTCTAGTATGTTCCCGTTAAAACAAAATGATGACTCCTGTTTGTCCATTTCTAAATGATAGAAACAAAATTATTTGTACGTCAAAGCTCAGACTACTTTTATCTGACCAAGGCATAATGATGTTCTTTGTAAATGCATTTCAAATCAGAAAAAAATCCTGTTTACACATAACCCCTTGCATATTATTAAGTTTTCAGTGCCCTACAGCTAATCAAAGGAAAAATACATCCTTGCAGATTTAATTAGTGTGCACGTAGATTTTACTAGAATTCTTTAAATATCTTAAATGTAGTAGCTCAAACCATTTTTATGCATTCTCATGTTATTTCACAGAGTTTTCACAGATTTAAAGATGTTGATACAGGTACTAAATGTCTGCTCAGTATTAAGCCTTATTTAAAGTCTGCTCGATGCAATATGTTTTTATTGTACTGCCGTATCAACAGGATGAATGCACTATGTATAATTATATAAATTATTACATAATTTATTAGAAAATTATCTCCTTTATTGGTGACAGTATTTTCAGAAACTTGAAGCCTGTAAGTGTAACATAGCAGCATCAGAGGCTCTGTGATCCTCTGTTTACTCTCTGCTTTCTCATCAGTCTGCTAGATGCTTTTTGGCAACGTTCAGAGTCCTTTCACACACAAATGCCTACATCCACTTACTTATCCTGCTCCTGCACAGTCCTGCACGTACAAAAACACATTTACTGTGCTTCCCTTGTGCCTGGAAGATGATCTCAGAAACGTCTTCTCAGAAGTACAGGAATAGACTTGGGAAACCCCACACCATCCGTCACGTCATTATCACACACTCACAACCCTCCTACTCCCATCACACATTAAAAAAGTCAACAACGCACTTTTAAAAAGAGTATCAGCTTTCAAAACAGCAATGTTGACGCGTCTATTTGGCATTTAGGACTAAATGAGCTGGTAGTTTATGAGATTTAAGCATTTAGATGTGAATTATGTCAAATACTTACCAGTGCATCTGCAACAGCTGAATCCCTGCAAATACAGAAAAAAGGCACACACACGAGTTACTTTCACTGTTCACCTAAAGCTCAAAATAAAGACAGCAAATTAAAAAAAACAATATTACACTACAGGAGAAAAAAACAATATGCAAGTATATTTGTGTTTGCTAGTATTGTGACTGTTAATTAACAGTCATTGTGTTATTAAGTCAACGGCTGAATCAAAAGAAAAATGTATTAATTGAATGTTTTCTGGCAGCACGGTGGCACAACTGGTAGAGCTGCTGCCTCTCAGCGAGCAGGTCCTTGGTTCAAACCCCGGTCCAGGAGCCTTCTGGGTGGAGTTTGCATGTTCTCTCCGTGCATGCGTGGGTTTTCTCCGGGTGCTCCGGTTTCCTCCCACAGACCAAAAACATGCATGTTAGGCTGATTGGTAACTCTAAATTGTCCCTAGGTGTGAGTGAGAGAGTGAATGGTTGTTTGTTTCGTTTGTCTCTATGTGGCCCTGTGATGGACTTGTGACCCGTCCAGGGTGTACCCCGCCCCTCGCACAGTGATTGCTGGACATGGGCATCAGCGACCCCCGTGACCCAAAGTGGAATAAGCAGGTAAAGATAATGGATGGATGGATGAATGTTTTCTCAAACAGAGATCATTCTTGGCAAATCAATTTCATGTTTTATGTTTTCTTGTGTTGCGTTGTTCAAAAGCAGATGTTTAAATACATTTGTCCTAAAATTGGAACAAAATATTTATGAAGTAAATGCACCGTTTTCTTCATATTGTGACACATTTGATAGATTGTTTAAAATGCCTGCACAGCTTTAATTTAGACCATTTAATCCAAAGCATTTAAAGCGCATGACCTGCTCTAAATGGCTTCAGCAAATAGTGCTGTAATCCAGTAAGATTAAAAGAGAGCTGCGTTTGTCAAAATGTCAGGCTCAACAAACTAGACTTCTCTGGACTTGTAGAGAACTTGGTGTGTTTTGTGCACACGCTCACGTGGAGTCTGGCTCCTTGTCTCTCTTGCCGAGGCCGGGGATTCTGAAGGCTTTTGCTCGAGTCTTTTTCCCACCTTCAGGGGTCAAAGCTGTCATGTACTCATCAAACCCAACCAGAGCTGCAGACAACACGAGGAACACACAAACATTTACTACTCAATCGAACACTGCTGTTTTGTTGATGTCGTTTTGTTGTACCTGGCCTGTCTTTGCCCGTGCCTTTCAGTTCAGCAAATTTCTGAATGAGTGTATCAATGCCGATGTTTTCCACATTCTGCTTGAACTCCTCATGAACCTGCAGTTCAGAAGAACAGTTTGTCAGAGCTTCATTAGTTACTCTCACAAATTTTAATTTGTACTAGTGCAGCAGCAGGATTACATTTTATAATCTGGTCTTTTTAAAATTAAACAAAACACCTATTGCTAAACTCAAGTTGTACTTAAAAATACCCCAAGAAGCTAATGGAGTCTTTACTGTGACAAGAAATGAAACAACTTTAAAAATAACTAAAATAAAAATGAAACCATTAAATAAATATCCAGTTCATTCTGAACAAACTCAAGCTCTGAAGAAACACTTAATTTGGGAGGAAGTCCGAAAGCATCAAAGCAGAAGTTTGGGTCGTCTCTAACTCACCTGTCCCACCTGGACATGGGTGTCCTCTATGGAGTGGGAGTAACTTTTGATCAGCTGTTTCATCTGCCGCAGATGAGCCTCCTCAATTTCTTGAAACCTCTAAACAAGCAGACACGTTTGCAAAATCAAGCACAAACCCACAATAAGAACAAAAACTACACCATCTTTCACCATCAAGTTCAAAAAATTGCCCATTAGAGCAAAAACTACTAGAAAATTAAATAAATAAAATAAAATAAATCAGTTTCCTACTCTCTAAAAACAGAAACTTGTTAAATTCATTTTAAGAATTTTACAGATGAGGAGCAGGAGTTTTAACACTTGTAGCACTAGTTTAGTTCAAGTATTTATTTATTACAAATTGTTGTTGTTATCTACCTGGATGATTGAGCTTAAAACCCTTTTTCTGAACCACTTTGGCCTTGGTTGTCCTCAGGCTGGTTCTGTAACAAGTTGTCCATCTGGCCTCAAACTTTTGATTGTTGTGTATGATGATTGATTGTTTTGGATGGGTGCGCTTTGCACGTGTTAAGTCTACTTCTGAGATTCCAACAAGAGGTTGGCTTGAAACACAGCAGTGAAGGCTACCTACGGGACAGATCTGTTTGGCAGGCTGTAGACTGAGGAAGTCCTCTGGATGGGGGACAAAACATTCCTCACTTAAAGAAAATGGTCCAGATGACACGATTTAACTTTTTTTTTTTTAATATATATATATATAATTTATGTTTCGGCAAGTTTTGGTCGCATGAAGGCAAAGAGCCCTGAGGAGAGCAAAAATTGCTAAATTTATTTAATGATAAACACAAGAATATCTGCCACAGTGATGATGATTTAACTTTTAAGTAGCTTCAAAAAAAGTTAATCAATGCCAAAACTACTTTCAAATTTGTACACGACACTAAATCATGAATCAAAGATTAGGAAGGAATGGGGTTTTTTTTTGTGTTGTTGTTTGAAGCACATTTTTGTTAATGTTTTTATTTGACAGCTAAATTAAAGCATTTTTCTTTTTTCTCAAATTTTATGTAAAAACATATTTATGACAGAGAACTGCTGCAGTGTTTTATTTTTGCTAGAGTTGATTGGGAACACTAAAAAAAGTACTAACACAAAGTATTTAAGTGCTACAACAAGATTTATTTCCAGTCTCCAACATTTGATTTTCCCTCACGACTTAAAATTTGGTGAAGATTCACGAGTTTTATTGAAAATCAATGAGTTTAATTCATTGTTTAAATGGTTGCAGAACCATAATCAAGATGTTAAAAAAACAGATAAAGTAACAATGTGTATTTCTCTCTTGGTTTAAAACCTTCTGACCTTATAAAAAAATTACCTTATCGTGTTTTAGTTAAACCAAAAAGCACCTTGTTCTCTTACTTCCTGTGGTACCCAGGAGAACAATTTACACTCCCAGGTATCAGACACTCCTCAATAATTAAGACACAACCTTCCCCTTCAGAGCTATTACAACAGATAATTGGTCACGAGGATTCCCTTCATCATTTCGAATGTAAAACACAGGATCACTCATTGGGATTTGTTAAATATTCCCATGGAAACAGCAGCCGTAACCATGGAAGCATGTAGGCAGTGATTAAAGGTAATGAGCAGGTTGCAGCATGTGTGTGGAAATGGGTGAGTGTTTAGGAGTTGGGGGTTGAGGTTTCCTTTAATAGGGACAGTGTGATGTTTGATAACAAATGAAAAAATAAGATGGGGTTTTCTTCTGATAGGAGGTTACAGAGCAGGTGAGTAAAAAATAAATAAATAAAAAGATGAATGCATGAAACATCACATCAGAGGGTGGAAGAGACGTAAAAACAAGTGACTCTTAACCCAGCTGGAGTCAAAGCTGACCTGGGCAGACTCGCTCATCTTCTGCTCAAACTCTCCTCCCACACGGTTGTACTTGTCGATACACAACGCGAACGACTCAGCCGCTTTCTTAGACTTCAGCTCCGCCTAGTGAGGAAAAAAAGGAAAATAACATTCAAGCTACTGACTCATTCACAGAACTGAACTAAACATTAATTGCACACTTAATGACTGACAATATCAGAACCATAAATGCAACTGCCTAATTCAAGCTCCAGTATGAATTAATGCTGTCATCCGTGATTATCAAACTAATCAAACTCAAACAAACTCTTTGCACCAGTGCATAATATAATCCATAATACAGATAAGACAGACAATAAAATTTACATTACTGAGGGATTTTGATACAAGATCTTTAAAAAAAAAAAGAATGATATTTACATGATATTATTAATTATTAAGTATTGCTTAGAATGAGTTTAAACAAAACATGTCTTTTAACTTTTATTAGAAAACTTTTGTTGGGTTAAGAAATAGAGTAAGATTAGATAATTTATTGCGCCCCTAAGCGAAAGTAGTTTGGCACAGCAACCAAAATATCAAAATTAAAAGCATTTTAAAAAACAACAACACTCATAATAACAAATAAAAAAAAAACTGTAACCCATTTGGCCCAGGTGAGTGCAGGTATAATTTTACCCATGACCAGTTAGACACAGACGAGCCATTACAACGTGTGACTGAAAGCGGCAGAAAGAATGTCCTGGAACGTTCTCTGTGGCAGCAGAATGGAGTGACATTCTGGTAGGAGAGTATTTACCCGACAAATCTAAACTTCAGGGGGTTTTGTCATGCAGTTATGTGTAAATAGGAATTTGCTTTAAACTCACAAATCAAAATATTTACTTCCTCTTAAAGAAATATTTTCAGTTTAAATTGGCCTAAATGTACAAGGCTAGTCCAAACGTAACAAATGGCTAGCTCACAATGGTTTATCCGCTCAAGTTTGTACATTTTTCCTTGAACTTGCCAAAATAAAATCCCTAAACCCTTCAGGGTCTGAGGGATTTACAGTATACTTGTAATCCCCAGTTTGTCATTTTTCCCCCTCCCAGTGAACATGTCTGGATGTCTTCTGAATACCTCTCAAAATCTGGAAGGCATTCAGACCAAGTGAATCCTAATGTATCAGCTCATCATCATCTGGAGGAAACTACTACTGGCTGCTTGTATGTGCGCTGCGCTGCCATTCCTTTGGTCACAACTGGCAGCACAAGAGCACAGGCCACGGCTGCCCCAACAACTACACTGACAGGTCACCTTTCAACCAGGCTCTGTACTCACCACAAATATTTATGTCAGTCTACTGCACCATTCCACCCCTTTCTGAACGAGTCAAGAAATAAATCCTCTACCTGATGGATAAGCTTGATTCCACTCTGGAGAAGGTTCGCAGGCACGTATATCAAAACAACTCAGCAACATCCAGTGTCTTAAATAAAAGAAACTTAAATCTCATTCTACCCTCATGTTTTTAAAAACTGCCAAACATTTTATTACGTACAGTTCTTTGAAACTCTTGTATTACTCTAAAAAAAAAAAACCCAACAACAACAAAACAAAAAACAGACTATACAGCTAAATGCAATGGATCCAAATAAAACTCACAACTGAGGGTTATCTCCAACATAATGTGGTAAAAATGAAGCTGCAAAAGTTTTCAATAGCCAAATAACTTCTCACACTTAACGTTGTATATTTCCTTAAAAACGAGACACACACTTCAAACGTAAAATGTAAATCTAAATTAGTCTAATCAATGTGTGAGAGATGGTGGATTATTGTAATTAATACAACACATCTTATTTTATTTCTAAGTAAACACTGTGCAAAACCATTAGAAGAGGAGCTGGTAAAACCTTCTCCTGTTCTTTCTGCGGAGCTCCTTCCTTCCTGAGCCGATCCAGTTCTAAACATTTGGCGTGGTAACCCTCCTTTGACTTCTGAAGGTGACCGCTCTGAACCTGCAGAGCCTGCACCGTCTCCACCGTCCCCACCATGTCCTCCTTTGTCTGGGTGATGAACACACAAAGTGTAAAAGGTGGACATGTGACACGATTAATCGTAGTATATGAGATTTTAAAGGAACATGTAGCAATCTCGATAAAGAAAAGAAAGAGTAATTAGATTTTCTGTGAAATAAAATAGATCAGAACAAGAGCTTCATGCTGGATAATATATGAAAACATTAACTGCACACACATACGACAGCCAGTTCTCTGCCAGAATGGTAGTCAGGTTTGTGTTTTATGTTCCAGGAAATATACCTTGCGGTGAATTTTGACCTGCTCATCCCCATACTTGTTGATGTCCCGGATGAGATCGTTCATCTTCTTCATCAGCTCGAGGTGACAGAGGGCCAGTTTGTCCGAAGACACCCTGAACACATCCCACATGGGTGCAAATGTCCTAAAAACATATATGTCTAATTAAACACAAATAAAAACTACAAAAAACATTACATTACAAATCCAACTAAATCAACTGTTATTTTTTTTGTAGTTGTTTTGTTTTGTTTGCTACAGGCATTTAATTTATGTAGGTTAAACTCTAAAAAAAACAATATTTACTATATAAGAACACACTAAAAACATTTACAGATGAATAATTGCTCTGATTAATACAACTTTTCTGTGCTTAACCTCATAAATCTTGATTAAAGTAAGATTTCAAATATAGGAAGTAAAAAACAAACTCCTCCCATTATACATAATGGGAGTTTTCAACACTAAACATGCAACTTATTTGTTTTCTTTATTACACTGTGGATGTTTTGTTCAGATTAAATTTTCAATGGCCAAACAATACACCACTTCTTATCAGATTTCCATTCATGTGCCTACAGTTTGATCAGTTGATGCAATTATGTAGCACAAACTGATTCCACTCACTTTCAAACGCAAGACTTTCAAAATAAGGCCAAATCTCTCGTGGTCAGAAGAGATTGGCTCATTCAAATATGTTTTATGGGTCATTTATGTCTTCATTGAGTCTCTTTTCCTGCTTTCCATTTCTTCTTTGTTTTTTTTTTATAAACACAGCTTTTCCAAACCATTTTAAACCATATAGGCTAAAGCAGATGAAGTGTTAATATAATCATAAAAATGAACATTTGGTGAAGCAGATGGTACTCATACATATGTCATATGAGACCATATGACCATTACATCTATAATTACAACAGCAACACTGCCTGAAGAGTAATTTCTCCAGTAAGGCAATGAAGGCTGGTTAGATGGCAGCATAAAACTCTTGGCTCTTATGAACTGGGTTTATATGTTGCACTCACCCCAACTGACTTCCATTGCTGGCAATCTTCGAGAGCTTGCTCATTGATTTGGAGTAAGTCTCCTCAATAGCTGCCCTGAAAAAACAAACATTTGTCAACATGAGCAGAATGGCAGTATGTGTGATGACAAAACAGACGGTGCACATTTGTTTTTAAAGTTGCCAACAAAACAACAGAAAGACTAATATCAGGTGAATATATTAATATTTAAATTCCTCTAAAAGCCTTTAGTCTGGTAAACATAATATATTGCAACAACACTTCTTTACAGAGTCATTACCTGTGCTAATGACCTCATATGTTATATTCTCTGTCTTGAGCTTACTTTGGTCCAAACACGACATCCACTAAACACATCAGTGTGACAAAAATATATTTTTTACATCTGTTGTGGGTAAATTAAACCACATCTAAAAGATAAACACGAGTTTCACAAAACTGCTTATAAAACTTTAATAGTTCTGTAGAGGGTTTGCTCCTGAAAATACACACCCACAAACTAATAAACTTGTTTTTAATCTTGACCAAAACTGGTTCTGTTGTCCTGAAGATCAAACTGTAACAAGCAGAGGTCACAAAGCATTCATTTATTTATTTAAAATGTGTGTCTTTGTTTAATTAGTTTAAAACTTTCATTAGAGCCGGTAGTCAGTTTGTCTTTCAGTATTAAAAAATAAGTAAAAAAGGACATGTAATGTAGCTCCAGGCTAAGCAAAGTTTTATTTGTAAGGTGCCTCACAATATATTATATAAGTGTAACTCATTGTATGTCCTTCTGGTGAACCAGCATTAAGAGCACTGTTAAAAAAATAAATGAATAAAGAGTTCAGCTTCTTGAATGACAAATGAAAGAATTATGTTGATCACCCAGAAATCTTATTTTAAGCAGCACCATTGATATGTGAAGACTTTTTCCATCGTTAAACAAAATTTACAATAGTTGTGACCTACAAAGAATGCTCATATTTCTGTTGCACACACATTTTTTTCAAGATTTTATACATATTTGTTGATATCTTTATTGTTTTAACCTTTATTAAAGTTTCACTGCCAAGGAATAAAAACTAAACAAACGCCAAAGGACATCTTCTACCTTCATAACAAAGGAAGGTGGACCCTTGAGGGGCTGTTTATAGGGAAGTGCTTTGAATGCTGCATCTCATTTCCTTCTCTGACAGCAAATCTTTGAAATGTGTGTATAATGTTAGGCGTGTTCGGCAACAGATGAAAGGAATATTTGTTCTCTAAACTAAAGAACACGTCTTCTTTTAATTCCTACATGGCCTAACATTATTTCCTTACGAGTAACACACCGTCATATATGGCATGCGAATAACACACATACATTTAAAAAATAACTACCTGCTGCTTTGTTTACCAAAAATGATTACAGCTCAAGGCTAATTATGTCTATTTTTTACCAAATTAAATCATCTTTAACCTTTTCATTAACAGTTTTCTAGCCACTGACTTCACGATCCCTTAGTTGTTGTCTTTTATCAAAACCAACTTCAGGAAGCAAAGTGAAAAAGAGGCAGGAGAAATGTATCCAATACGTTTGCTTTTTCTTTTGGCTCTCACTCTTTTTAGCCACAGTGCTACTGTTTCATTTCCTGACTGCTGATTTGTTGTCTGCTGCTGTCAAGAAGATAAGTAAATTTCCCCTATGAGGAATGTGCACAAACGCTCTGAATCAATGTCAAGATTATTTCAGTGGTGTAACGGTGTATGCTGGGTTTAAGCACTGAGATCACAAAATCCTGTGGGGACCTCTTTTCAGCACAGATATAGTTTTTATTTTTGATTGTAACAAATTATTTAGTTTTAAAGGCATTTTATTTCCTAAATGGCTGAAGAGGTTATGCTGCAGAAATGGCGGTGTTCCTTCATGGCACGCATTTATTTTGAAATAAGTTTAAAGGCATTCCTAAATATTGAGACAACATAAGATGATTTTTAAATGCTGCTAATTTTTCATGGAGAAAAAATAATGATGCAAGCAGATTATAACAATTTAGCTTGTTTTATAAAAAACAAAAAATACAAAAAAGAGTTTATCACCCTAATGTTCATCTGATTGTGCATTATTTTCCACACAGATCCTTAAAACATTAAAAAAAACAGTTAATCAAATGAACCAAAAATATACTGGTTCACCACTTTAAAATATCCAATATTACTAGAAGTATTAAAAGCACATGAAAAGGTAATTTAAAATAAAAAATATGTCAGTTGTTTTCAAGCCCCTTATTTTCTTAAACCAGCAGGGATCAGATAAAAAATATTTTTTGCAACATTTGTTCTGTTTGGTCATAAAGAGATGCGTGAAGCAGTTCAAACAAAACAACTCGTTAAAGTGTGCTCTGCACAATTTGCATTCTGCCGATGGCAGCACTTTCAACTCACACAAACTGTTGAAATGTTGCTAGGTGCACCAAGGGATGAAACTCTAAGCTGTTCATTTATAATCTCTGAGCGTTTCACTCAGCCTATATAGTTTATCATCTTTCGCTGCCTGGTACAGAATCAGGGATGAAGAATTTCTCCTCCTAGAATCCCACCACGGTTGCTGCCTCCCACACAGATATACACAAATACACACAAACTCTACCTCTCTCGAACAAACTCGACGAGCTCTTTGGCTGCCAGTTGGCCATGCTTCATGTTGTGGTAAAGCACGTCAAAGCCGGCATTCTTCTCCCCCTGTAGATGTACAAATAAAACACACAGCGCACACCTTCTGTTAGCACCAGGTCCAGAAACAAACTGACACTATCACGTTAAAAAGAAACATGTCAGATGATGTCAAATGTTTACCCTTGAAACTTTCAGTAAATTTGACAATGTTGTTATTCGGAACAAAACGTGTCCAATCGATTCTTCAATTTAGCTAATTAAATTATTAATAAATAACCACATTTCCCTTAATCCAGGACTCAATATCATAATCTACTAAAGGGCAATACTTACCCCTTTGCTAAGTACTTTTTGTTGATTAAACAGTTCATCATCTCTTATTTCACAATAAACTCCAATACATACTCATACACAACTGAGTAAATGTAATTTCTCATGCATTCTCTAATTTCTGCTGCCATCTGCCTAATGTAAGTTTGTCTTTTTGAAAAAATAAAAATAAATGTTTCACTAACTTTGATTCTGGGAGGGTAACTGGAGTCTTGTGATTGCCACATGTTAGTTTTTTATTTGGGTTGTGGTAACAGAAGAATTTATTTGCGTCTGGTCACTTCATTAAGCAATCAAAGACAGACATGTCCTAACTACCTTAAGTATTTTAGTATTATGCAACATTTGTAGTATTTTCTTACCCAGGTTGCACATCTTTCATAACTTGCATCATGTTAAAAATAAGCACATGCATTTAAGAGCATTAGCCATTTCTGACTTTGAACATGCAAGACGCTGTCTTCATATAATTTCCATTTAAATGCCACATTTAAACCAATTGTTATTTGAAGGGTTTTGTTTGAATTTTCATTTTACACCAAGTTCTGGAAAACCAAACATTTAGAAATGAGCATCTAAATGTATATTGGTGCTCCCTTTTTTTATGACCTCTGTTACAGAAGGTCTAACAATAAACTGAAATTGTACATAATTTGCATAAGAAAAATCTACATTTTGTAACTAGAAGATTGTTTATTTGTGAACCACTTTTATCTAACATACCCAGCAGTTCAATGACTTCTGTTTAAAACCAAAATTTTGCTCATATTTCAGAATCAATTGCTACAGATCATGTGGTTCTGATTTGCTGCTTCACTCCAGCAGAACCGGTTCCTCAGTCTGATATTCAAGGACAGCATGACTATGTATCATTAAAACACCAGAAAACCACAGTTAAGTTGTTGTTGAGACAAGTTGCCTACCATGCTGGTAAGCAGATTTAACCTTAACAACATCATCACCTCACATCCATCACTGCTGTAATTACACAAACCTACACCTGTTTTTGCATAATAATCCTGGCTGAGACAGCAGAACTGTTACGAAAAGGGTGTGTCGGCACTTCAGCCTCACCACATTTTTCAGCCAACCAGTTGGGCTCCTTATGCAGACAGAAACAACCAGCTGCTTGCCTGGACCTAAAAATACCCTGTTTGAGGAGAGCAGACCTCTGCCCCAGGTACCAGGGGAATGGCTGGAATGCCAAGGAAGTGTCAGGCACACACGCTCACACTTCAATTTACACAGAAAAAATTAGACGTGCATGCTGGGCAGCTCACTCCCAGCAGGCAGGAGGAGGAACAGGCGATCAGAGAGTCTCAGGTTGATGACACACAAGAGTAAAATTAAAAATTAATAATAATACAACAGCAATGCAATAATACAACAGCAACAGCAATCATACTTTCCAGAGTTTTTTAAATTTTATTATTCATAATAGCAAAAAAAAAAAAAAAAGTATCTGAACACAAAATTAAAGCCATTACAAACATTTCAGCTCTGTGATAGTTTTTACTTTGTTTTAACAGCATGTCTTTCTTTTAATAAAAAGTTTGTTTAATCTTTCAGGAGTGTTGAGAGCTCAGGGCACAATTTATCTTATTAAATTATTTTTGCTTGAGATGAGAAGTACCTCTCATCTCTTTGTCGACATTAAACGGATTACCTTTGTGTTTTGATACATTTGTTAGAAACTTGTGTAAGGCTAATCTTATATGTACATAATACAAACTAAACTGTAATTTAATCAATAATTTGATAATTTATTGTTCAATACAACAAAATCACAAGATCAGGGAAAAACAAGGCTTGAATAATCATTTGTATCTTTTTAGACAAACTTTATTGTATTCAATATAAAGGGGTCTTTGTAAGGACATTCACTGACACATAACGCCCTGTGTAACCCCTTGTTCTACCAGTGACATAAATCTGTGCATGAAATTCAAAACCTAACCTTAACCCCGAAACGCCTTTTTAGAAAGAAGTAAACAAGCAAAATGACCTTTTTAAGTGTCGCAAACTTGTACAAAACACAAAACTTGAGGAATCAAATGCTGACATTTCGATTTTTATGGGGTTTTTTTTTATTTGTGCCAAACAAAAAGTATATTATCATGTGCTCAGTTATTTATCAAAATATATTTTGAAGAAAACTTTGTGAAATATTAAGAAAATGTTTGAAATTCTGTTTTGTTTTTTTAATAGTGTGAATCTGATAGAATTTTTTTTTTATTAATTTAACAAATTTGAGAAATATACGGCTGAGGAACACTTTTGAATAAACTGAGAAACAAGTGGGAAACAAATTTACATTGAAAATACTTAACGTGAACTGTGTTACCAGTGGTCTGAGAGCTTTCACGAGCAATTAAAAGTTTGTATAACTCAGGATTTCTCTCTTAAAAAGCAGACTATATGTCTCTCTAAATTCAGTCTTTTCATCTTCTTGTTGGACAGCTTCTGTTGAAATTCTACCCCACTACAGAAAGGTGAGCTGCCAGGTTCAGCCTCCAACCAGCCACACACACCTGCCTCTCCAGAGACGTAAACGCAGCACCTGACCACCATTGCTGGCTGAGACAAAGAGAACCTGTCTGGCATGAAGCTCAAAAGGTTCTGCACAGCGTTTGATGACATTCAACATGAAAACTAGGGCTTTATTTGACAAAGCAGAAGAAAATGTTATAAATTATTTTTATTGTGAAAGCTTTAAACTACTTTGTACTTTACATTAACTTTAGCAAATGTTACCAAATTTACTCACAATCATATATCATCCACGGCCAGGACAGAACTCACATTGTTCCTCCTGGATCCGAGGTTCGACCAAAGATCTGACTCACTTCTCCAGTACCCCTGAACCGAACTTATTAAGGAGACTAAGGAAAGTGATGCCCCTATAATTAGAGCACACCCTCCTGTCCCCCTTTTTGAAGAGGGGAACCACCACCTCAGTCTGCCAATCCAGTGGCACTTGCCCCCCGATGTCCACATGATTTTGCAAAAGTGTGTCAACCAAGACAGCCTCACAACATTAAGAGCCTTAAGGAAATTGGGGCAAATCTTATGCCGCCCCCCATGGAGCTTTTTAACTACCACAGTGACTTCAGCCACGGTTATGGACGGACCAACCCCTGACTCAGCTTCCTCCATGGAAAACATGCCGGTGGGATTGAGAAGATCCAAGAAGTATTCCTTCCACCTCCCAAAAGCATTTTTCTGTGCTATAAACTTAGTTGTTATTTCAAGTTAGAAATATCTGCTTTAATGAATATGAATACTGTTGCTTATGTTGTCCATTACAGCTTTTTACAGTAAATATTCAAAAGCTCCAAAATACTGATCGATGAGAAAAGTCTTCAAATTTGCACTTATTCTTTTGATAAAACAGTTAAATGCTACAGCCGTGAAGCACATGACATAAACAAATTGTGGATAATGACAAAGTGTGAACTACAACTCTTCTCTAAATTATGTAAAACTATACTAATGAGTAAAAGTGTGAACATTCCTGATATAGCAAACAGATGAACGGCAGCACTTCAAAATGCAGATTTATGCCAAACAATCTGACTGCAAATTCCAAAAGAAGCTGGACACTGACCAGAAGCACTTGAATGAGTTGAGCCTTTATCGAATTAAACTTCTTCACGTCTAATATGTGCAAACCCCTCGTACTTTCTTCTCTGGCTGATCTCTTTTTCATCATTTAAGTTGACCAATTTGGTCATGCATGATCGAGTTCATTATCATAACAATGAGGCAAACGATGGGAGTCGAGACGAAAGAAACTTGGGGGAGGTTTGCGGGGACATGCAAGATCTGCTTGTAGATGTTTCTCACGAAGATCCAGGGGTAGTGAACCGCTAATGAGGATCAGACATTTACTTCTAAAGAAAGATAAATCATTTATTTTCTAAATATTGTTGCAGATAAATGGTGTTTTACAACTCCCGTTGATAATTTGGCCTTTGTCTTTTTCACTTTTCCTGCAGCATGACAAGACTAATGTTGACTTTTCTTTTAACGTCTCTTTCAGCAACAGGAGATGATTGTTATGAATGAGATTTGGCTACCCTGATGGCCAGAATCGCAAACTAAATTAAATTTTTAAAAATCCTGTCCCAGCTAATTATTTTATAAGATGCAAGTAACATATCAAAATACATGCTACATCTGATCACTACACTGCATAATGTAGCTGCTTTATATGAAAGCTAATGTCTGAAGGCTGTATGTTCCACAAATTTCTGCCTCCGACAGCATCATGAAGCCATTAAGCTGGCTGAACTGTCTGTCAGTGCAGCTGTGAGTTTCGCTGACTTGCACAAACTTTTCCTGCTTACTAGGCAGGTTGAGCAGAACGAACACTCCCACAGCAGCGAGGCATCAGTACCACCGGGAACAGGTAGCCAACATCACTGCAGCACAGATAGTATGTTTGTTCAGTACTGCAAAACATGGTTAAGACATGGCTATCCTATATCCTTATATATGTACTTCTAATTCAAATTTTGATTTATGCTCCATCATTTCCTGCAAGTCGGACTCGGCAATTATTTTTATACCAAATAGACAATGTCTATTTGATTTTTAAAATCCAGAAGTGGTGGAGGGAAAGAACAGATGAGATCTACTATGAAAAAAATGACAAAGTTAACGAGAGAACATGAAATTTACAAAGGGAAATATTATTTCCTGGGTATTTACAGATTTCAAACAAAACAGAACAACATGAGTCAAAAGTAATGGCAGGGCTGTGATGCTAACCTCAAACTGAGAAACGGGCAACAACAGAACCATCTCATTTTCAAGGCATCTATTTTTTTTAAACAGTTACATTTTTATGGACAGCATGAAGACTAAGTTTCTATGGACTAATACACCACTGAGAGAAAACAACCTAATGATTGAGGACATATGAATTATTATTATTAAAAATCCTACTTCAGGTCACTTTAATAATAAAGTTCTGTTTCAGTTTGTTTAGATTTTTTTTTTTGCTAAACTTCCAATGAAATGAGGCTACTTTCTGAATTGAAGAACAAAAACACACATAATGTTCCAACAGAAAGTATCGGTTTTAGTTTGTTGAAAGACTACGTAAATTTTTATTTAAAAAAACTTTTTATAACCAGTCAAATCCCATTGAGATCACAGATCTCTATTACAAGGGAGGCCTGGGCCTGAAGGCAGCCTAACATATATGTTGGGAGGAAAGTACCTGGAAAAAACCCACACAAGCACTAGGAGAACATGCAAACTCCACAAAGAAAGACTCCAGGTCCAAACCAGGGACTGAACCCAGGACCTTCTTCCTGTGAAACAACAGTGTTAACATGAGCAAATATTTGATCAAATTGAAATGTATTCAGATAAAATAATCCAAATGTATCGTTTACAAGGGCACAATCCATTCACGACGAGCGTTGACATGCAGCATGCTTTTATTCAGAATAAAAGTACTGATGACATGTGCAGTAAACTTTCCTTTGAAAAAAAACAACAAAAAAAACCCCAGAAGTTCTACTTCTGTGATGAACATAAACAAACCTGAGCACCCAAAACCTGCGCCAGGTTTTAATGACAGTGGAGACGTTACTGCACTCCCTGAATGAGCTACAGGTAATACAGATAATTTTGAGCTCTTTCAAAGTTTCTAGTAGAAATGTTGTGTCGCTCACAGACCAATTTTGCTTCGCCCACATATTAGCATCTAGCCAGGCGGAAATACGTGAGATTGACATAGGTCACACATAGTCAGGTCAGTTTTCCACAATTGGAAGAAAATGATCAGATTAAGTGTTTACATGCACACCGTTCGGATTACGAATCAGCATAAACCACCCCTCTCATTTAGGTCGTTTTCACACCAGATAGTCCGATAGACTCGGTTCGGGACCAATATTCATGACCTTCTGTTTACATTTGAGCTGGTGAGTTTGCATTCACACTGCACTGTGCAGTCGAGTCAACCTGTTGAACCAACCTATTCCCCCGCGTGCCTGTGGGGGCGCTGCACCAAGAACTACTGAAATAAACGACACAAAAACCTCTGAAGACACGTCTTCTTCTTCTGTAAATAAAAATAAAAACGAAGTGGCATCAAGTTTTTGCAGTATTAGGAGTTATATTTTGTCATTTTTCAAAAGTGGACTTAGCATGAGCAGAAGATGAGACAGAAGACCATGGAGAATATTGTTTTTCACACAAGGCAGCTGACGGCTCCATATGAGGTCAGAGAAATGCATGTTTGTTTACCCTGCGGAGCGGGTCCGGTCTGTTTACATTCACACTGTACTCGAACCGCGCTGGAGTTCGCTTCTACCGGACCGAGACCTAGGTTTTAGCCTGGGCCAGAGTTTGCCTTTTTGTTCCGTGACAGAATTCGATGGCGCGTTCACACCTCCCTAAACGAACCGGACTTTCTAGGAAAACGAGCTAGAGTTCGATTAAAGCAGACTAAACAGGGCTGGTGTGAATGCACCCTTAATCACAGGATAAAGTCAACAAACGAAGCTGAGAACGTCTAAAACAACTCAAACCTCATAATACTATTTACGTGATTCAACAAAAAGCTGCAACAGATTTTTAACACAGAATAAAATACGTTTTAAATATGCAAAACTAATTTAATGAGTGTGACATTTATCATATGGTTATTTCTGATTAAAATTTCTGGAAAAATTGAGCAGCAAATGTTCTTATGGTGAAACAAGTAGATGAGCAGCCCCTTAATTTACTAAGCTTTATTATAACAGATACCCTGTCTGCTTTAAGTACAATTTTTATCTAGTTATTGGGAAAAGAACAGCATGATGAGGAGACTTTGTGAGAGATTCCAAATGTTCTTGAGCCAAACGCGACAAGGCTCACTGTGCGGCTTGGTCCCAAGTGACTACTTTGGTTAATTAACTAAAGAGCCATTTGTTTACACAGATTTTGGGGTTCAAAGGCATCCAGAAGGCCATTTTTTGTTGTTTTGTTTTTACTTTTGTCTTACTTTAGATTTGTTCCAAGTGTTACTATTATATTTTAAGGAAAAAACAAGAATTCAGTGCTACTCAAATACTCTAACAGCTTCAAACACAAAAACACATTTGTTACTCCTTGTACAAAAACAAAGAGCTTGTGAATATTCATACTTTTTAAACATAGCTCAGCTCAAAGGTTTTGTCTTCAATGAAATTATTTGAATGGATGCTAAAACAATAAAATGTAGCATCAAACAAATGAAGAGCAGAGGTTTGAGATGTCATTTCAAGTTGGTTAAAAGTGAATAGTTTCACCTGAAATCCCGCCCCTGGGAAAAAAAAACAATCAAAACTAGTAAAGTTTTTATATTTTTCAAAAGAACCATCTCTGTTGCACGTCATAAAACTCATCACTATCAGCAAATATTTTCAACCTATACACATACAGTAAGGTTTAAAAAAAAAAATAGTTATAAAGAAGCACCACCATACAAAACTATATCTGAAAATGTTTTTAAGTGCAGGGAGGTAAAGTAAGAGAAGTAGGACACGCTTGAAATAGATGTAGCAGGTGTGTGGGGACAAAGTAAAAAAAAATTGAAGGAACAATAAAAAGGGTGCCGACCGAGAGAAACAGAGAAGGCAAAAGTACCTGACAAATGTACCCGTACTAAAGGATCAGGGCAGTGTAAGAAGAATCAAGAGTCATAGTCCTGCACTTAAACAATCTATAGACAATTTTGCATAAACTTTTTGAGCAAACAGTTCTAGTATCAGTTCTTCTGAGCTGGTTCAACATTAGAAGAAAAAAAATTAAAAATCACAAATGATTTGCTTTTCCTCAGGCCAGAAATGTATCAAAGCATTACACTGTTATGGAAACACAAATATCAAAATTAAACAGACCATTTTCCCAACCAAAAAGCACAACAATAAAGTTCAATGTCATTTACTGGCTCCAAACTGGAAACTGGTCACAAGACTGTAAACTAGTAAACAGCTACATTTGAGTTGGGGGATGGGGGGGTTAAAAAGAACGCCTGAACAAATGTCTAATTCCTAAATATAGATATAGAACCACAGTTTTGACTGAATGCATTACTATTCTCTTTTGTAAACATTTAAAGATCACTTGTTGCTTGCTTGGATGTATTTTTAAGACACTCACCCAGAAGTTGCTCTGAAATACAGCCATTTCGCTCAAAGAAAGCCAGCAATCTGCGGAGAAAAGACAAAACAATGGTGCATTACAGAAGAGGTGGATGTCAATTTATTTTTCAATCTGACCTCAATTTTCTCCAGTGGTGGAGAAAATGACCATTTGGATTTTTTTGTAATATTCTGTAAAATGGCTTTATTTTCAGTCTCGTCTCTTCTTTTGACATTAAGTCATCGCAAACTGCACATTACTGAAATCCCTGTCTTTATAACTCCTGAGACACCCTTAGTGTATGACGGGAGCTCCTGAGAGACAGAAAGCAGGAGTTAAACAATTTGCTTCAAATAAATATATCAAAGGATGGAGGATGCTGATGAAAGTGGCAGAATAGCAGTAGGTATGTGGGTGAACATAAAAAACAACAGGGGAGAAGGCAAATCGATAAAAAGAAACTAGACAGAAGAAATTTTTGCAATCACCAAGGAGATGATGAAATAAATGTGGTCCTCAAGTGTGATCTGCTCTGAAAAAGATATGTTGATCATTTCTGTAGCTGTTCTCAAATATATAATAAAAAAATAATAATTTTATGAAATGTGGCAGACTGAACTATGTAGCTCTAAAGTGTAGAGTTAAAACTGAGAGAAGCCAAAATTCAAAATTAATAGGTTTTGTTATATTGGAGTTTTTGAGTTAATAGTCACTTCTCAAAGAAATTCTCCCATTAAGACAGGTTACTGGTCTCCAACTTATGCCCTCATAAAAAAACACTCATTTGAAACAAACAGATGTATTGAAATCTGCTCTTGCCTTTTCCAGAAATCCATAATATAGAACGTTTCTCATGGGTTGTCCCTAACAGGAATCCTGCTGTCTGATATTCTGCTGACCGTGGTCATTCGTGTGTGTGCGTGCGTGCTGACAACAGTCTTTTTTCTGGACTGGCACAGACTCGGCTCAGGCCTGGTGATTTGGCATTAGGCGGCAGCAGCATACAGATACAAACACACACAAACCTGACACACCTCACACCTTGTTAATTAACTCAGCAGAGGCACTAGAAGCCCTGCAGATAAATCTGTGTGAGGAAAATCAGGACCGTCCTGCAGAAAGAAAAGCTTTGCAGAGTGGTGAAGGCTACACAGAAAACTGCCGGAGTCAGCCTCCCCACCATCACGGACTTATACACCTCCAGATGCAGGAAGAGGGCCACCTGCATCATGAAGAACCCCAGTCACCCAGAACACACACTTTTTGCCCCAATCCCCTCAAGCAGGAGGTTGCAGAGCATTAAGTGCAGAACCACTAGACTGAGGAACGAGGAACAGCTTCTACCCTGAAGCTGCTAGACTCATAAATCCCTAACCAGGATTATCACTGTGAGAAAAAAAAAAAATGACTGTACAGTAGTCCCTCATTTATTGCAGGGATCCGCACCCTGAAGACCCACGATAAGTGAAAAACCGCAAAGTAGGAATAGTAGTACAAGTAGTAAGTAGTAGTTTATTTTATTATTTATATAGATAATATATATTAAGGCATTTTAAACCCTTCCCACACTCTTGCAATATTCTAAACAATGTTTCTAAACTCTAAACGCTCTAAAAGAGCACAGAATGTCATGATTTCAGCTCCCTTCTTCTGCTTTTTGCCACCTGCAAACGCTCTTGGCCACGCCCACTTCTCCGCTCTGCACCTCAACAGCTGATCAGCTGTTTAACTGCAGCAGGAAGTTTATCCTGCAGCAGTAAGGGCTGCACAAAGCTGCAGGAGGAAGCTTTTTCTGCTGCTCTGGACTGCACAAAGCTGCAGGAGGTGCTAAATAATTTTAAATAATTCATTTTAAATAAGAATTACATGCTGATCGTGCAGCTCATCCATCAATCATCCAATTGTGTGTCATGTCCAGTCTTATTTTGAAAAACCGGGATACAGCAAATCCGAGATAAACGAACTGTGAAGTAGGAGGGACTACTGTAATGCCACTTTGTTTGGTGATATGTGCTGCTCTTATCCATGCTGCTGATCTCATGCTGCAGATTATTTCATGCTGCTGTGTTCATTTGTACTCATCTACTCACACAGACTCACATCCGTGCTGCTGTTGTTCAGCGTATTGTTTTGCACTATTAATGTTTAGCGTATTTCTTAGTTTATATCTTAGATCCTTATTTACAGTTTCTTTTAACACATATTTTTGCTATTGTTGATGTAACTGGGACCCTTTGTACATAATTTTGTTCCACCTCATGTACAATAAAACCTAAAAGAACTTGAACTTGAAGAGGCAGAGAAAGACTAGCTGGGTAACATAATGAGATAGACTATTGCATTCTGTAATAGCTATCAAATTAATTACTTGAAAATAACAGGAAAAGCTTAAATAAATATTTTATGTGTGATTTCAGATGTGAAGAGTCTTGTTTGATGAGCTCAAAGTTATGACAATAATACAAATTAATGTGCCGAACTAGATGTTTTACCAAAAACGTTTTTTGCACACTTGCTCCAGTAGTGGCTGTTGAGCCTTGGCATTCTGTTTGAAACATACAGAGGCAGAATGTGGGGTGTCAGCTATCACACTTTGGGCCAGCAGAACAGGAAGTCATAAAATGGAACTGAAGTGTTTGTGTACCCATATCTAGCATCCGTACAGCTGATATGCACTTGAACAACTCACAAGACCGAAGGTCTGTAATTGCTTTTAGAGCCGTGAAATAGAAAGTTGGTAGACTGGTATTCTGTGCATGAGTACAAATAGGTCAGTGGAAATGTCAGCTTGTAAACAATAAATTTTCCAGTATACAGTCGTCTGAGTTGAACATACATGGCGACATTTACATCGCATGGTCGTCACAACATATGAATAAACATACATTTAAGAATTTCCCACATTACTGTCACCCATTTTATTCTGCTAAAACAAGAGTATTATTTGACTGAGCATGCCACAAGAATGCTGCACATTAGTCAAGATAAGCAACGAAGGTATCTGAACAAAATGGTACCTGACGGCTTACCCATTAAAGTGTAATCAAACATTTATTTTGCAAGTTCAGTTCTTATTTGTACATACTGATTTAATGAACCGTGGGACAATAAAATGAATATTATTTTGTATTTTGGTCTCTACTATAAAAGAAGGGACATAAATACCCCCAATTTGTTTTATATATTGATGAAAAAAAAAGCAGAGCCACTCATAAAAAAATAAAAAATGAATCTTTCAAACGTGTTGTTAATCTTTCCTAAATTTCACAAAAATAGTTTGTTTAGAAGCTGTCAAACAAGATTTTTAAGTTGAAAGGCTTTACTGAAAACCATTACGTTTTAGGAAGACGTTGTGAAACTATTCTTACTTCTAAGAGCATGTCTATGCACCCCATGGTTTAAAGGAGTTTAGTAAATGCACTACAGTATGTGTGATGACAAGACAGGATCAGTAACTAACACAAACCAAAATTTTCTAAATACATTTTGGAAAATATTATCAAAATAAATACATTTTAATTTAATTCTGGATGCATGGATGTGTCAGGACCCCATATGGATATCTGTAAAAGATAAACTGACATTCAGCAGTCTCCATCTGGTACCTACGACACATTCAGATGAATTCAGGGGCCAATAATGCTAGGAGAAGCATACTGTAACCTCGATTTCTCATTTTTACTTAGGTTAATTTTCTTTGTTAGAAATAAAAATCTGAACATATTTTGGCCTTGCTTTGCACGTCACTTTGCATGTTGCACCAATGATTGACCCACATCTGGAAAAATCAAATGACTGAAATGCTATTTATTCATTTTGATTAAATACCTCTTGTTGGTCATTGTTTATTTAGACCTACCATTTTCACAAAATACATAAAATATTCAAATTGTGGTATAATCTGTCTACAATATACTTGTCCTACCTGTGAAATATTTCTTTATGTGATAAACAGATTGATAACAGAGTTAATTTTGACCTCCTACTATCAGTTTGAGAGAAAAATTAATTTTGAATATTAAAAAAAATACACAAACTTAATTTCACTATAAAAGATATAATGAAAAACATAAATTATTATGACCTGCTTAATAACCTTGAATCTTTACAGATAAACATGTTTAAAATAAATAAATGAAAATAATGTCAAATAGCTATAGTGTTTTAAAAATAAGTTATTAAAAGATTAACAAGATTCTGTGAGTCAAACTGTATATGATATAAAACCAAAGTGAGGTTTTGTTAACTTTCTCCTCATAAGTATCCAGAACAAAAACACAATTTTCTTAGTGTTTTCAAGCCTTTCCTTTCCAAAAATACACTTTTTTCTTTAAATATGATGAAGCCAAATTCACATCGATCTAATACAGTAAATACAGGAAAACAAAGTGATAAAGGGACTAAATTGGTGAAGGAAAAGAAAGACTTCATGGGTTTTAAATCAAATTAACAGAAATGGTGTATTGGTTCAATTTAAAACCAGATGAGAAAATAAAAGGCATACAGAATAAGGCTGTCATCATTTTGATACTTCTAAACTGAAGTTATTTTAAGTTCAACACAGACTGATTGGCTATAAACAGAAATAAATGAGAATTGTGAATGTGTAGCAGGTGACAGAAGGCCAGGGATTTACACAGCAGCAGTATGGTTGCAAAAAACATTTTAGACGGAGATTATAATCTTTAACAGAAACACAGACCGAGAATGCAACCAGCCTTATCAACAAAGACACACTGACCTCCTCCTCTGCAACCCTTGCAGCGCCTGACAACACACAGATGGCTGCCAAGAAAAATTACGGCTTAAAAAAAGCAGATGGAGAGGGGTGAAAGAAAGTCTCTCACACTTACAAAAACTACCCACGAACCGTTTAATTCCTTCAGGAAATAAACGATGTAACGACTCCACCCATTGCTGTTTTTTTTTATTTATTTTATTTTTTTTACTTCCTTTGCCAGAGACAGGTCAATCGGCAGATGTCTCTGAGGGAAGAAAGGATGGTCAGCACAAACTTCCTCCTCCTCTCAACCTCCACCTGCCTTTCTCCTTCCACTTGGAGAAGAAA